TGTCAGATCGAAGTCCCGCAAGCCAGGGTAGGCTACATCTGCTGCAGCCTTGCGATAGTCGTTGAGATAGCGGATAATGTCATCTCTCTTGAAGCCTTGCCGCAGTAGACCTTGGTAGATTTCTGTTTGTCGGACATGGAAATCGATATCTCGCTCTGAGACGGATAGGCTGCTTGGTGGTAAGCGAATCATGATGCAGTAGTTAGTTAGTGATGAGAAAGGATTCGAGATACGAATCCGAGTTGATACGTGTGAGCCAGAAGTGGGTGGCTGATTTGACTACGAGGAGGATAACTGCCATGGGTTGCATGCTGGTCGATGGCAGTGACGGCACCGTCGCAGCATCCTCGTGGCACAATGGGATCAGGCAAGAGCGACGAGCCATGCCATAGAAAGAGCTCGTCTCTGGGTTCCAGGTCGAGGACATGATGACAGTGAAGGTTGAGGCCTTCCGCGAACCTCTCCGTGAAGCTGGTGCAGGCACCGTTGGAGCTCTTTCGACACAACACATTCCTGCGACAACGGCCAGCCATCCATACGGTTACATAAAGAAGTCAAGAAGCTATCGATAGTTCATCACACTTACTCGGGAAGCTTTTCACGTACAAGTATGTGGATGCCATGAAACCCACACCTCGTTGTCGCAGTGGTCATATGAACTCCACCGCAATTTTGAGTCAATCTGCGCGGTCTTGACGAGGAAAAATAATCAGTAGCCAGGTGTAGTCTGCGGCTTTGTACTCGGTGAACGTTTACGTGTGTTCTCCGCCAGTGACACGGGCCATTTGTCTACTATTTCAAGTGCAATATAGGCACGACGAGATCCGGCATCGAGTTGTGCTCGGCTATGGCGAAGCACTGGCTGATTGGTGGCTAATCTGTCTAGGGAACAGCGCTGCGAGACCAACATCCATCATCCTTGCGGTCCCTGCAAACCACCAATTCGTTACCAACTGCACAATTCACCTTGTACGGTTTCTTCTTTCTTTCAACACATTCTGCCCACGCTCGCTACCCTGACAAGAAGCTCCTCGTCCTCAGCGCCGCCGTCTACCTTTTGTGCCCTCCTTCGACCTCTCCGTCCGAAGAACGGACACTAGATCAGACTCCTCCGTGCCAGATCAGATCCAGGGGACTTGCAATCCGCATTCTGAAACGACTCGCAATCCGTCTTGGACCCTTGCACCTTGACGGAAGATTCACCCTACTCACTGTGGTTGTTGCTGCTGCTCTCCCTGCCGCAGCGATGAGGACACCAGCATCTCTACTTTGATCAAGCCGCTCACCACTGAGACGTCATCGGGCATTTCGATCCTCTCCAAGCCACATCGTTTACGAGTCTGAACCCCCCCGTGCCACAATGGCCGACCTCTCACTTGGTCCGCTGAGGATTGCGAATCCCGATGATACCTCACCGGACACACCATTACAACCTCAGCCGCCCGCATCGCAGTTCTCCCGGGTATCGCCTTTGGTCGATACCGATGGGAGGACAGACTATATCTCCGCCACCCCTCAGCGCTCTCACAGCCCGGTATCCCCAATGGAGTCCGTGAACGGCCCCGAAGACCTCCCATCCCACGCGGTTTCTGCCTCGTCCATCCCATCAGTGCCCTCGTCTGCGCCTCAGCCCACTTTCACCCAGAACAATACATCGGCAGAGCGGCTCGCCCAGCGACAAAACATCCCCTATAGCTATCAAGATCAGCAACAAGCACAATTCCCCCAATACCCTACCATGATGCCTCAGAACCTCCACGACCCCAGGTCGAACGCCTCACGTCCGGGTTCCGCATATTACACCCAGTTGCCGGTCAATGGTGCGGCTGCAAATGGAGTCTCTCGGCAAGGATCGTACAGAATTCGCAATGATGGTTCAGCCTCAACGGGGTTTCCACAACGAACATCTTCGAAGCGCTCGGGGCTCGGAGATGTTGCTGGGGTGCCATCAAGAGACGATAGCCACACAGAGAGAGCATATGGTCAAGGACAATATACTTTAGGCAACGGCCCCTTACCTCCGCGAAGAACTTCTCGAGGTATGGCGGGCTCCCGCATGGGAACCACACCGACCGGCACTACACCACTCTCAACCACCCCCAAGTCTAACCAGACACCCTTGTCAACATCGCCGTACAATATGGAAGATCGGCCCTTGACCAGTGCAGAGGAGTGGCAAGAGCGCGGAGCTGCCGTCGGTCTCAAGAAGGAGATTGGCGCTGATGGCACAGTGGCGTACAAACCGGTCAAAAAGGGTGTGAGGGACTTTAACTTTGGACAGACCCTCGGAGAGGGCTCTTACAGCACCGTCCTCGCTGCTACAGATCGAGCCAGTGGAAGACAGTATGCCATCAAGGTGCTGGACAAGCGGCACATCATCAAAGAAAAGAAGGTCAAATACGTTAATATCGAGAAAGACACTCTGAACCGTTTGACAGACCACCCCGGTGTTGTGAGACTCTATTACACATTCCAAGATGAACGGTCTCTATATTTCGTCCTGGACCTGTGTCCCGGCGGAGAGTTGCTTGGAGTGTTGAAGCGCATGTCAACCTTTGATGAAGAATGTACTCGCTTCTATGGTGCGCAAATACTGGACACAATCGAGTACATGCATGGCCGAGGTGTCATACACCGCGATTTGAAGCCCGAAAATCTTTTGTTGGACGAGAACATGCATATCAAGGTGACCGATTTTGGAACGGCCAAGTTGCTTCCGGAAAGGCGAAACACGGATGGCAGAGTTGATTTCGAACCCGATTCCACCTCGACCGAGAACAGGGCCAATTCCTTTGTGGGAACTGCAGAATATGTGAGCCCCGAGCTATTGACCGACAAAAACGCATGCAAAGCGAGTGACATGTGGGCATTTGGTTGCATCATCTATCAACTATTGGCTGGGCGGCCACCTTTCAAGGCTGTCAATGACTATCAGACCTTCCAGAAAATCGTTGCGCTCGACTACGAGTTCCCCAGGGGTTTCCCTGAAGTCGCTCGAGATCTAGTTGAGCGACTCCTGGTTCTTGACCCCCAAAGACGGTTATCACTGGAGCATGCAAAGAACCACCCTTTCTTTACCGGAGTTCGCTGGGGTCGCGACTTGTGGAAGCAGAAAGCACCACGCTTAAAACCATATGTTCCTCCAGCAGCACCTCCCATAAAACTTAATGGAAACGGTGCCCAAGACAGTTTTCCGCCTGACGTTGTCTCGGGTCACAGCACACATCCAACCATGCTTCCTCCTCCCAATCAAAAGCCGCAGCCGAGAGTGGTTACAGAACTCCCGCCCCCGAGCCAACTTGATATCGAATGGTCTCCTGTACTCACGAGAAATAACGAGAGAATCCTCAAACTAGGCAATCTGAATGTGTTGTCAACACCCAATCCCCACAGCCCGCACAGCAACGAGGGTGGAGGGAAACTGTCAAGGTTGTTTGGAGGCAGCAACAACAAGAAACGGCAAAGGCTTGTCATGGTAACATCGAGTGCAAGGATCATTATTGCTGCGGCGGGTGGAGAGGAGAAGAAGTCAAAGTCGGAAATCTCACTGCTATCGCCAGGGACCGAATATTCCAGCGCGACAGATTCCAAGGGAGTAACCCAATGGATTGTCGATACTGTAAGTTCCTAGGGGGATTGATGCCGAGAGTGAACACTAACACATTGAGCAGAAAGACCGACACTACGTTTTTGAGGACCTCAAGCCACCTTCTGGCGAAGCGTTCTCGACGGCGGTTGCGGCGCAGGAATGGCTGGATGCATTAGCACGAGCACGAGAGATTGCGTTATCGCTGCAGCTGCAGAATACCAACAACACGTACTCCAACGACGACGACGCTCTCAATATCTCGTCCTCGGCATTGTCCAGCCATGCTAGCACGATTGACCAAGCGACGGATCTAAGTCCTCATAACGTGAATCAGTCCCATTCCGGTCGAGGAATACTGCACAAGCAACATTCGGGCGGCGATGCAGAGTCGCTCAAAGGGAGAAAACGATTCAGCAAACGGCAGTCCAAAAGCGGACTGACTGCAGTCTTTTAGAAGGCGCTCGTGAGGATTATGGCGTTGCGGGTCTCTCTGTTCATTTCTTGACCCTGAATTAGCATAGCATGGCGACTTGTTGAGCGCAAATCAGCATGGCGATTGGCGGTGGAAAAAGAGCACCGATGAAATGGCCGACACAGTGTCGTCGAGGGTGCAATTGTAAAGAAAGGCTCTGAAAGATCTAGAAGAGGATATATAGTCGACCTGGCATTGTACGTAACCCTGTCGAGGCTGCCAGGGTTATTGACAAGGGGTGTCTGTACGCCAGTACGAATGATGAGACTGGTCTCTGTCTATTTCACGTCTTCTGTTTTCCAGTTGGTATTTAGCGCATCATGTTGGCCACAAATGAGATCGTGGCGTTGGTTTGGCTGTGCTTGTGCCTTGGTTCAGCTGCGCTCACGACTGGCTGGCATGGATTTGACTCGAGCGGGACCTGCAGCGGAACTTTCCCTCATGCGGCCTTCGCTTTGCTGCTCTATCGCCACTCTTCCGTCCCGCGGTAGCCTCTTCTTCCCAGGCGCCTTTCGTCCCATGGCGCACACACGAGAAGACGTTGGGAGACTTTGCTGAACGTCGTGACAGGCACTGCATCCCCGAGGCATCTCAACCGGCCATCAGCTGCAGTGCGACAACTCGCAAAGTTGTCTCGACAAGCTCAATCCCGAAGTACTTATCGGTTGAGACACACCTTGTGACCCGTGAGGCTGCGCCTGGCTTCTGTGGGAGACGCCTAAGCGACACTCCAAAGGCAGTTTTGGCAAGGCAGAAGAAGCGGGCAACGGCAGTGACGGTGACGAAGGGCGCGTGCTATACAGAAGCCATTGCGTTCCTCGGATGCGAACAGCTCCTCATGAGAGCAACTTTGGGTGAAATGACATGAACCAGCAGTTTGCTCCACAACAAACATCATCTCAACCCGTCCAGCAAGCAAACCGAATCTCAGTATCACCGATGGTTTCACGCGCAGAGGTCCTCGACCACTCTCACACACGCTCTCTTTCTCAGTCTCGAGCCGCACCCTCTGTTGTTTCTCGCACCTCGCGATCGAGACACCACCACAATCGAGGCCGTTCGCATCACGGTGGCTCCTCTCATGTGCCGCAGAACGAGTTTCCCTTCTTCTCACAAACTGGAGATGTCGAGATAGTTATTGCCTGCGATGGACAAGAGAAGAGATATCTGCTACACAGTTTGACGCTGGCACAATTTTCGGGTTTCTTTCAAGCCAGCACAAGCGAAGAATGGTCTCGAGGTCCATCACACCAAGCTGGCCACAATCTCTCGTCTCCATTACGAACCGATCAGGCCTTGAGTGTCATCGGAGAGGAGTCTTCCCAAGTCAGCTCGACGCCTGGCCCCTCCAATCCTGCTCCTCAACCAGCACCGATACCACCAGCGGCTTTGGGTCAGAGAAGGAGATGGAGGTTTGAACTCGACTGGGAAGATCTGGAGGATGATGATGAACCCATCCTGGTTCAGAAGGCCCCCGAGGGCCATCTCTTTACTGCTGCCACGGCGCCGGCGCCGCCACCACTTTCTCCCCCAGAACGTCCAAGGCATCAAGCCATTCACTCGTCCTTCTTTCGTTCCATGGCCAACCTGGGCCTCTCTCACCGCGGCCCAGCAACTCAATCCAGTGCTGAACTTGCAGCGCCCGCTCCTGATCCATGCCAAACGAACCCGCTGCTCAGAGACTATGACAACTTGTTTCGCATCTTCTACAACTATGCTCCAGTTCTAAACTCGTCCAACATCGCCTCGGCCTATTCGGAATGCAAGGCTCTCCTTTCACTGGCAGACATGTACGACGCCATTTCCGTCGTTGGACCTCGAATCGACCATCATCTCTTGCGTTTCTCGTCCCGGCTATTCAAGCAGATCGCAAAATACCCGCCGTCGTACCTCAAACTTGGCTACCTCGCACGAAGTCGAATCATCTTCTCCGAAGCTCTAACCCACGTCGTAGGGCAATGGCCAGGCGCCCTGCCCCATCTCAAGCCGCCCAACCACTCTGGTGCAGGATACGAAGTGCCCCAGTCAGTAATTGATTTGATTGAGGACAAAGTCGACGAACTCGAAGAGTTAAAGCACAAGGTCGAAACGAAGCTGTTTCGCTTGACTCTGACCACGACCCGTGGTGAAAGGGTAAATCCGTCAAACGACTACCTTGGCTGGCTGGCCGTTAGCCTTTGGCGGCAATGGTTGGCAGAAAATACGGCGCCCGAGATTCGAGGGATCTTGAAAAACAGTCCGAATTCGCGACCCGGCAGCGGACATGCGAACCCACAGCCCGGACCAAATGGCCGCCCTCTGCCGCACGGCACCAACGCTCAGAACGCTATGCCACCGCCTCCCTATCAGCCTCATGCGCCTCCCCTATCGCCGATCAACACGGGCCGCATCTTTCGCTTGATTGGTTCTGCCAACCCTGATACTTTTCTCGCTCACGATGAGCTAAAACGATTCCTCAAGCTGACGCCCCCTGGATCTCCTCACTCTCTCTACAGCCGCGAAAATCTCCGGAGATTCGAGCGGAAGATTGATGAGATCAAGAACGTCGCCAGGGATATTGTGAAACCGTTGACCAGGAACTGCCTCGAACTGGATTTGAGGAGCCTGAGCGACGGAGGAGGCGGAGGGTTGGGGTACTTGACCTGTATGAGGTGCGAGGAGGACGAATTGCCCTGGGAAGTTTGACGCAGTAAAATTGGTGTTTGATGATGTGAACGCCCAGCGACAAGAGAACTGTTTGAACGATCAACAAGTCTGCATCTCTAGTAAAGGGTCCCAGCCACACAGTCGAATCCATCTATCGACGAACCCAACTGACGAACTTTCGGCCATTCTTGTTGTCATTTACGAGACGCGTCTATCAACGACGGCTCGACATATTTCAGCCCTTTGGGCTCTTTTACGATGCGAGCCTGTGTCCTTGGTTCCCATAGGCACGGCTCACCAACGACCATTTATTTCACGATTTCTCCGACGATGAACGATTTACGAGTTTCCTTCCTTTACGGTTGATGTTGTTTTAGGACTTGTTTGCTGTTTGGTTAGGCATTGACACATTTGGGATTACGAGCCGAGCAACTGTGCACTACTCCAGCGAAGTACGACCAGTCAGAGGGAGAGAGGGACACACAGGTGACAAGGATTGGAAACCCAAAAAAACTCTGTTGACAGTGTGGATAGATGGGCGTTGTTTTGCGCCCATCTATCGGTAGACACGTGGACATTTCGGATACCCACATCATGAACAATTCTAATTTCTTTCCATCTATTCGTCTCGTTCCATCTGTTGCTTTTGATGTTGTCCACTGTGCCAATATCAGTCGTCTACGTTGTCTGTCCCTTGATCTGTTCTCTCCCCGGAACTAGTCGGTATACATCTAGCATCTAGCATCTAGCACCCGGGACCTAGTCGATCACAGAATACCTCGTGAGATTTAGAGGATTTAGAGGACATTGAATGGATTGGTGTGTCTGCTGCTGGAGGTATGACTGAATGAATGACTGAATGACTGAATGAATATTATCATAGCGTGGTTTCCTGCTCCTTTTCGTTATGCCATGCCCTGCTCTGCTCTGCTATGCTGTGAAATAGACTGGATGACTAGTATCCCTTGATCCAACCCCTCCTTTTCCTCCCTTCCCTTCTCTCCTTTCTTTCTTTCCCCCTTTGCGAATGATTTGTCCATGTTCCACGTCTGTATTCCATCTCTGCCATCACTTCGGATAGGATACATCCCTTGTCCTGTCCTGTCCTGTTCTGTCCTGTTCTGTTCGTGAATCTCACCTCCGTCGAACCTCTCGCCAGCGAGCCAGAGCCAACGCTCCTCCACGATCGCGTGACACTGTTCATGCACCATTCACGAGTCACCCCTGCACGGAGGGAATGTTGGTCCAGTCCCAGGCATTCCGCCGGCCGAGGCGGTCACTCCTCCGCGGCGGGTCGAGGTGGGCTGGCTGCTCCGTGAGGGCGCGCATGTGATCAGTAACCATTTTAGCGGTAGCGGTAGCAGTTGCGTTGTGATATAGGACGTCGCGTGGTTTTGCTTGCTCCTTATACATGAGTTCCGTGTCGGCGTCGTAGTCGGAATCGGTGGTGGAGGAGGAGGAAGAGGAGGAGGAATCGTCGTTTGTCACCCAAGTGTCAAAAGTCAGCGCTCCATTGTCCACACGCTGGTTGTCGTGGTTGACTCGTCGAAAGGTCCGGCGGGCACGCATGATCGGTCGGCTGAAATTGACTGGAGGCGGGAGGTAGAAGACGGATCCCCTGGCGCTGGCTCTGGCCCTGTTGACGAAAGGGGTGGGCGATGACCGGCCGTATCCTGTCGTGGGGTTTGAGAATGACTCCACCAGGGCAAACTCGGTGCTTTCGAGAGGATTGTGAGGGTTGGTGACTGGAAAGGAGCCAGGAACTGGCACTTCGAAAGGATCTGGCCCGCCGCAATAAACTGGTGCCTGGCATTCATAGACGAGAGCTGTGCCGGTGGGAAGATCTCTGCTGACTACTTCGAGACCATTGGCGCAACATTTCGAGGCGATCCAGATTGCCAGGAGTGCATAGAAACAGAGCAGGGAGAGGTCGAGGAAGATGTCTTTGGTCCGCACGACTTGACACAGAAACGTCAGTATTCTCGGCTCACGCAGGCGGAGAGCAAAAGTGATGTTGGACACAGTCGAGGCGAAATGTCCGGCTGGCAGGAATAGGAGGCCGGTCGTATCCCAAGACGCCGAGCTCACAGCATGAGAGGGCCGAGCGTGCACGCTGACCGTCCAGGGGAAGAGGTGGCCGCTTTCCATGACGTCGCAGATCCAGAGAGCAAGGTTGAGACTGAGACAGATCAGGCAGCGTTCTTGGAAAGACTCGCGGGCACTCCACGCCCAGAGCCACAGGCTGTCAGGGAGGGAGAAAACGGTGTCCAACCACGGAAGAATGTAGCTGGTGGTGCTTGTGAGAAGGAGATCGAACGCTGCAACAAGGAGAATGAGACCCCGAAAAGAGGCTGGTCTGGGGAGTTGGTGCATGATGAATTGGTCTGTTGGTGGAAAACTTCAAAAAACCTGTTGGTTGTTTTGGCTGTTATGGTTGTGTTGTGGTGTGGTGTACTGGAAAGTGTGTGTTCTGGTGGAATGCACAGATGCTGAGGGACGAGAGGGTTGATATAGGCGAGAACATGACCTGGTCGGTGGACCAAAGCTGCCTCAGGGACCTAGACAGCATACAAAGATGTTCGCTGGTGATGCCATGGTCATTGTCATGGTCTCACTCTGAGGCAGTGTGCATGTGTACACGATCACGGACACGAAGCCCAGGTCTCGTCAGAGCGGCGTTGCTGAGCGAAGTTGAGCTTTGTGTGATGAGACCTGAGGTTGATATTTCAAAAGATATCTCTTGGTAGCCCCTGAGGCATGGAGTGCCTTTTCCTGGCAGTCTCTTGAGCTATTTCTGACGCCGTTATTGGGAGCTTTGTTTGCCGGAGACATGCATTCGAGATATTCAAGACAAGGCTGAGGTGCGACCAAAATAAGGGCAAGGCTGGAAAGGGGCGGTAGAACGTGGGTTAAGACAATGTCTCTCTCAACAAAGAACAATCCCCCTAACGCAGCTCCACTGAGCTGGTACGTTCGGTAACAACGGGGTTTGAGTCTCGTCCTGCCCATGACTCTCGCACAAAACTGACGTTCATACCCTGCCTAACCAGAGCAGCTTTTGCGGCGTCAGCCAATGGCCACGGCCCGCCCAGTCCTGCACAGCTGCTGGAGAATTACTGATCCTCTGTTCGCTTGCGGCTTTCAATTCGACCTGGTTGATCTTCCACGACCGGAGTACCCACGTACTGGCCGCAGCGAGCAGGAACATACAGCCCACGAAGATCTGCGAGCTGAGATATCCTGACGCACCGACCATCTCCAGGGCAATCGGCTCCGCGAATGTTGTGGGCACAACCAAGGACAGACATATGACGCCAAAGGACGAAGGTAGCCTTTTGAGCCCTACCACCTCAGCGGTGACCGGTGTGACAGTGTTCCAGAAGATGCCGCAGACGCTGCCCGCGGCAAGGGCAAAGGCGATGAGGACGCCGTACGATTTCGCGGGCACCCATAAGGCGAGGCAGAGGACGCCACATAATGCGGTCATCATCGTCGCCATGTTGAGGCGGCCAAAAGCATCCGAGTAATATCCAATGACGGGTCTGCCAACTCCAAGGCCAAGGTTGAGGACAGCGCCGACAACAGACCCTTGTCCCGCCGTGAGACCGATAGACGTCGCGTAGTTGGGCAGGGAGTAGAGCAGCACGATGTAGCCCAGCTCAGTAAGTACTCCCCAGATGACAACCAGCAGAACCTCAATGTGGGCGTACTCGCGGTAGTTGAACGCAGTCTGCAGAGGTTGGACGGCTTTGTTGCGGTCTTTGAGGAGAAGCGAACACACCCCGTTGACGGCGAGTCCGCAGAACGCCAAAATGCGATAAGCCCAGTCAATACCTAATCTCTGGACAATACGGCCTGCTGCAAGATTGTACGCCAGCCCTCCCAGCCCCGCTCCCGAAGACGCAATTCCCATGGCCAGACTCCGACGGGTCGAGAACCACTGTGGCAGAACCGCAGTCGCCGGGATGTAGAGGAGGCCCATGGCCCAGCCGGCACAGACGCCTTGTGTCAAGAAGAGATGCCATATCTCGGTCGCATACGAGGCACCGAGAAGGGCCACAAAGAGGAACACGGTGCCGATAAGAAGCGTGGCCTTTATGCCGAGTCTCCTCGTGGAGATGTTCACGACAGGTGCGCTCAACAGGGACTGAGAGATCGAGAGACCGCCGATCAAGGCATACTCGAGATGTGATGCGTCTTGAAAGGCAGGATTACTGAGGTAATGAGCCAGGAAAATCCCCCACGCCTGTCCCGCGTGAGCTTTGTACCTCCGTCAAGTCATGACCGGGTATCTTACGCTGTTCAGTCCCCATGTATGCGCATTGATCAGAAAGACGCAGGCCGTGCATACCCAGCCATAGCCGCCGTTTGGAGGTACATCTTCGACCGGGACAGCATCTTGTGGCGGATTGTCCTCCAGTTGATGTGTTGATGATTCTTCAATACCGTGACCCTGAATGCCACGGGGTTCAACAAGTTCCAGGATCTCGGCCTCGCTCCCAATCTGGCGGCTCGTAGGGGTAGACATTCTCGTCGAGGATGCGTTATGGTTATGAATGGAAAGATTAGGCACGCCCGGTGACGGTCAATGGTTCGAGTTGTGGAAAAAGAGCAAGAATACAGAAATGAAGGTTACAAAACCTCACAACATGATGATTTGTAGGCCGAGGAAAAATCCCCCCCTCCCCCCACCCTATGCATACACAACATACAGATGTCAAAGGGCGTCGAATCAAGTCGATGTTGACAAACCAGTCTTATTGCTGCCTGCTTCCACATTTTTGATACTCCCTATAGAGTGAAAATATCCATCGCCATAATGCTCACCAGGTTCACTGTCCAGACTCAGAATGTATTTGATATTTCATCCGGCAAGACGACGGATAGAAGCATCCTCTTTGTCGTCGCCCCGGAAGCGTATCTGATGCTTTTAAGAATCTGAACACATTACAGATCAAAGGCCCTCACCTCAATAAAACACAGGCTAGACCTGTTCCTTCTATGCAGGGGAGTTGGCAGGGACCCTCAGGTGCGATGTGGGAGTGGGAATAGTTGGGCTCGTCGCTGCGGTATCAGCGGATGCTTCAGCCTCGTCCCCTTCCATCACATCCTCTGAATTTGACACACCCGTCTTTCTCTCCATAGCTGACACAGTTCTTGGGCATGAAGGTTGTGGGAGCCTCGAGTATTTCGCTGACTGTTGAACGTTCACATCTGCTGATGATCCATCCGACTCTTCTTCAACATCAATGCTCCGGGGAAAAGGTTCGCTTGCAGTCAACCGCCGGCGATTGTTTCCCGCGAGTGCGGTGGTCTCCTCCAACTCTGGTTGATCGGTTTGCAAACCGGGACTTTCGGCTTTGACACCTTCGCTCTCCGCATGTGTTTCTTGTGTGCTCCTAATGGAATGGTCTTCGTCACTTCCCAAAGCCTCACGACCTTGCCCGATCCACTTTCGTTTCAGCGGGAAAAGCAATGGTGACCGTGGTTTCGAAGCAACGTCGGGAGAATCCCGAAGACTTTTCGCCGTCGACCACTTGACGTCGTTCTCCTGATTGGAAAGGTTCGTCTCGATTCTGGTTTTGGCTGAGTAGGCGCCAAAGGAAGTCCCGTAGTGACCTTCAGTCGCAGTCCTGGGGTCACTAGTTGTAAAACTTGTAGTGTTGTTATAATCCTGGAATCGTCGAGGCCGAAATGTGCGCGCGTCGGGGTTCAGGCTTGACTCTGACGATCCACCTTTCCCTGGCGATTTTGACCGTGGTAATCTCGCACCCAACACACACGCAAGTCGTTTGGCGTTCGTCCTGTCTCGCGAGTCTACAGCATCATGCGATGCTTGATGGCTTCGATGCTGGTGTTCGTGGATGCTTGAGGGATCGCTAGTCGGCTCGGGAGCTCTGCATTCTGTATCTTCATTCTCACTTCCTCTCATTGTTCTCTCCACCAAGGTCTGGGTCTCTTGCTCACCCGAACTCATGTCGTTGACCAGGACCAATGCATCTGTTTTCGGTGGGAAACACGGTTGGGACTTCGACTTGCTCGCCCCAGCCTGCAGGCGAAGTTGGCTGCTCCATAGCTCATTATAAGCACCGTTCTGCTTGATGAGAGTGTCATGTGTACCAGACTCGATGATCTCGCCGTCCTCAATCACGAGAATATGATCGGCATGCACGACTGTAGACAGCCTGTGTGCAATCACAAACGCGGTCTTGCCAGCACATAGTTGACGGATGCTATTTTGAATCTTCCTCTCCGTGATGCTGTCAACACTGCTAGTGGCTTCGTCCAGGAGCAAAATGTCCGCCTTTTTGAGGATCGCCCGCGCAATCGCAAGCCGCTGAAGCTCACCACTCGAGAGCTTGGTGCCACGCTCGCCTACCTTTTCATGATAACCATGAGTAAACGACATGATTTTGTCGTGTAGGGCTGCTGCTTTACAGGCGTCCATAGCCTCTTCGTCCGTGCAGTCAATATCAGGGTATCTAACGTTGTCCAGCACTGACATGTTGAACACGACGGGACTCTGAGGAACCATGCCAATGTGTTTGCGGAAGCTTTCCAGATTGATGTGTCTGATGTCTTGTCCATCAATCAAAATGCGGCCTTGATCAACATCATAGAACCGGAAAAGTAGTTTCAAAATGGTACTCTTGCCGCCCCCCGTCTGTCCGACTAACGCCACAGTCTTCCCAGGCGCTGCACGGAAAGTAATTCCTTTCGCGATTTGTCGTTTGCCGTCATAAGAAAAAGACACATTCTCAAACTCGACTGCGCCTTCTAGGAACACGAAGGGTCGAGCATCTGGCAAGTCCTGAATGCGTGGCTGCTTTTCCAGTATCAACACCAGCTTCTCTGCGTTGACGAGCTTTTCAGTCACCCCTGATGTTGCGCTTGCCAGAGTGGTCAAGGGGCCGGTGACTTGTGCCCAGTATGTGATCAGAACCACAAAATCACCAATCTTGTGCTGATGGTGTGATATGTGCAGGGCTGCCACACTGCATGCGGCCACAAAGCTGATGCCAGGTATCAGGTAGCGCAGACCTTGGGTCCAAAACTCATAGAACCACAAAATCAGCATTCTGTCCTGAGTAGTGTCGCCTTTCTCCCTGTACCTCTGGATTTCATAAGGGATGCGTCCAAAGTGGCATACTGCTGACCAATTCAGTGAGGATTCGCTCATCTGGTAATACTGCTCGTGATACGCATCGACCCAAGATCGACGCATAGATCGCTTCCTCATGAGCGTCTTGAAGGTCAGCCCGAAGAACAGAACCAACATTGATGCGATAATAAAGGTCATGTAGAGCCCAAAGAGGCATGTAAGGACCACGGTTGCAAAGACCAAGTCGGCTATTGTAGGCAACGTTCGAAACAAACCGTCATGGAGCAAGTCAATCACATCTTGACCTTGGCTCATCGTCTGCCAGATGACTGAAGATCTCTTGGAATCGTGGAAGTCGGCGGACAATTTCATGATGTGACTGTAGCAATGCCGCTGTAATGCGACGATCAGATCAGCCCTTACCCGCCATGATAGCCAGGTTTCAATGAGTGGGAGAGCTGCGTGTGACATCAAAAACCAGAGAAACACGTAGACAGCCATTTCCTTCCAAGGAATCGTTTCTCCAAGGCCGTTGATGACACTTCCGAGACTGAGAGGGAGGGCAATCGTAACGATCCTTGTCGAGACATTGGCGACAAACATCCCGCCAAAGTACATCCGCATTTGTGAAGATCTTGGGTACATATAGGGCACAAAGAGTTTGAAAGAGCCCAGGTACTGCCAGAATGGCCTCGTTCGTATGCGCTGTCCGTCCGTTTCTTCCACATTTGGCGTTTGAGTCTCCCCGTGTGAGCCCGAGGGGTGCGGACTCGATTCATTTCCTAGCAACGGTCGCGTTTCATCGCCATTTCCTACAATTTCCTTTCCTCGTACGAAGCGAATCAAAAGGCTGTCTCCGAGGAGCCCGATCTCAACTGCTAGTTGGGCCCCTTGAAGAATGGATCGTGCGAATAGGGGCTTGTCTTCCAAGGATGTATCAGGCAATGATAGTGCAAAGACCGTGCTTTGGCAGACAAGGAGAATCGTCCAAGTTCCAATATGAGGGTATGACGCGCTGATGGGTGTTCCAACGAGACTAAGCGAGAGGATAACCCAGACCAGACTAAGGAAGAGCGCATAGACTGCGTCCGGGTCGGAGATTTGGTACGGGTCAGATCTCTTAAGGTCAATCACTGCCTCTGCAGAAGACAATAAGGCGGCGATACAAGCTGAGCCCAGTTGAAACTTGCGCAGGTTCGATTCTTTGGGCTCTTTGTTGTCGGAGAATGAGTTGACGATCGTGGCAGCGGCGAGGAAGGTGGTGGGCGCGACGACGGTAAGGAGCTGAAACACCCGCAGAACGACAACCGGGTGAGAAAACATAGTTGGTGTTTCGCTAGTGGTAAGGCTCATGGTCTTGTAGGAGAGGAAACGGAAGATCTGTATAGGAAGAGGCGGTAATAAGCGCTAGTTGGTGGTGTCTGCCTGGTAGAAGGCGGATGGTTAAGCAGCCTGATCGACAATACAAATACTTTTTTCCTGATACCGCAGAATGGATTGCTGGGGAAGGTCGAAAATTGAAGGCGAGCACGATCAGGACAGAAAGAGACTGAGGGTAAATCGAGGTGATGGTGAAATAGCCTGGAGCTCGAGTTAGGCTCGTTTGGCAAGTATCGAGCCACTGCTTCCTCCTTGCAGCAGGAGCGTTCAGGTTTGGGACAAACGGGCGTAGCCAGGTTGAGACGCACCATTTACGACTGCGTGCGCCCCAAGTCCAGGTTCGGGTCCAAATACATGGGATGCTAACTGAAATGTCTCATGACTGAAGTTTGGTGGACGTTGATTCATCCTGGCTAGCTGCATTCTTCGCAGCCTCGCCATAGAGGGTGACACGATCGGTTTGTCTCCTTTGACATAACAGATACTGGAGGAGGTCTCTACAACCTCGCCGGACAAAGCTGATGTAAAACCGAGGCATTCCTCAAGACTACCAGCGAATGTTAGCGGGATGGTGTCAGGTCCGCACTGACAACAGGCTGTGCAACCTCGACAAGGGGGTCTGAGGCCCGTATCCCGCCCCTGGGGGTCATCTCACAGATTCACTAGCGTGCCTTGCATCCCTCAGCTGGAGACAGATGAGATGGGATTTGGTCAATCGGCATCCGCTACTTTCATAAAGACCAATGGCGAGGAATGGTGCTAGAGATCCCCGAAGCGAGTCTGCGGCAGTGATTGATGATCGGTAAATATTCAGATGCCCGTAGACAAGGATCAGCGTATCAGAACCGACCGAAAGAATCTGTCGCAGGAAGATTGAAGGTCCCGCGCCATCCGAAGTACCATGCCCCCCAAAGAGCCAGTCGGCAGCTGGAATTCAATGTTGCACAACATCGCCCAGAAGGGCTGGAAGGATCGCCGAGCACAAACAGTGCGTCTGCTCGGTAGATGAGATGCAGGTCGCTCAATCTTGACGCGGCAGAGTCCTTTCAGCATCGGCCTAGATCGAGCGACCTTACCAGTGGCATCTGTGTCGTTCCAGATCCAGTCAAACCAAAGAAGGGCGCGATTGCGGATCTGGCCACTGCTTGGAAAAGGCCCCCAACCACAGCATCCTGGAGATCCTGTCCTGTCTGTTTGAAGTCCGGGTAGGCGTTTAGTTCCAGCAGCCACACGTTACATTCCCGGTCAATCAGAAAGTCCACGCCAAATATTTCGAAAGCATTGGGCACCGCTTGGAAGTGAATCATCTGTTCACGAGCTGCAGCTTCAAATACCTCACCAGTTATATCGCAGATTTGTTGAAACACGGCGTCTTTCCAGTCTGCACGCATCCCAGGAGATTGTAGGTCCCAGAATCGATAGACGGAGGTGCTCTTGGTCGTCTCATCTTGAAAGCAGGTATTTGTCAGATGTTGTGCCAGGTCAAGCATCTCGGAATCTGTGGCAGAAGTGGGTGGCTGATAGCCTTTCGCTGCGAACAGAGCTAGCATCTCCTTGTACACATACACTTTCAAGGCTCCCACGGCTAACACGTAGGCCCGGATGTGGAACTTTCGATTGCCATAGGACTCGAGCAGTAACGGGGGGTCGATGTAGGGTTGAGCGATGAAATGTCTGAGTTGGGATGTCATTGCGTTACCCTCAAAGAGGTTGACTTGTTTGCTGCCCGGAGCCTGATGGGACTCGTCCTCTTCGCTCGAACTTTCGGCATCGGCATCGGGCGCGTCTTGTTCCCACTCCTCAAAGATGGCTTGCAGTTCACTGCTAGTTGAGAATAGTCTGATACCATTGCCCCCATCACTCATGCCGGGTTTCAGTATCCACCACTCTCTTTGACCATCAGACTCTTGCTTCTCGTTCTCTGCCAAGCTCTCGTTCAGGTCCCATGCATCCACCAGGGCCTCATCGAGGAATTCTGCATAGTCGAGTTCGAAATGGACACACGGCTTGAAATGGTTTTTCAGGATGCTACTCGGGTGTTTGACTAGCCAGGTAGACACGGTACCGGAAAGATAGTGTTTGCGAATGAGCGCTTTCCGGATGACATACGAGCAGACAAGGGACGTCTGTGTGTGCTGCATGGCATGCTCAAAGTCCAGTTTTTCGTAACCGGTGAACTGGAAAACGCGGTCTGAAGGATTTGGCAAGTCACTCAGGTTAGAAATGCGCCTGACGGGAATAGGAGCTAATTGCCCAAGAGCATCCAGAATGAGAGGCTGCACATATGCATCCGGGTAATCAATGAGTGCATATACGGGCGGAGAATTCGAATCTATATTGCAGGCTATTGAGCTTGAACGAGCGTCACCTCTGCGCAAGGCATCGATCAGCAATTGCTCCCAGATTGACCGCTAGCTTTGTTAGAGGTGAACTTACTCACAGCTTGATTTCGCCGGTGTAATGAGGCAAGTGCCAGAAATTCGCGATCAATGGAGTGACCCTATCGCTATTAATGCACGGTCTCGACGCCTGTCACCTCTGGTATACTTACGTGATGTTTCCTTGCAGCACCTCCCAACCATCACCCTTGCCAGCATCGACAACGGCCTTCCGAACGTCTGCGAAGTTCGGGGACCACTTGAATCTGCGATGGACTCGTCTTGTCACGAGGTTGGTGTTGTTGTTTCCGTCAGCTTCACCAGTCTCACGGATTATCTGCTCCTCCTCGTTGGGGTCTTCGTTGTCTTCCTCCGCAGCCAATTCGGTGAAGGAGCTGCCACTGATCCAACGGTTTTGTATCATTTCAGCATAGACGATTTTGTTGTTCTCCACTCCTTGCCGTAGTGGAACATTGATGCTGTATAGATGCACATCGTCTGGCCACTCTTTGGCCAACTTCTCCATTAATCGAGTGCTCAACCTCGAAGCGGCAGAGATGACCTCGAGGTCATGCTCTCTGGAATCAAAGGCATAAGATAAGGCAATACTCTTCACGCCGCTCATTGCGCCTTCCATTGCGCCACCAATCGTTCCGCTGGACAGAGCAAACACCGCAGTGGTGTTCCGGCCATAATTGGGACCGCTGACCACTAGGTCGATTGGCCCCCTGTCCTTGAACACATGATGAAGGCCGATCTGGACGCAGCTTGCCGGCGTACCATCTACTAAAATCCACTCCTCTCCGCCGTCGTTAAATGGTCGGTTCGAAGTGGTTCCGTCGTCTTTCAAGACCGAACCAGGGCGATAGTAAGTCGGGGTTAAAGTGTGACCAACCATGTGGGCCTTTCCTATCCAGGACCTCTGAACGTGAGGCAGGACCACTGATACCAAATGCCCGGCATCTTGAAGGGCGGTCACCAGAGAATGAACATATGGCGATGACTGATTAGACGGAGGACCGTCATCATTTACAACCTGGTGGGTGAGTCAGCAATCTCTTCCCCTCTTAGAGCTTGGGAGTGGCGCACAAGTATGTGCATGTCGAAGGTAAGTCTATCGACCGGACACCACGTCTAAAATATGATGCAAATGCAAAGAAGTCTATGAGCGAAGTGCAATCTACTGTATACAAGATGAGATGAACCCGAGGAAAATTCAAGACGGAATCCGTTGATGCTTGGCAACAGTAGCGCCGCTTTAACAGGCGACAAAGGAAATGTCATGTGTTCTCTGCGAGGGATATATATGTGATGAGAGATCAATTGTCGGTAGGGAACCAGCTGTTTTCAGTGCCAGTGGTGCTGCAGTTCTAGATGGCAAACAGAATTTGGAGGCCGTCTACAACACTTCCATACCTGGTGACGCATGAAGTGTGGGAAGTAACGAACTCAAACTGGCCAGCGTAAAGGCCACTTCAATAGAGTTGTTTGCAGTTATTTACAGGCTCAAGCACTCGATCATTCCGGTTGTTGCAAAAGGAGTGAAGTGGCTCGATGAACCTCCATGCTGCTGGCCGTGCCTACCTACTTGGAGGACAGGCATATGAGACTCGGACACTGACGAGAATTGACGAGAGCTGACGACATTGCTGTGGAAGGTCGTGGACTTAGAGCAGCACGAATCGACTATGAACCTCGGCATGACTTCGGGACAACACAAACACCACAGAACAACGACGATGTCATTGTTCAAAGGAATTCCCGTTTCGATGCGACCCGTCACCCCGTCTATCACCTCCCACAAGAACGACGTAGGGATAATGCCAGAACACCACCGCCACCATCACCGTCACCGGTCGCGGTCAAGGTCGCGCTCTCCTCACCATGCTGATCGTAGATCCTCCCACCATTCCTACCGTTCTCGATCTGATGAGCCATCTCGCCAGCACACCAAGAAGTCTCCCGCGCTACCCAAGCCACTGCCACATGGAGCACGAGAGCTTTCACGGCATGACCTTCCCGCATATCGCCCCTTGTTCGCTCTGTATCTGGATATCCATAAACAACTGAATCTTGAAGAGCTGGACGATACGGAGGTCAAGGGACGATGGAAGAGTTTTGTTGGAAAATGGTAAGAAAGAAATACCTAGAGCCTAGCGCGTTGACTCTGCCGGTGCTGGGTGTGGGAGACGTAAAATCTGGTCAATACGCATGCTTACATGGCAGGAATCGTGGAGAGCTTGCACAAGGCTGGTACGATCCCGAAACGTTAGAGAAGTCAAGAGCGCAAGGTCAAGTTTTGCCCTCCCCTCGCAGGACGAGCACACAACCAGGTCAGATGAGGAGATCTGATGCTCGACCGCTGAGCCAGAGCAACGAGGATAGCGAAGAAGAAGTAGATTTTGGTCCTCCCCTACCCTCATCGCTCACGACGCGTGGCGAGCACGACGACTCTCTCATGTCTCGAACGCAGGGAGCCTCCGTACCTTCCCTCGATGAACTTCGTGCACGGGACGAGCAGGTTACCGAAGAAGCCGACGTGGCCCGGCGAGAGCATACTAAACAACTTCGTCACGAACGTCATCTAGATCGCAGAGTTCAGAAAGAGCGTCTCGAAGAACTTGTACCGCGTGCCGAGGCGGGAAGCCGCGAGCGCCAACTGGAGAAAAAACGCGAGCGCGCCGAGGCCAATCGCTCCTTTGCAGCTTCGAAAGATGCGTCCGGCGATGTAGAAATTATGGATTCCGAGCTCATGGGGGCCGAGGACGGTCTGACAGACCTCAAGAGACTGCAGAAGGAGCAGGAAAGAAAGAAAAATGAGAGGGAGCTTCGCAGAGAGGAAATACTGCGGGCCAGGCGTGCAGAGCGGGAAAGCAAGTTACAGGCTATTAAAGAAAAGGAAGAGAAAACCATGAGCATCTTCAAAGAGATTGCACGACAGCGCTTCGGTGGTGGAGACGAGCCATGAATATTCGGGGTACAAAAAGGACAACACTTATTTTGATTTTCCTGGAGCATGGGTATCTAACTTGCGTTAAGAGCAGCGATGGCGTCTGCACCATCAGGTTGCTGCTGCTGCTGCTGGGAAGATGATCCAGAAGATGCACCATTAGCCACTGGTACATTAGCCCCGTGACTCGCAGCCGCCGGGCTAGGATTATTTGCCGCCTTGAGTGCCGCCATCTGCCAGGCCGGAATAGAAGCTTTGGTGCCAGATGTCGGTCTGCTTCCAGATGTTGCCACCGGAGTCGGGTTAGAGGCAGGAAGTTGTGGAGTTGAGTTCGTAGACGATGGTATTGGCCGAGGCGCAGATACACCGCTACCAGCAGGGGCATTCTCCACTGAAGGGGGTGGTGCTGGGGTACTGGACGTGGAGGCAGCGTTTGAGCCTGGCATTGTCGGTGGCTGTGCCCGTGGGACTCCAAAGACTCCAGAGCCGCTACCCATACGATTTCCCATCAGGGCTTTCAAACTGCTCAACTCGGTGCTCAACTCTTTCAACTGCCTCTCGCTCGCATCTCGTACGTTGTCAATAGAGCGAGGCAGACCATCTTTCATGGTCTTGATTTCTGCCTCCATACGTCGCGCATCGTCTTCACGCTTCTGATTTGCCGCTTTCAGTTCTGCAACAATCTCTTCGATATCCGTAATGGCGCTGTCCAGTCTTTGCGTTCGAGCCTCTTCAGCCTGTTTCAATGCAGCAGTATCGGAAGACAATGTGTCGAGCAGTGCAAATGCCTTGTTGAATTGCTCGTCAATGGCGGCTTTATCCTGCTCCAGTTGTGGTGGTGTGGGTGGCGATATTAATGGTTTGATGTATCTCTGCGCAAGGACGTACATGCCGTATCCCGCACCGCCGACCACGGTAGCCATGATGAACCAATCTCTCCAGTCTCGTTTGGGCGGCTCCGGCGGTGGAGGTTGCCAGTCTCCGTACGGATTGTAAGGGTATGGATATCTGGGACCCGGAGGACCTCGGACATCGTGGGCGCTGGGAGGCGGATAGTAGGGAGCATTTTGTGGCGACGGTGTAGAGACGGCAGCTGCATCCCCGCCAGCACGGGCAAGAGACACAGTGATTTCTTCTTGTGTGAGATTCTTGGATTTGAGAAACTCGATGCGCTTCTCGAGGGGAGCAGAAGCGACAGACGGGTCCTGGAGGAACGTGACCGCGGATGCAACTAGGTCTTCGCGCGGCGCCATTGTTGGCGAGATGGTATCTCTCGAGCTAAGTCATTCAAAGTTGAATTTGTGAAGATACCATGAGCCAGGGACAGTGACCTGGATGGAAGAGTCGCAGATGATAGAAGAGCCTCAATCGACTGCGAGGAAACGATGGTGTCCAGCCACCCGTCATCTTCAATTATTCCTACTCTCAGAGTCTAATCTCTTCCTAGCCGAGGCACATAGTCACGTGGGATGTCTCGGGCTCTAGTCGCTGTGGTGACCGATACCGAATTAGCGTGTTGAGAGCTAGCCTAGTCCGTTCACTGTTGTACCCAACGTCCGCCTTGTGGACCATGTAGTCAAGCGCGTAGGCTGCAGACGATAATCCATCTCTACGACTAACCACTCCACGTCATATTGCGACTACATTGACAGTACCGTTAAGTCGAGGCGCCGGTACGAACAATTTTGTTGCATGCTGTGTACTCTACTACAGACTCCAACACACGCGATCGCCAGCCGTCTACCACAATGTCGCAACCTACCGGCTTGTTCAGCGTGCGCCGACCAAGGGAGACTTTGGGTAACATCACAAACTTCTCGGGAATTCCTCAGCCCGCGTCTGCCGTCAAGCGCACCTCTTCCAATGCCGAACTACGAAATGCGCCGTATACCGCCTCTCATGTGCGATCCACGTCGATAAACCAGAGCATTCAGCGCCCTGCACAACCCATATTTCATCGCTCCTCGTCTGGTGGTAACTTGGCGGAAATGGGCATGTCGACTGCTCGGCGGTCGGTCTCGAATAATATCTTTGGGAGCACACACACCGGGCGACAGAGCCTGGCGCCAAACCAATTGTTTGGCTCTCAGACACCAGCATCGCAGGGTTTGCAGAGAAGAAGCAGCATCTTTTCTCGCCCCTCTGGTCATGGCCCCACGGCGCACCAGTCGTTCTTCTCACAACCGCCCGCACCAGCAGGCGCACCTAAAGACCCAAGGCCATTGAGAGATTCGTCGTATAGGGCACGACTGAGCCAGGAATTGCTCGACTATCTGACGCAGAACAATTTCGAGTTGGAGATGAAACACTCATTGACCCAGAACTCTGTCAAATCGCCAACACAGAAGGACTTCACATTCATGTTCCAATGGCTGTACCGTCGCATTGATCCAGGTTACAAATTTCAGAAGAGCATCGACACCGAAGTCCCTCCAATCATGAAACAGCTGAGATATCCTTACGAAAGAGACATTACGAAGTCACACCTGGTCGCGGTGGGTGGTCAGAATTGGCCTCGCTTCCTGGGATTGCTGCACTGGATGATGCAGCTGGCTCAGATGCTGGACAACTTTACCCGCGGTGCATACGATGATGCGTGTACGGAGGCTGGGGTCGATGTTTCCAGTGATCGCATCGTATTCAGATTCTTGTTCGGCGCCTACCAAGACTGGCTGCAAATGGGCCCAGAAGATGACGAAGAGAGTGAAGAAGCCGCACTTCAACCACATATCCAGGCGATGACAGACGAGTTTGAGCGAATCAACGCCAAACATGCCGAGGAGCTCAAACTATATGAGGCGGAGCATGAAGCTCTCAAAGCACAGATTGACGAATTCGAGCGCAATGCGCCTGACATTGCTAAATTGGACAAGCATTTTAAGATCCTGGAAGACGACAAGAAGAAGTTTGAGGAATACAATGCCAATGTCCAAGCAAAAATTGAAAAGTACGATTCGAGAATAAAGATCCTCGACGCCGAAATCCAAACGGTCGAGGCGGACTTGGAAGTCGCGGAGCAAGAACGACAGAATTTGCAACACTCGGTCGACCGACAAGGCTTGAATATCCAGGACATTGACCGAATGAATACAGAGCGTGAGAGACTAGCAAAGAGCCATGAAGATGCTCTAGCTGCGCTCGATGAAGTCAACAAGAGGGTCCTTGAGAAAGAAGACGAAACTGCTCGTAAGCTGGAAGATCTAGAGGCAGTTGTCAAACGATACAATTCCTTGGGCTACCAGATGTCCCTCATCCCCTCATCGGCGGTCAACGCAAAGGGCGTAGACTACGAGCTCTCCCTCAACTTGTCCGAGCAGGGTTTCTCTTCTTCAACATCCCATTCACGCCGCAGTCGTGCTTCACCGATTGAGTCAGACCGCCTTCTTGCCGAGCAAAACATGGGATATTCGCCGATGCATCTTCTCAACCTGGACCTTCGAGGTGTTGTTCGTAATGCGTTCATTTCGCTGAGGAAAGAAATCAATGAGCGTCGAAAAGCCGCGGCGGAGTCGGATCTCAACGCCCGTGACTTCCTCGACAACATATCGGAGGCCCTGCATGAGAAGAACACAGAGATAGACAATCTCAACTATCGCGTGCAGGAAGCGTCTCGACAATACTCGACCTTGAAAGAGAATGGCCAGACAGCGCACACGCAGCAGACTTCCGCAATTGAGAAACTGGAGAAGGAGCTCAGTCGGATGCGAGAAGGATTGGAAAAGGGAGTCCTGGAGCTTGAGCAGCGCGAGCTGGAAGTGCAGCTGGCGTACGAGGGCATGCGCGAGGAGAGCGCGCGAGTCCGCGAGGAGCTGCACGGCGGCATCGAGAAGCTCCTGGAGGATGTCATCCGGTTCAAGGTCCACGTGCGAAAGGGCCTGGAAGAGTTTGAAGGCTGGGTCGGTGAGGAGGTCGAGCTCGAGTTGTTAGGTGACGAGATGGGTGAGCTCGGACTGGAGGACAGGCAGGGCGACGAGGAAGGGCACGTTAACGGTGCGCAAGCGAACGATGAGGACATGTTTTGATTTTGCATTTGCTTTTTGGGAGGTAGTTGGTATATATGAATTTTCTTTTACTGACTCTCTCTCTCCCTCTCTCTCTCTCTCTCTCTCCCTCTCCCTCTCTCTCTCTCTCTCTCTCTCTCTCTCTCTCTCTCCCCACCTCTTCACATCTCGCTTTTATATGTATCGACGCATGAGACACGTGCGCACTTACTTGGATGATTAGGCTAGGTAATATAGGCAGGATGGGGTACTATGTAGGTAGGACACCCAAGGTATTGAGATACAGGGTACAGTACCTGTACCTACTTCGGCAGGTCACGGTCAATGTCTTTGAGTCAATGTCAAAAGGAAACGTCAAAGTAAGCGCCAAATCTGAAATGTATTTTTCACTCTATCAATCACCCCTCAAACACGTCTATCACCTCAATTATTCCAAGGTTCCTTGCTCATGCCGCAAGCAAGCAACTGTTAGTTACCCTATTATGCCTTTACTCCTCCGTGCTGTTTCAAAAAACCTTTTCTCGACGACGAACCCGAACGTGAGCAATAATAAAATCGAGTTAAGCCGCATCGCCTCACATGATCATAGTATAGACAGACAGTGTGTCACAGCCCAGTAGCTACTAAGGCGTACATACATACATATATATAATGCACAGATGCGTGGGTAGGTACTGGTACTGGTACTGTCAATGGGTGGATAGGTAGGTAGGCAGGTAGGTAGGTAGGCAGGTAGGTAGGTAGGCACGTAAGATAAATACAGAAATGCACCTGGATCCTCATTACGTGCAGTAGGTACTACGTAGGTACTAAGGAAAGCGATGGGTAGATAGTAATGCATACATACATACCTATCTTTGTATGTATGAGGTGAGGTAGGACCTCCACCTCAAGGTTCCCTTGTTGTTGTTTTTTTCTCGTGGAAACGCCGTCCACCACATACCTACCTACGTAGATACCTAGGTACCTAATCTACATAGGTACGGCGGCTGAAACATCTTTTACAAGTTTCATAAACACCACACACCAACGCTATCCGGCGCAGCAGAACCAGAATCAGACGCACAAACAAGCAATGATAACTCCGTACTGACGCCCACGCCAACGCCAGTGCAGGTCCGTATATCAAACCAGTCAATCAGCCAGTCAGTCGATCCAGTCGATCCAGTCAATGACGGTGTACATAAGTTTTCGTGTCCCCATCCCAGGTACCTCGTGTATGTACTTAATCGAGGCGTTTAAATCGGTCATCAGTCAGTCAGTCAGTCAGTCAGTCAGATCACGCCCCGACACTGACCTGCCCGCTTCCCTCGCCCGGCGCCCCACCGCTCTGACTGCTCCGCCTTTCCTTCTCCAGAGACTCTTCGTCCGGGAGCATCTCGACCTGCCGGAGCAAAAAGCTCTTTTCGTCCAGGAACTGGTCGTCGTCGGTCCGCCCCTCCAGGAAGGTGGGCAGGAACCTCAACAGCCGGCCTCGGTTCTTGACCAGGATCCGCTTGACCTCGTCGCTCTTGTTCGGATTCGCCACAAAGACCTTGAAAACGTGGAAGGCCTCGTACTGGACCATCTTTCTGTCGTCTTTGAGCAGCGTCATGGTCAGTTTCAGATGGTCGGCGCTCGAGACGTATTGGGTCATGATGATGTAGTTGCTGCGGTCGAGGAGCAGTTCGCCCAGCAGCTTGATGGACTGGCGTTTGGTGACATACGAAGGCGATAGGAGAAGGATGGGGTTGTAGTACTGCGTGAAGAAGAGGGTATAATTGGTCGCCAGGTATTGTGAGACGAGTTGTTTGTGCTTGGTGAGGATTTCCTAAGATCCCGCACAGATTAGTACCGGTAGTAGCGGCGTGTACAATGACACGCATCAGTGAACAGGGGGCAGATATTGACTTACCCTAAAAGTGGTAAACGCATCAGCAGACACCTCAAAGCTGCTTTTATTGATCCATTCAAAAAACTTCCAAAACACGCCTTTGCCTGTTTGTTTGCGGCTGACGTCCAGATCTTTGAGGTGTACCGCCTTTTCGCCTGGTTGAGATTCGTCGTATAATATCACCGCCGCAATGGTGTCGTATGCCAGCGCTTGTCGCAGAATGGTCCCGCACGGCATGGCCGACTGTGGATGGTCATACCCCCGACACAGCTCGACAATGATCTCGGGCCGTTGGAGGACAAGGTAGGAAATCGCCGACGGGTCCGACGACCCGGACTGTGACGAAGAGTTCGAGGCCTTGTAGCGCAGGATATGAGAGAAGATGATCTGGGCATCTTTCCGCGCTTCAAAGGGCAGCAGACGGATAGATTTTGCCAGCTCGAAGAGGATGTCTTCTTGAATGATGCAGTGGACGAGTTGGTGGACTTGCTCTGGGCTGCATTCAACTTCTGTACTCGGGTGGTTAGAAGGGGGATTCGTCGAGTATGTTTTTGGTGCCGGGTTTGGTAGAGAGCTCGAACCTGGAGTGCCTTGGACAATCAATTTCATCTGGGACATGTGTTTGGCGACATCTTCCTCCACCTGTACAACGAGCAGTCAACATGCAGTCTTGCAGCTACATTGTGAAGGACAGGTTTACGTACTTTTGGACTGGGACTGGGATCGTTGAGTTTCACTAGGAGGTCTTTCAACGACCTTGCGATCTCGGCGGGTTGCTTTTGTCGCCCTCTCCCTCCAAAGAGAAAGGCCATGGTGGACCTCTAGCAGACAACTAGCATACAGTCGTGAAAGAATAGGTCACAGAAGCAAAGATGGAAACAATGGAAGTCTTGATTTACGGTGCTGCGGGCGCTTTCGAGGGGTTCCAGTGATTGTTCGATTTCCCTGCGCGACCCACGGAATCTCTGCCGCGGTTTGGATCGAAACTCCAGACCCGCAATGTTTTTGTGTATCTGTTGATTGGGCAACCATCGCCACCAACCCTGATGAGATCAGATCAAGCCACCGTTCATCATGTCTATCACCCCCCAGCTCTGTCCCAAAGGATATTAATTGTCCTGCCCTTTTCACTATTTCGGGCATCGGTACGCAACCTTCTCGAACATCTGTCCTCCCACCGGTCCCCGCTTCACCTCCAACTAGCCTCTGTGAACGTCTGATCCCATGTCCTGACCGACTCCAGCGATCTCTCGTTCGGATACAATCAAGTACAGCAATCGGTGGAGCATTTTGGGGCGTCGAATATTGAGCCCAGATTACAGCAGCAAGCCTAGAACGAGTCCCACAGGTCAGACATGGCCAGATCAACCACTTCTGTTTCTTGAGCATCGGTCCCAAGGAACAAAGAGATGGCTACTTTACCTTCACTCCCCAGCTTGGACAGCAGTCACAGTTCTCGTAGCACGCCTTGCTGTAGCCTGGCAGCAAACTACATTTGCAGGCTTGGGCACTTTTTTGATTCGTCGAGTTGGTTTCAAGTTCGAGGTGGGTGACCTTTGTCGGGCTGGTGACGTTGTTGGCGGAGTCGTTGAAGTCGAAAGGGACGGCCAAAGCAGTTGCTGGGCTGAGGATGAGAAGGTACAAAGAGGTGGCCAAGCCAAGACACTTCATTTTGATCGGCTCTGTCCGTTGACTGCGCAGCAGCAGTGAGAGAAATGTCCAGAATAGAGAAATGAGGAACGATTCATCACAACTACAAACAATCATGCAAGTATTTTATTATAGGCAGCCACCAGATCACTGCCTCCTGTCACTAGGTGAAGTCCGGTTGCCACTCCATCTCTACTCAAATTGGATCTTCACTTGTACACTCAAAGTCCATGCTCGTCTTTCACTGCCCAGACTGTTTCATAGAAGATGAGGAGGAGCACAGGCGGCAGCGGGCGGATGAAGGACACATGTGAAAGGTTGTGAGACAAGCAACACCTGGCCTGATTAACTTCACATTGGCAACGTCGTCTCGTTCACAAGTGAGGGCTCGACAATTAAGGGCCGACTCTGTGTGGGATTTCGGGTTGCTGGTAGTTGCATGGTTGAGTGAACCGACACCTGGTGGACTGTGCGTGTCAATGTTGTAGTTTCTGAAGTGAATTTTCCATCCATAATGTGAATAAGTCTCGCAGTCTTCGGTCTGTTGTCTCTGGACTGCTTGTATTTGATCAGGAATCGGGTGTTTGCGCTGTCGACGTTGTATTCCTCAATCCGAAGCATCTCTTTGAGCAACAACCTACCACCTCGATGATGTTCTTGTCGTCAGAACCAGGGGTTGTGGACCCTATTGTTTGCCACATCTCTCGGCGAGTGAGGAGAATGGTATATTATGAAACGATTCTCTGATGTCTCTTTACTCTGAGCATTTCAGTGCTCAGAGCTCAACCCTCCCAGCCATCATACCATAACTAACGTCAAAGCAAAGGTTTAGTGCTGGCCCCATTGCTCGAAGGACAGTCACGAAGCGAGAGCCACTGATGCAGGAAATGCAAAAGGGATACACCGTCGCCGCGGTCGAGTTCGCCGAGGAAAGGCGGAATCAGTCATTATATGCTCCTTCCCTCTCGTTGAGGACTGAGAGCCCAACCATGTACGAATAACGCAAAAAGTGGTCCTCCGCAAAAAACGACCCCAAGTCTAGGAGGTTCTCTAGAGTCCTGCGACCGGAAGAAATTGAGATGATGCGTCAGAGCGTTTCGGAGATGCGTCCAATACCCCTATCGCTTCCTCGCTGATCCGTCCAAAAGCGCAGTGCTCTTCCCTTTAACGGCTGGCTCTTTCTCCTCCTCGTCTGGCGTCTTGGGTCCCGAGAGAGTCTCATAATCGAGCTCAGTCGCCGCGGCCTCCACAATGCTTTGCTTCCGTTCGCGTTCACGAGGAAACTCCTCGTGGGGCTTACCCTCAAACCTCTTCAGGACTGCCTCAATCATCTTGCCAAACCAGTAGAAGTTGAGCGAATTCAGTACCAGATTGCAAGTCAGATACACCCCCGCCAGCCAGACTGGAACAGATTCCGTCTGTGATCCAGTGAACTGCATGACTTCGGATTGAGCTATAATGCAGCTCTTGTCACCTAGGCATAGTTGGCCGTCTCTGGGGACGAATATAGAAGAATGGGAAGAAGCGGGTATCTCGCGAAGAACAGGGCCTGATTGAGTGTTGAGGTGCATCGTATGCCACACATCTTGATATACCCGCAACGACTGGTAGGTGCCCCAGATCAAACGGCAGCCAAAGAACACCGAAAGAAGAATCATTCCGTTGTACCATTGCAGCTGAGACCCGGTCATGTTGAGTTTATCGCAGAACCAGTGGATGTTGAGGAAAGGAGTCGACAGTTCATAGAGAATGAACACCGGGCCATAATAATTGCAAAATGGTCTCTGTACGTCTCAGTCAGCGAAGACACCACGAATTTTCGGGGCGAAACATCTTACAAATCCTAGTGCGAACACTGAGAGGGCAGTGATGGCATGGGCTAGGATACCCGGACCAAAGATCTTGAGGTAGCGCGCGCTCACGACAAGATCCCAGACAAAGTATCCTGTCGCCAGGCCTTGAATGAGCCCGGACGCACCCGTGTATCCGTATATCCGCTCAATTGCACTGCCGTGCATACCCTTACGCTCCTCGTCCTTGAACATTACCCATAATGCCGCAGTATTGATGACACACGACTGTAGCAGAGACACCACGTGTACATCCCAGTTAATGCGAGTGCGTCGCGTGAGCTTCGGGTAGATGTTGGGAAATAGGAAATTCGAGAGAACAGGCGACAGAATGGACTGAGTTGTCTGGTACAGGACAAAGGCTCCTAGGACTTCGTGGATGTGGTTCGGTAGGGAAGGGAGATGGAGAGTCTCGCTCAAGGGCGTCACCAGACTAACAAGCCATGGTGGAGGAGGGGGAAAGGGATCTCGCATCGTTCAGAGGGAGGGAGAGAGGGATGCGTGCGGCGGCTGGAATGATGAGGCTGCAAGATGAGTCGTCGTCGACCGAGTCTAGTAGAAATGGAAGGAGGTCACTTTGGACGTCAATGAGGGTGAAGAATAAAGGAGGGAAGCCAACCAATTTGTACAAGTTGGGATCAAACAAGTGGCATCGTGCATCTGGGCTGCTGGGCTCTCGCTGGTACCAGACGCAGCGAATGAGGAAGGAATGACGCACAACCAGGCGGGAAATTGTTGGGGAAAACGGGAAAGGCGCCTTGGATGCCTTGAGGAAGGAAGGTGATCACGTTGGCAGACCAAAGGCTTAGGATCGTCCCTGTTGATTGGTTGCCTGGCCATCCAACGAGGCTGTACCAAAAAGGGAATCATGCACATGTCAGCAGCAACCTTGAGGCCATACAAGCTATATTAGGTCAATCCAATGTCCATATTGAGTATCTCGATACTTGTTCCGTCATCAACCCCGTCCCGGGCACTGTGTTGCAATAATACTCGCTGAACGCTCACTACCCTTTCATCTGACTATCTAGCCAAGAAGAAACATTAGACAACAACGACTCCAGAACGCCTCCCTCCTCATGATGTCCATTCTCTTGAACTGCCCATATCCTACGCCGTCATGTGGAAGTATTCGTTATGGCTCTCCGAGCCTGCTGTCAACGGCTCGGTCCCTAGCCCGCTGTCACTGCCATGGTACTTCATTCCTTCCTCGGTAACTGCGGGTTGAGGCTGCATGTCGGACAGCATGTCTTCTTCGACAATGGTGCCACGTGATCCGGTCATCGTGGTCAGTGCCATCGAGTCCTCTTGACTTTCGTCATTACCGTCATTACCAGAAGCCTGAGCGTTGCGTAGGACCATGGCCGTTTGGGTATTCTCGTCCGTCTCCAGCTCCTCATCCTCTTCGGCAATGCTATCCGTTTGTCCGTTAATGGTCCCAACAATGCTGCTACCACAGCTGGTCGACCTCCTGCTGTCCCTGCTCAACGAGCTTCCTGTGCCATATGTCATGCTGTCGGTGTACATGACGCTTGTGCCATAGCTCGTCCTCCTCTCAGTGCTTGTTTCGCTATGATTGTCGTCATCACTTTCATCGTGGTCAACGTCAAAGTTCTCTTTGTCCGTCAACTCTGTTGGTACACCATTCCAGCTGGCCTTCCGTCCGTTGATATAACTGCTAGGGTTGCTCTTTACAGACTGGCTGCGTTTGAGACTGACCAGACCGGTTGTTTTAGGCACAGGGGCAAGCATCAAAGCCATATCGGGCGTGTTCCGACCACGGTTACCAGTGACATGGCTGGTGCTCAGAATTCGCCGGTCAACAGCAGATGTTCTTGGAGCTGACACTGCCTTGGTGTTTGAGGTTAGTGGCGTTCTCTTTTTCAAGGCTGTACCGACAGCATTGCCGATGGTAGACTTTCCGCCCTTGATCGAAGTTCTGGCTGTAGCTGTGCTAGCGGTACTTGGAACGCGCTTGAGACTCATTGATGCATCGCGTTCGGCTGGGCTGATTCTTGATCTGTTGATAGTCTTTGAAGACGTCTTAACCGCTCGAGCTTGGTTCACAAGTCCCTCGAGGATGCGACGCTCAAGGACCTCTGCTCTGGCGTTCATCTCGCGCATCTCGTCTTGTCGGATTTGCAGCGCAGTCTCAAGCTTCGCCACATCTCGAGTCAATTTCTTTGTCTGCCCAATGAGCTGTTCTTGCTCCCGCCTCAACGTTGCCATGGACTCCAGGAGATTGTTCTTTTCTTCATTGAGGTAAACAATATCAGCTTCGACTTTCTCCTTCTGGGCCATTCGCTTCTCCAAGGCAATCGCCGCTTCTGTGGCCTCAGCAACTTTGGAGTCGTGGTGCTCCCCCATGAGTCTTGCCTGTGTGGTCACCATTCCGGCAATCTCAGCCGCGGTCGACATCACTTGTTGGTGAATCTCGTCAAGTTTCCCAAGGTTGGCCAACGAGTCTCGAGACTCCTTCTGATGCTCCTCCAGCCCAGCGAATATCTCCTTCGCTTCGCTCGCATGAGAAACAAGAGTATCTAGCTTGTAATGCAATTCTGTGGCATCCTTCGCCGACTCGGCATGGGATAGAAGAGTATCCAGCTTGTCATGCACCTCACTGATATCCTTCGACGAGTTGGTCTGGGAGATCAGCGTGTCTAGCTTGTCATGCAAATCGTTGAAATCCTTCGCGGAGCTGGCATGTGAAAGGAGAGTATCGAGTTTATCGTGTAGCTCGCTGTCATCGTACTCCTTTTGGTTACTTACTTCCCTGACCGGTTCAGCAGCGGGCAGTGCTGGCAACAAGGGTGGTATAGCTGCTGGGATGGAGTCCACACCAGATTTAATCTCTTCTGTTGCTCGTGCAAAGTTCTCCGTTTGCTGTTGCGAATGCTCGTAATGCTGGGTCACCACCCCGAGTACTTCCTGTATTGCGGATAGTACTGCAGGTTGGTGGTCTGACAGAGTGCCTTCAAGTCTTGTTGCTGCTGCCAATGTCTTTGCAATCTCCTCCCGAGTCAGACCATGCTCGAAGGCATTGGCGGTGTGTAGGTTGTCCATCTTCGAGTTAGTTTCTTCGATCGAACCAAACACGATTTTGGAGTCTTCAGAGATGCGATCATAGGTTTCCGTGATGGTTGTCCCCAAAGTGTCCATGAGCGATTTGAGATCGTCCACGACCGCTTTCGTGCTGCTTGTAGCTTCCAAGTGCGCACTGTCCCGCTCTTCTAGAGAATTCAATTTCGCATCGCTGGCAAGCTGAGCATCATCGTACTTGGTCATGAGTGCACTGAATTTGTCCTCGATCACAGATCTGAGTTCCGCACCGGTTTCCTCGTGCTTGGTGAATAAGGTAGCGTCTCGTTCTTCCATCTGCGCTTTAATGGTAGATTGGTGGTCCATGTGTCGTTCGAGTTCGTCTTTGAGCATGGAGGACATCTCCTCGATGCTGGCTGCCGTAGCATATCTGGTCATATCATCATGGTGCATTCCAAGTACTTTGTTCAGTTCCACAATCCCCTCTGCACTTCCTTCGACCTTTCCGATGAGCTCGTCTCGGAGATCGCCAATGATGTTTTTAACATCGTCGATCTTCGTGGCCAAGCCTCCGTGTTCAATCTTCCTTGCTTCAAATGCTTGCGCAGTGAGGCCATTGTCGGCCTCGAATTGCTCCCGAAAAGACTTCAGATCATTTTTCACGTCGGTAATATCATCTTTGCATGGGAGAAATCCCAGATCTGGTAGCTTGATGTTTTCGATCTGGGTCTTTATATCCATGCAGAGAGACTCAACCACTTCCAGGTCCGACTTGTCGAGACTGCCTTGTTCAGTCTTGGATTCCTCTAGCTTGGACCTGAACTCTTCCATGCCGCTTTGAATGTCTTTCAACATCAACTCGATCAAGGTGAAATCTTCTTTGTTGGTTTGTTCAGCTGCACGCTCACTGGCTTCGTCGACCACTACTTTCATTTCCCTGAGGGCAAACTCCAAGGCGTCGACTTGACTCGCTTTGGCCAGAGGCTCAGATTCCGGTGAAATTGCCTCGTCAAGTCTAGCCTTAATGTTCCTCAGGAGTGTTTCGATGGCTTCGGTGTCTTCTTTCGATGCAGCATTCTCTGGCATGACCAGTGCCGGAGGAGGTGTATCTCGAACTTCATTGACGGCATTGGTTACCTGGTCGATGGCGGTGTACAAACCCTCTAGGTCATCCTTGTGGATTCGTGCCTCAACGTTATGATTACGATCGACGGATTCCTGAACTTGCTGGATGGCATCTTGAAGCTCCATCATATCGTCCTTGTGTACTCGAGCTTCTGTTGGAGGGGGTGGACCAGCCATTCCGTCCAGCGCTTCGACTTTGATCCTCAATTGGGTGATCATAACCTTCAAACCTTCGATTTCAGTGGAGATGCGATTCTGGTCGTGTATCACCATCTCCTGCCCTCGGGCGGTAGCGGTGTCCGAGTCCTCTGTCTGCTTCTCATGGAGTCTTGATATATCTGCTCGCACATCCTCTATTCCTGTCTTGAGCGCGTCAAGAATTTCGTAGCTTGCGCTGAGGTCAACAGGGCGATCCGTTAGTTTTTGGATATCGGCTCGGATACCATCAACGCCGTCTTGAAATGCATCAAGAAGCTCGCTAGTATTGGACAAAATACTTTCGTTTCCGTCGATCTTTGGACGAGACGACGCCAGTCCTTCTCGGATGGCATCAAGAACTTCCTCACGATCCATTGAAGAGCTGGTCTTGACAAGAGTTCCAGCGAGGGTTGTGCGCATATGTTCCAATTCGTCCTTGACTAGACGCACAATGTCTTCATTGTTACCGCTGAGGGTCGATTGGCGATCGTCGGCAATGTCACGAATAGCATCGAGGATCTCGTCCTTCTCGGAGAGAGCGTTATTCCTGGCCATGTTTTTGCTGATAGTCTCACGAAGATGTTCGAACTCTTTCTCCATGGCGTCCAAGAGTTCAGGTGTGTTCGGGGCTGCGTTTCCGCGTGCCGCAAAGCCTTTGTCGAGATCTGCTTGCATTGCAACAAATCCAGCCTTGACTGTGTCGATGATCTCGTCTTTGCCAGTAACATCGGCAGCACGATCAACATAGCTTTCTATGTCGGCTCTTAGGTCCTCCAATCCGTCCTTGAGCGCGTCGAGCACCTGTTCCGTGTCTTTACCATTTGCCGCTGAATATTGCTGGAACTCGTTTTTCATGCTGCCGAGGAACTCATGCATCGCTTCGATGACTCGTTCGCCCATTCCTCCCAAGGGATTTTGTTCGCCTTCCAGACAAGATTTGATGGCGTCAAACAGGTCCTCACGATTGAATTCGACCTCTTTGGCAACACGGTCATGTTGAGAAAGGCCTTCTTTGACCGCGTCACTTATCTCATCTCTGGTGACGGTGTCATGTTGCGCTAGTCCTTCTCGCACAGCTTCGAAGACATCGTCTTTGGTGAGGTCAATGTCTATACCCCGGGATGCAGACATGTCTGGCCATTCGATACCTTTGATTCCCTCACTGACAGCAGCAAAGACATCTTCCCGAGTGATCCCAGCTGGCGCGGGAATGGGAGGAAGCTCAAAGTCTGCTAGGCCCTTTCTGACTGCCTCGAGCACGTCTTCGTAAGTGGCGCCGGCATCTTTTGCGCTGGGTTGCTGCGGTTGATACGACTTCAACCCCTCCTTCAACGTCTCCAAGATCTCATCTCGTTCTAGTCCGAAATGTTCGAGTGCGATTTCGGGTTTGCAGTCCTCCCAAGCCTCTCTAACGGCAATGAGTAATTCTTCCCGTTCAGCCACGGGGTCTCGGAGTGGTTGTTCACGAGGCTGAGGTAAATCTGCAAGGACATCACGAACGGCCCGCACGACTTCTTGCGTGTCGACTGCCGGATTAACGTGCTCTGCCGATCGTCTCCCGCTTTCCTGGACAATGTGATGCATGTGTTCCTTGAGCTCAGCAAGCCCTTGCTGCACAATGGTAGCGATCTCATCCGTCACTGCTGCTTCTGTTTCCGGACCAGCACCTTTTGTTGGCAATGACGTTTGCTCCAGTTTCTTTGCGAGTTCTCGTCCCATTCCCAAGACCTCTCCTCGTAGCTCTCGAACCAAGACTTTGACTTCATTCGTGAGCCCGCCCCCTTGGGCCAATGATTGCTTGACACTCTTCAGCATTGTGACAATGTCGTCAACGACTGAGTCGGACGCTGACATCGACGCTCGACCTTCAGCACCTGACCTTGCTTTACCCATTTTCGCTTCCCCTTCGAGATAGAGATCAAGGTTTGAGGGGCCCTTGCTACCGTCATTGCCGTTCGAGCGTACTAGCGCGCGTGAACCAGATTCCTCCTTCATGTCCTTCATGAACACAAGGATATCTTCCAATTTCGACATCATGGCGGGGTCAAAGGCAGTCGAAGTAGGGGTATCTGAATGCGCTCGCACGAGAGCTTGTGACTTTACTGCTTCGAGGGTGCTCATTATTTTATCTTGCCCTTCGCGGGTGGCCATTTCCCTGAGAACTTTCTCGAGGAGAGCGATGCTTGCAGCACCGTCAACACATGTAATAGACGGTGAGGCGGTCAACTCGCGATCAAGAGAAGCAGAGAAGCTAGATGGGCTTCCAATACGCGGTAGGCCGAGGCTTTTGGGGCGGGGCGAGCCATTATGTGCCTTGTCGTCGAAGTACATCCCCAAGTTGGAAGCTGATCTGGTGGCATCGGGAGGAGCAGCAAGTAGCCGAGAGTCGAGATTGGTGAACTTGCTTTCAAGGCCTGCGATAAGCTCTCTGAGGCTTTTGCGGATGTCTTCATCCCTGGCCGTTGTAGCCTCCTTGAGGCTCATCAGGTCGCCATAGTTGTCTTTACTTCTCTTATTCAGGCTCGTCATCTCTTTTTGAACACTTGTGATGATTGACGTCAAGCTCAAAATCTGAGTAGACAGTGCATCAAAGGAGTAGGATGTTGGCATCGAAGGTGAAGCTCCGTTTGTTATGTCACCAAGAGGCGTGGCATCCTGCCTAGTTCTGATTGTCTGCAGCGCTAGCATGTTCGATGAAGGCGGTGTGTTCTCGCTCTCTTTTGACCTTGCCGAGCTCTTCTCGGTAGGTGTTGGGGTTTCTGATCTTGGTCTCGTGGGACTGCGCTCCGACGTTCTGCTGCTGGGAAAATCCTCGAAATCCACGAACTTTGCTGTGCGAAGGCCTTTTTCTGGTGATCGCCTTTCCAATGAATCGCTCAGTCTAGTTATTCCAGGGCTCTGCAGGTTCTGCATTCGCCTGTTTTGTGCTCGTATGACATTCCTGTCTGGTGACGTCGGAGGAGGGTTGCTTGTGTAGGAGCTGGGGGCATTTTCTCGTGCTCGGGCGGCGATCAGGGCAGCAGCTTCGTCAATGCGTTTTGATGTATTAGATCTAGTCAGAGGGCTTCCTGGAACTCCAGGATTCAATGGAAGTGGTGGAGGTGCTCTATCGGGATCTGAGCTATCCCACCTGTCTACAAGTCAGTGTCTGCTGATGGTATTTCGAAAGGAGGCAAGGACTCACATGGGCACCGAGCTTCTGCCTGACTCTGAGAATGAATGTTGATGCTTGACGATTCGAGACTCAGCACGGTCCCGAGAGGCGTCCCGCGAACTGGCGGAATAAGTGGACATGGTCAATGCCTTTGTCCGGGGAATTTTTGGGAAGAATGTTTGTCAATCAAACTGAAGCTGCAGTACTCATAACGCACTTCACATACTCCAGCGTGTAGCAGCATAAATTCAGCAAGCAAACAAGACGCAAAAGCACATAAAACTCAAGGATGCTAGTATAACGGTGAAAGGAGGAGACTTTGGCGCTGGCGTGCTGGCACAAGTTGATGTCGGGTCGCAGCGCACTTATGATTGGCCAGACAAATCGGGATGTAAACAAAGCTAACGGACGGATCGGCTGACCTGCCTCTGCAGGAGAGGGGGCGGAGAGAAACGTGTAACGGTCACCAAAGCGCGGGTCCCTAGATGCTAGAAAGAGACCCCATAGTTATGACAAGGAAAATTATCTTGGTGACAGTCATATAGGCTGTTAATTTGTACACTGCGCGCCCATCTGACGGTAGCACCCTCAACAAGATAATGGCCAGCGTCTTGCACTATTTACTACGTTGCTTGGGGTCATAGCAACAGGTGCAAGCGAGTATTCTCCCTGTCAGACGTGTCAGACGGGCATTTATCGCGCGGCTTGGCTCGAACACAGATGTGACACGTGACTTCGAAAACCCTACTCTGCCAAGACTAATTTTTGAGCAATTCAGCATCGAACGAGCGACTTAAGCATTTTGCAGCCTCAACCTCTCCCTATTATTCAACCACATCTTTTAAGCGCGAAAGTCGGACCTCAAGATGAAGTGTAAGTAAAGTCGCATACACTCAATTCTGCGACAATAATAACACAAGGAATAGTTCTCAAGGTCGGCCGCGTGGCGATCATCACTCGAGGCCGGTATGCCGGAAAGAAGGTATGGGAGAAACAACACATTTACGCTTGAAAAGAAATCGAAGGTCTGACGCTTCGTCTACAGGTTGTCATCATCCAGCCCCAGGACTCTGGCACGAAACAGCATCCCTTCTCCTACGCCCTGGTCGCAGGCATCGAGCGTTACCCATCGAAAGTCACGCGCCGCATGGGCAAAAAGCGAATGGAGAAACGATCAAAAGTCAAGCCATTCATCAAGATGATCAACTACAACCACATCATGCCTACACGATACACGCTAGAACTCGAAGGACTGAAGAGTGTCATTTCGAACGACACATTCAAGGAGGTCTCCCAAAGAGAGGATGCCAAGAAGAACGTCAAGAAGGCCTTGGAGGAGAGATACCTGAGCGGCAAGAACAGATGGTTCTTCACGCCTTTGAGATTTTGAGTGTGGGGTTACGCAATATGCCTTGAAGAAACCATTTTGCCACGGTGCGCAGCGACAGGGAACTTTAGACATGCGGCTTGCGCAAGGCAGGGATCATTGCAACTTGAATGAACCAGACCCTATTTTAGGCGGTTTTGAGGTCAGCCAAAGCAGCGTGTGCTTGTTGAGGAGGACTTCTTACCTGCACTGGTGAAGGTGCAATGGATGACGCGAGTAGGGCTCATATGAAAAGAATTCAATTTTCATTGCAAAGATTTGCCAGTGTCGGTCTGGTCTAAGACCCCAGAGCTCATTCGAGATACAGATCGTCCTTCAAGCGCTGCAGATTCCGAAACAGTCCGGCTGCACCACCACTTCCCTCATTTGAGCTTCTCGGATTCCTACCCATGGCGGAACTTGATCGTACAGAACTAGCCGCCTTGGAATTTCGAGCCCGTTGTCGTGCATCCAGTGTCTTCCGCCTGTCCTCCACCAGTTTAATCAATGAATCAACAAATTTGATTCTGGCCTTTTCCTCACCAGTGCCCTTCCAGAGTATTGCAAGCTGTCTGTACTCTTCGACCCTTTGGGTGGCCGCTTCAAGGCCAGCATACCCAGCTGGTTCTGGCCCAAGTAGTTCGTCAATTTCTGCCCGAATGCTTTTCAATGCCTCACGTGCCTTGTCATCTTCGGCCGTGCTTTGAATCCCCAACTCAGGTGAAGAGACTGATATGAGAGATGATGCCATGGACAATTCAGAGGGAGGTATTGGCCATTTCATTGCCTCGCCGAAAATAGTAACCACAGACTCGAGACGTGCTTTCACTTTGCCCAGCAATCGTAGTCGAGTCATGAAGTCAGGCTCGCTCTCTGACTGCGCTTTTTGCAACGAGTCGTCGCCATCAATCTCCGAACCTGATATTGGTGGTTCTATACTGGTAACCTCATCAATGACAAATTGGCGAATATCATCCCGTAGTGAATCGCTCAACAGCTCGTGGAACCCATTCACATCACCACGAAGCACCTCTACCTCATAGGCAAGACGATTTCCACTGCGGATGATCTCGTCCGTTAAACTTGTCAACTCTGAGGAAGCACGGATCGAGATTGTGTTGAGCGAAGTGAGGAGTGCAAGTGACTCGGTCGAGGCACTCTGGATTTGTGTAGACCTGCTGGATTTTGAAAGCTGGGTTTGAGACGACAAACCTAGGTTGGGTAGTGAATCGTTCAGGAATTCGACAGGGTCAAATTGAGACTGATGGAGTTTCGCAAGCATCGGCCCACTGCCGCCCTCATTCTGTTCACTGTGCTCTTCCGCGTCTATGCGGGAAGGCATCTTGATCTTGAAGACTGTCTTGTGGCCAGCATCACATAAATCCGAACCTTCAAGCGTGGAGTCAAGATTGCGTCCAATTCCCGTTCACCGTGGACTTATTAGGCTGATGGTCTCGTATTCGCCAACATCCATCTGTGACCATGAGAAGCTGTGGACAAGACAGGTATTGTCTAGGTACCAAAGACATGTCTGTCGTTCGTGGTGGTGCTGTCGGCTCGGAATAACTATACACCGACGGCATTCATCGGCTTGGCACGACTTGTGTGTTTCTCCCTGATTATCAAGTGTCTGATCATCTTTCTTCATAGTTTTTTGAAAATTCGTAGATCGGAGAACCATTGTCTTGAGGAACCGCAATTACCACTTTGTGAGTTAAGACAGCTATCAAAACGACAGAAGCTGGTTCTTGGGCTGGACTGCCAGCAGGCAGGAAAACAGCAAATATAGCACTCCTGTCTGCTGTCAACTTGCCTGTGTCAAAAATTCTCCAAGACCTGGGAGTGTGAATAGCTGTGGAAAGAGAAGACCAGCACAATGCTCAATCTCTGCGCCCTTTCTCTATTTCTCTTTAATGGGGTTCTCTATGCTTGCGCTGCACCCAAGAAGGTGCGGCCTGATTCTATTACGCTCTGCCCTATCGACTTTGAATCACTGGGTGCGGATACAATCACCATGTCTGCGCAGTTGCCTTGTTGTTTTCATCCCTGCCACAGTCTTCAACTCCCTCTCACTTCCTCGATCCTCTTCGTCCTTCAGTCTTCTCTCCGCCTTCTCTTCTCTCAGCTTCCCCCTAGTGCCTCCCTCCCACTCCGCCGGTGGTATCTCTCATTGAGCTGCTTCGTGGTGGGATCTACCGACTGCGTAAATCTCAAATATAGCTCCTCCTGATACCCTCCAACTCGTTTCCTTTAATCTCAGTTCTATGCCAACACAACCACCTCCCACTGGCCCTCCCCTCCGTCCAGTATGGGCCGGAAACTCTTCCTCAACCACTTGGCCGCCGCCAACCGCATGAAAATCGAGAACATTGAGAACGTTTGTGGCCTGGAGGAGGGCTTGTTTATCTTCACCTATGTCCATCCCGGGAGCAGCCTTCGAGTGACCATCGAAGTGTTTGCCAACGACCTAGGAGAATACCCGGACGGCAATTCATTTGTGCTGTACACCAAGGACACGTCTCACGACCCGATCGTTGCAGAAACATTGTGCAAAGTCACTGAACATGCCCATGGCAAGCCTGTTATCGACTTATTGACTGAAATTGCGGAGCTATTGGCCTCAGTCACGGGAAAGGGCTATGTCCAAGAAAATATCGGAGACGACCATGTGAAAGAGGAGAATGATTTCGATTTCGATTTCGAGAGCGACTCTGACATTGACCTGGGTACCTGTCAGGCTAGCGACACAGATCGCCACTCCGACATCAGAGCAGACTCCACCAGCTTGCTAGATGATCCCAATGAGAAGACGGAAAAGGTACGCGCAGATCTTGCAGCTCTCAAGCATTCCGGCTTCCGCGTTGGAGTCTTTGGGAACATTACCTCTGGCGGGATTCTTTGCATTTCAGTCCGAGTCTCCAAACTCGGTCTCTCAGATGAAGCCCTCGAAGCATGGAATGTGCCACGAAGGCACTACTTCTTGTTGCTGATCAGGTACTTACGGGGCTATCTAGACGCAACCAGAGTTGTCAATGAACGAGGTCTGTCGGACTCTGTGGAGATGCGCGTGGGACTTTGCAGCCACTACAAACCTTCGCTACGCGAAGTCCTCGCTCTCTACCAATACACAAAGTCGGACAATGCGACCTCAGCGAACGGCCTCGAAGCTGGATCAAACGATCAACATGCATTCGAAGCATTGTGTATTGGGAATTCGATCAACCAATTACTCGAAGAACGAGTCTTCAAGATCATCTCGGCTCGAGAATTGTACCAGCTAAGCTGGCTCGGTGCAGAGAAATTCATCAACGAGAGACAGACATCTTCGTTGTCAAACATTGACGACATGTCACCCTATCATTGTGATGATGACGCCCATGCGAGGGGCCTACCCCCAATAGTCGTCGCAGACCATATGCGCCAGAATCGACTCGCAAAGGCTTCTTTGCCATTAATCCTTATGCAGTTTTCCCTTAGGCATTTCGTTCGATGCACGGAATTCTGCCTCGTGTGCCACTGCCGAGTCGATGAAGGGTTTGGAGCCCTTAAACCATATGTCTGCCTGAAGCCCCTCTGCCTGTACCAGTACATGTCGCTCGGTTTCGGTCCTCGTTTAGAGTGGGAAATCATGGTCCAGCCATACGTGGTCGATGTTCTGATCAGCTTATGCTACGCAGCAGCTAGGAGCGGCAGACTCAAAGAGTTTCCTATAGGTATGAACTTGGTCGTACCTGTCACACCACGTCCCAGAGTTCCGCGTTTCGTTGCACCGTACCATACCGGAACTCTGTCAACGCAAGCAGCTGTACCACTAATCCACGAGAAGTCCTTTGCATGCACGTGGTATAGGAAATTGAGGCAGCTGGTGATCGAACAAGATGAAGAGAAGAACATATCGGTTCAGAAACTCAAGCTAGGTGACTGGCTTGTACTGCTCTGTGTCCAGACTGAGACTGCAGCTCATTGTCGCGTCAAGGAGGTGGAATTGCCTCGAATTTGGCTCGATTCACCTATTTCTATCCCATTCCCGGGGCTTATCGGCAACTCTGGCAGTCTCATTGAAACCTCTGGTGAAGACGACTTCCCCGTCAAAGCGGACTGTTATTTGTATGACAAGAACTTTGACCATCTCATTCCAAAACACCAGGAAGATGCAATCGTGAGCTTGCTGGATACCCTACCATCCGTGATCAGGATGCGACGCTATCTGGAGAGTCAAGGAAAGAGCCAGGATCCCAGCTTAACGAAATGGACAGACCGGATTTCGGCACCGGCATTGAATCTTCTCCGTTGGATTGTTGCGTCCAACAGGTCTTGTATCTTGCAGGTCGACGACATTGGTACCAAAGACGACGCGGTAATTCGCGGGAAGCCTGAAGACCGTGTGGGGGGGATGGAGAGCTGGATCCAATTCCGCTTCGCTCAAGGGGCTCCAGACAAAGAAAAGCGCTTCAATAACAACGTAAAGCAACGTGCGTCAGCCACCGGAACCAATTATCCCACCATTTTTGCGTGGCACGGAAGTGCAATCGGCAACTGGCATTCAATAATTCGACAAGGTCTCCGGTTTGATGAAGTCTTGCACGGCAGGTCATATGGAAATGGTATCTATGTGAGCCCCTACGCAAGAACAAGCTTGCAGTACACTGGGGAGCTCGGTTCTGCCATTAGCAGTTGGCATGGTTCTGTGCTCAAAATTACAAGAGTGCTTTCCCTACAGGAAATTGTGAATGACCGAGCCAGCTTCAGATGCGCTTCACCACACTATGTGGTCCCGAAAGTTGACTGGGTGCAGACGCGATATTTGTTCGTCAAGACGGAAAAAATTGACGTTCGAAACGGCGTGGCCGGTCAGATTTATAGGCAGCAACCTGGCCTAGAGGCTTACAACGAAGAGAGACAGCCAATAACAATCCCATTGACCGCCATATCCAGGACTCGAAGATCTGGCAGCGGCATCGGAATGGTAGGGGCTCTTCGCGGGAAGCGTACGAAGACGATATCGAATACAAATCAAGCGACGGCCGAGCGAGACGTAGACGATGCAGAGAGCGTCTTATCGGATGCGCAAGATCTGGCTGTGTTTCAAGGGGCCGGTCGGCAGGATGACGGCCTTGAGCCTTTGGGGTCCAGCACCGAGTGCCCCCGCGTCAACGGTAAGAAGCGGCCAGCGGAGGTGGCAGCTGAGACCGACTTCATAGCCGGACAATTGGATGTCACAAACATTAAGTTTATGGCGGAACCCCAGGACGCTACGCCAGTAGCCACCAAGGCGCTCATGCGTCTCCTCAAGGATGCGCTGAAGATTCAGGAGAGCACTCCGCCAGCCACACTTGGGTGGTACATCGACCGCAGCTTGATCAACAACATGTACCAATGGATTGTGGAATTGCACAGCTTTCCGAGGGATCTACCTCTGGCTCAGGACATGAGAAATATTGGAGTGGCATCAATTGTCATGGAGATGCGGTTCACCCATCACTATCCTTGGAGCCCTCCATTCATTCGAGTAGCCAAGCCTCGCTTTCTGCCCTTCAGTCAAGGTGGTGGTGGGAACGTGACCGAAGGAGGTGCCATGTGCATGGAGGTCTTGACCAATAATGGATGGAGTGCTAGTTTTACGGTGGAAAGCCTTCTCTTGCAAGTCCGGATGGCATTGTCTGACACACAGCGACCAGCAAGACTCGTTGGTCACCCTGGCTCTACTTACGGGGTGGGAGAAGCAAAGAGAGCATACATCCGTGCATGTATGAACCATGGCTGGAAAGTCCCTGACGGGTTTGCCACAATCCAAGAGTAAGGGTTTGAGCACATGAGCAACGAAAGGGGGATGGTATGTGGGCCAGCATCGAGAGGGCGTGGAAGCGATTCACAGTGGAGCAAAAGATAAGACGAGGAGAATGGAGTTGGATGTTTCCACAAACACAGCAAAGTGGAGGGTTTCGGGCATGTCTTGCATGGCCCCATGGTCTTGTGTGGATGTACGAGTATGCGCATTATATTTCATATCAACACCGTTCCTCCTGGTAAGCTTTTCTAAGTTGAAATAGCAAGATTTGATCTCCAGGTACATTTCACTGCTGCGAATGACCAAGTCGACTGCAAAGAACGTACGTACATCCTGATGCTTCCGCCATTGAAAGATATCAAATACATCTCTGCACGAACCTGTGTCCCATGTGATTTGGTACTATCCACAGACAAATGTTTCATCTTTCCTCTCCTGAATCTTCGAATGACCTCCACTCCGCCAATTGAGCGTCTTCCCGCCAACAGTGTTTCAGTTCTTCGTCACAGATTCGCCCTACAACGGGAGCATCTGAGAGATATCCGACAGTCTCAGCATTGGTGATCGCTTCTGGAGGAAGGACTTGAAGAGTTGTATGATCAATATCCAACAACACGGCACCAAGCTTTCGCTCCCGAAAGTATTCGCTGTGGAGCGGCAACCCCAACAGATGTCCAAGTCTCTCTGCGACAAACATTCAGACTGATTTCGACATACGTGCGAACTCGGCCCAGCTCTTCTCGAAAATTCACGGAGCGAATTGAAGCCACCGGACTACGGATTGGGTGACCATGGCAAGGATCCGATTCGCGACTGGATTCACAATGGCCGTGTGATGAATTCCTTGGTTGAAGCATTTGGAGAATGTTGTCTCTACTTCCTGCCGCAAGATTTGCCGGCGAATGACTAAGGTTAAAGCTAGCTTATCATATCATGGACCATAGCCAGTTTTTTTTCCCCAAGGCACGCCACAACAGAGTCAAGACTGGCCCGAATGACAAGTCATTAGATTGTAGTATGGTGCCAGCGTCAAGGGGGATTTGCTGAAGATCTAGCAGATTTCGCGAACTTGGAAATCTTATGCTGCCATACCTCGAACGTTTTGGAAGTATGTGGTCGATGAAGCTTGCCCTGTTCTTCCATCTCGGGTGCGTGAGAACTTGACGCAGGCCTCTCTAGCTGCGTCCAAGCTCATCGCACTGCCTCGAGCGAAGCAGGCAATCTCAGTCGCGCAAGAAAAAAATTGGCACATTTTGGTCTCCCTGATTACACCGAGCTTGGTCTTTTATTAACAGGCAAAGTGCGATCTTACGATCGGAAGGATACCACGGCAAATCGGATGACCTCATCGGAGCTGCCTTAGATATGACACCGACTACAGACATCAGGACACACTGCCTGAATGGACGACTCCTACTTTCTCGGACCGAGAATGCAATTTTGCGAAAGGACTTCGACAAAGCACTGCTATATTTGCAGCAATGGGAAAGTCAAGAGTTCCCATTCCTTCGCAATACGAACTGCAGGTCGTTCGATTGAAAAATACCGTTTTTGGTCGGGTGTCTCGATACCACGGCGATTTTGCACATGCGGCAGACTGCTTGACTCTCTGTATCAAGGCGGTTTCTACGGAATCCAGCCGTTATCACCACAAGCATCATCTGGCGGATGTTCTCTGTGAGTTGCAACGCTCTCGTGACGCCGAAAATCTGTCGAAGTGTGATACCGAAGACCTCAGAATCCATGGCAAACAAAGGTCAAAAGCATTCAGACGTCTCCTCCTTCCGCGGACTGAGGCGTGTATTCAGCAACACAAGTTTGAAGACGCCTGGTCAACTCTTCGACAACTTGACGAGACCTTTGGCTCTTTGGATTTCCTCGATGTTTCTGACCAGCTTGGCCACGTCCGTTCAATTTTCGGCCTGGTACGCCGCAAGTGCAAGGGAGCCATTTAGTCTTTGGACCATTGGCCTCAATGAATCTGCGTCAGATGGAAGCGCAGAATCCAGGCTCAACAAAGAATAGTGAGACATTTTTCTCTGCTGCTCCTCCTTTCAGGACCTCAGCAACTGCCGGCAGCTGAGTTATTGAAAGGGCCAAGCTTCCAGGCTTGAAGCTCCCCGCCTTGTGCCATGCAATATCCTCGATGGTCGGCCCAAGCAGATTCACATGGGCGAGCGTGGTCACAGCCCCATGTAGAACGATATTGAAGATGAGTGTAAGATCACAAGGCAAAGCGCACGAGGAAACAAACAGGGGGTGGCGATTCGATTAATATCTCTCTGTGCCAGTGCGCGGAAGTCCACGAACTGATGGTGCGCCGTGATGGTCACGTGTGATGTCTTTGCCGTGTGTGTGCTGTGTTCATCTAGCCAAGCTTTAGCTGAGCTAGTCAGCTAGTATTACCGGCAAAACTGAACGAACAGCTATGCTTCTGATTGGTTGCCCTTATCGGCGCTTATCGATTAGCTGGCGAAAAGACAGATAACGTGACTTTCGGATCCTAGTTATTCTGATCCTAGTTCTAACGATTTCACTTTCCATTTCCCCTTCGTCGCCGCCATCCTTTAACTAACTCAACTTCCATCAATAATAACATTAAATTAATCATTAATAGCCTCGTTTCATCGTTCTATAATATACAATTCATCTATAAATAACTAGACTAACTTAATTTCCTAATTAGGTAGGTAGTAAGGATAGGTAGTAACGATAGGGATACATAGTGTATAAGTACTCAAGTTTAATACAGGTTTTTCGTGGGGTTCTACTGCCAATACCTAAATCCCCGATTAGGCCCGTTTCCTCCTGTAATTAGAGGGTAGGAGTAGTGGGGATATTGCACAGAAACTAGATAGAGGAGACTAATCAAGAACGCGTACAGTACCGAGTACATGTAGTTAATCGCTTCGCTAGCGTCTTGAGGAGTGCCCAAAGGGTTTGCGCCTCACTGTCTATCTTACAAAATTACCCTTGTTACTGGGCTATAACATGCAGGGACATACTGCTGGCCTCTTCCCGATTCTTCGGGACCTCGGTTGGATTTCTCCAACGTGAGGCATAGGCTGACAACAGTGGGTTTTCCCTCACGACGGATCTCTTTGGCTTGAATATCGCCGACACCTTCGAAAGCTCCGCTTCGAACAATGCTACAACAGAGCTCGCACTTCTCTTGCCCAAGACTGTGACGGTCTGCGGGTTCACCGATTTCTTGCCGAGGGGCGGGGGCCGATTGACCTTTGCGGATCCAAAATCGTGCCAGACCACTTGTTGCGTTGACGCATTCCACAGAATATTGCGCGGTGCGATGTCTCCATGTAAGATCCCTTGACGGTGGATCGCTCGCAGACCCTCCAAGGCCGCGTCGACTACCACGGGCACGGTTCGCATGTGATTTATCGAGTATCCTCCATACGACAGGACCATCAAGTACGAGATTGGTGCAATGCCCGCGTAAGAGAGAGGTTGATTGAGGTGCAAACTTCCCAGATATACAGGGGTCCACGTTCCCTGAAGCTGTTTTAGGAAGGTCTGGTAAATCGTCGCCTCGCGCTGGAGGTCTCGCACAAATTCAGGACGCGTACCTTTGGCCACCACCGTGTAGCCCCACCCAGGCAGGCGGAGGCGGTATAGACACCCTGTCGCCCCGTAGAGGAATAGTTCTTCGCAATAGTCAAGGTCCTTTTGAAAAACGCGGCGGACCAACTGTATAAATTGCCGACGGTCGAGTGCGTGGTGTAGGCCCGTGCCATGCTGTCGCACGTTTGGACAGGAGCGATCCAAAGGACCCTGTTCTACAAGACCTTTGAGGCACAAGGCTGAACAATAGGGTCCTAGGTCTCGTTGTCGACCAGACCCAGGCTGCGTCGTTGATGAGCTTCCTCGAGATCCCGGACGCCCACATCGTGTCCCTCCGTGTGTAGGGGCCCGTGACTTGTTTATCGGCGCTCGGCTCGGGGTTCCCGAAGGAAATCCATTACCATCATAACCGTCATCTCCATCGTCTGCGTCACTCTCCTCTGAATATTTTCGTCCCGTCTCGCCGGTATCACTCGTCGCGAAGTGTCGGGGGCGCAGCCGTCGGCGGATCGGAGACCTTCCGAGAAGATACGCTTCGTTTCCACACGGCGGGCGATACTCTGATCCGGGTACCTCCTCCTCCGGCACTTTCGCTGCCAGTTCTTCCAGCACCAGCTGCCATGTCTGAAGTCGTCTCTCGGCTTCCTGACGCCACCGTAGACTGCGCCGAGGGCTCCGGATAGCATTCAAGGTGAATGCCAGCAGCTGACCGACCGCCGTAAGATGCAGTCGGTTGTCTGCATCTAAATTTGGCGTCCAGCCGGTGGTCAACCCCACGTCACCTTGCGGGACTACCAAGGCGTATTGTAAGCAGGAGCACTCCTCGGGAATGCGGAGGAAGACCATGGCCTCGCCCGTGAAGACGCATCCGAATTCTAGCCTGGCAGCTATCATGGAGGCAAATGCCTGTGTCAACACCGCGGCCACTAGTCGCTGGCACTTTCTGGAGACATCTTCCTCAAGCTGTTCCTGGATAATGTCGTCTAGAACCATTTCTGCGAGTCCAGTGTAAAGATGACCTAAGGTTAATTTATGCGCCGCCTTATATTCCATAACCAGTAATGGGACCTTGTGGGTGACATTACCATCACCGTCGGTGACACTATACACGCAAAATTGGTCAGCTCGAGGGACCGAGGGTCGAGATCGACTGGGCGACGAGGATCGAGGAAGAGTAGCGTTGAACTCTGAAGGGTATTGTAAGCGCGGTGAGCGACGCCGTGGCTGAGCGACGGCCAAATTCTCGAGGTCCGTCAGGACATCGTCCGGACTCAGCATGTTCCCGTGGTTTTCAAATTTGACGCTGCCCCGTAGCCCCAAGGACTCGCGCAGATCTGGATGCTGCGATAGCCGCTCGACGATCGAGGTCACTCGGTCGTTGACCGCGAACCGGACAAAGTAGTGCAGGTCTAGCTCCGAGCTTAGACTTCGCTGGTGAAGCTGATTTCCACCTTCTTGCAACGTATGACGTGAGGAAAAGTGCCTCTCAGAGACGAAGTCCGATTCCATCAAGAGACCCCACACGTGAATCTGCTGTGCCGCAAAATTCGTCCAAGGAACAATGCGGTCCGGGCGGAGTTTTTGGTCGGCATTGGCAGGCGTACCTTGCGTAGATTCGGCGCGGTCTTGGATAGTCAGGTCTTTATGGAGGTAGGTATGGCACGCATCTAGGAACTCGGGTAGGCTTGTCTTGCCTGTCCTATGCTCAAAATATGCAAGTTCCTCTTCTCGACGGCGTTGTTCGAGGGTTGCCCGTTCTTCGGCGACTAGACGTAGGCGCTGTTCTTCTTCACGGAGGCGTGTCTGTTCGTCAAGCAATTGCCGAAGCCTTTCGAGTTCATCGGACGACATCATACAATTTACGATGTTCAGCAGTATAATACCAAATACGAAAAGTCAAAGAGGGCCACGTCAAAAATGAACCTCCACCCGGAAAAGCTCAGGCACAGCCGTCAAACAAACAACCATTGTTTTGAGATTTCCCGATTTGTTGGGGATGTGATAAAGTTTCTGCTTACTAAGCGGTTAGGTCCTGGTGATGCAATTTCACGTGATTAAGGAAACCTGAGGTCTATTTCTGTGTCTTTCGAATTAATATCACATTAACCAAACGTGAGGAAGAATGATTTTGAAAGTCTGCCCGTTGGTGTATTTATCCCAATGTCTATCGATGTCCTCTTTCTCGTCGTCTAACTTTCATGTCTTTTCCATTCCTGTCAAGGTTTCGGTTGAAGGATACCCAATGCAGTATGGGTAGCTCCAGCTGGTCATTAAGCGGGCAAAACAGGGCGCCACATTCGACAGCTCCAGCCTTTGAAACTGAATGCAGGCAGATATCCAGCGCCTTTCGGTTAGGGTCCAACTGGCCAAGCACAGTGCGTAATGTACTGCGACTCATTCCAGACGTCCGTCATCGGCCACGCATCAGACTCGGCGACTTATGGGCTAGGTCGGAAGTAAGAGACAGTCATTCATAGCAAAACGCAGAAAAATTCATCATCCAGCCGCTTGCAGATTCCATTGATTCTTGTCCAAACATTCGTAAAACATTCGTTTATATCCGTTGTTTCCTCCCTGAATAGCCGTCCGGTATCCTCGGGACAGCCGGCGTGTGTTGGTCTGGTGGTTGCATGGGATCAGGGAACCCAGCTTCATGTAACATCTCTGTAAACGTGGTATTTGGTCTGCTGACTTCAACTCGACTCTCGGACCGCATGCGTTGTGACGGATTGAAGTCACCGTTGTATCGTGCCGGCGTCAGTGTGGGACCTTCATTCTCAGCCGAAAAGTCTGACCTCCCAGAGAAGACGCTGACTCCCCGTTCATCTCTCAGAGTACTGCTCATTCGGTTCGCCGCGATAGGGCCGTTGCTGTTGTTGGGAGGGGATTGAAACGGACTGCCCATATTGTTCTTGTTGGTCAGTGGGAATCGCTGTGCTGCCATGCCCCTCAATGGGGCAATTGCTGCGGGATTGGGGTGTTGGATCGCTCCGGCAGGTGGACTGTAGACTTTGATACTTTCCATGCTGGGTTCATGCGCAAGCCTCCGCTCTGGCGTGACGGGTAAGCCTGCTGGAGCAACGGGGATATTGTTGGGAAATGGAGGCGTTGGCATCTTCCAGTGACTAGTAGCTGGTTGTTGGCTGTTTCGGTTGCTCCTTGTGGAGAACATGGACTTTGCTCGATCAGTGGTTTTGCGGAGGAAGTCCGTTCTTAGGCCGCTAGAGGCATCCAAAGGGATAGGATCTGAGATGGTTGGTTTGTAGATGGACGAACCACCAGAAGAGTGTCGAGACTTTGGTTTACGATGCCGTCCGCTGCAGATGACCCACGCCAGCATCAGGAAGGCACCCACAAACATGCCAGGAAAGAAGCCAGCGAGGAACACCCCGGTGGGAAATTTGTTGCATTGAGGTTCAACCTGCGCTGCCGACACACTGACGCTGCTTGGGCTTGACGTAGATGTCGAGCTGGTATTTGAGGTAGTTGAAGTCGACTTTGTAGGTGAAGAGCTTGCCGACGAAGGATTGGATGTGTTGCCCGAAGATGGGTCCGTCTTTCCCACAATGCTCGTGCTCTGGATGATGCTGCAAATGGAAGGCCCCGAAGGTTGTTGGATGCAGGAATATCCGAACGGGCAGCATTTGTCTCCACACTGTGGTAGCTTGTCCCCAAGTCTCGTGGTGAATATCCCTGCCGTAGGATTCGCCGTTGCGTTTTGAGACGACACGTCGCAGGATATTATCTGGATGTTGTTGCATGAACTCGATTCCGGGCAACAGAGGGCCGACGACGAATTGTCGAGGGACACGCAGTTGTTTCCTGCGGGGCATTTGAAGTCGTTGGGAAGCTTGGAATCGACCGCCGAGCAGGAGCCATCGTCTCGCCGGAAAAGACCTGAGTTGGGAACAATCTGGAAGGCAGACGAGGTGCAGAGGATGGCCGCTGCTACCAAGACGCGGACTATACAGAGGCGCATATGATAATTCATGGTTGGAAACAGATATGCAAGGATCGGCTTGCCGTGGAAAAGCGACGAAATTAAGCAATAAACAGATATGTGCAAAATGATGCCTTCTCCAAAGAGATCACAGAGTATAAGGACAAAAAGGTCACCAGGACAAGTATTGTCACTCTGTTGGAGTATCCAATAATAGGTCTTGCAAACGAAGAGAAGAGAAAAAAAGACTCTCAAAGCCTTGTGTCGATCCCCGTTTTGACAAAGAGAAAAGAGATGTACTCACCTATTGATCGACCTGACAAAGGAAAAGACTCATTATAGAACAAAAAAGAAGGTGAGCCCCGACGACCGGGATCTGGTCGCGTGTCGCTTGTGTGCCGGAGTCAAGGCGTGAACTCTGCAGCCTTGGGCAGCCATGATGCCCATGTGTCTATGAATATGCAGAAGTCAATGTGGTGGGATCGACAAAAGCATCGCCGAGAGCCAGTGGCTTGCCGCTTTGCCCTACGACACGCAACCTTTTGCTGCGAGGTAGAGCGCGACAGTGCGAGGAAAGGACTGGAGGAGCTGAAACGATAGGCTCTAGAAGCTTGAGAAGAAGGTCAAACACGTTGGGGGATGGTGTAGTGGGAGGGATGGGGGTGGCAGAGGGAGTTTCAAGAACGAGGCTCAGCGTCTGGATGGAGCCATGTGATTGGTCGAGATTTCTACCATTGCACTAACCCATTTTTGGCGACTGCGGTCTTGTTCACCTCAAAGAAATTTGGAGCATTGGACTTGGATGCTCGTCAATCCGTTTCCATGGTCTCGGACACTGAGACTTGCATTGCTCCATTTTACCAGTGATGATCACAAGACCTCCGGCAAGGCCGCAGTCACTCCTGCGAGCCTTTGTCAAGCAAGCAAATGCCACGGTATGTACAGACAGATCAAATGTCTTGCTTTCTCCCAAAGAACTCGGAACTGACTGACCTTGCCTTGCCGTCTCACAGCCGTCCTCTTTCCTCAAGCGACAGGTCCGCAGAAAACACACCGTCCCCGTGTGGGCCAACCAGACCAAACAGGACTTTTTCGCACGCCACGGCGTCCCCGGCTTCCTCAGTGCAGAGACCTACCAAGAGACCTATGTGAAATACACCCAACACCTGTGCGACCGGCTGAACGAGCTGGTCTTGGGCACCGCGGATGAGTCGTCGTCGACATACGACCTGCACGCAAAGTGCGCCCACCGCTCCGATCGGGCGCACCTCTACAACCTCGCCGCCATGGTCGAGTTCACGCGGTTCTTTTGGGAGTACCTCACCGAGAACGAAGATCCGGCGATTCACAAGCCAGGCCTGAACACCACGAGGAGCATCGAGGCCAGCTTCGGCAGTGTGCAGAACCTCCGCGAAGAGATGCTCGAGACCGCCGACGCCATGTTCGGGAACGGATTCGTGTGGCTGATGAAGGGCAAGAACGTGGGCGACATGCGTATTCTGGCCACGTACAACGCCGGCTCCCCATACCCCGACGCGGCACCGAGACGGGACGACAAGGACATGGCGACCTTTGACGGCCGCATCCTCTCCGACCAGCTCTCCGGTCGAGGTGGCCTGGGGTTGCCGAGCTTGGAAGAACGAAACATCTCCACGGGGAATTCGACGGCGGGCTCGTTTGGTGACTTTAGCTCTTCACGGGCGAATCTCTACGCCGGTGCGCTGGACATGCAGCCCATCCTGTGCGTCAACGTGTGGGAACACCAGTGGCTGAGAGACTACGGACTCCTGGGCAAAAAGTGGTATCTGGGCGCCTGGTGGGATCGCATTGATTGGCAAAAGGTGGAAAGTCAGCACGCCCTGTACGAGACGGGCGGGGAATGGAGTGACTACTGGTCGAGCGGCAGCAAGTCGCCGTATGCGACCACGGGCGGGTCGAGTGTTCTGGATGCTTTGAGGAGATAGGGGAGGGTGTAAGGGCCTGGGCTTGTATGAATATAGGGAGCTCCAAAAACTTCACGTCATTGTAGGACCAGCGTATAAGCCATCTGTTGGACTCTGTATCTAACCCACGCATGGGCTTTCCTTCCTGAAGTTCCACATACCGCCGAGAGCACCTGCCCTGTCCTTTGGCTTTCTTCTCGTCGACTAGGCACTCTGGCATTCAAGTGCACCTGGAGATTTACAGTGCGCGATGGCAAGCACTTTAGAGCGCCGCCTCAGCTCGTCATCTCTTGCAAGAGGCGAGCGAGCTACTGCCTCGCCGATGCCGTCAAAGGAACAGGTCCAACTCAAGTCCGCCAGCCAATGGAGGATTCGATGCTGGGGATCGCAGGTGCGAGATCGCGCCACTAACCGTGCTCGTAGCTTCCGCATTACCATGGAAAGGCTCAGGACTCGCAGACCAGGCCAAAGCCACGCAATTTTGCTCATGCGCAAATACCACTCCTTGCCTGCCTGACAAGCACTGCTGATTGCTTCGAAGACGAGGTTCCATGCGCTGTGAGAGGTGCAAACTCCAAACCCATGCTGTGCCTGACGGGTGTTTTGACCAACCGGGCGAAACTTGTCTTGGTCATCGCCGATGCTTTCTTCAGTCCCAGTATCTAATCATTCCATCCAAGCCGCCCGTTGCGACTTTACTGCTCTCCTGCTGATGCCACGCCACACACGTCACTGCGCCCAACCCTTCTCCCCCGGCCTGAATCTTGTGCCACATCTTGCCCGTTTTCCAGTCCCAGAAACATACGAACCCACCTGAATCGCCGCTCGACACGATCCCGCCGTCTGGGGATATGGCCACGTCGATCGCATACCCGCTGGTGTTCATACCCCGGAATCCCTTCTTGCGGTTCTGTCGGAACTTGTCGCCCGCGGCATACACGACGATCTGGTTGTCGGCGGATTGGAATGCTACGTACTTGCCCGAAGGATGGGGCGCGGCCCGCACAAGCGCGTACATGGACGGATCGGCAATGAACTTGATGGGTACTGGAATGCCGTACTCCCACGCGCGGAGGGACTTGTCGTCGGAGGTGGATATGAATCTCCGACCCTCGTCGACAAAGGTGAGTGTGTTGATGGCGCCGAGATGATGGTCGTACTCTTGCGTCAACTCGCCGGACCTGACGTCAAACTGGACAATCTTCTTGTCGGCCATTCCGGCGATGAATTCGTTGCCTTCGGGATGGAAACGCAGTGTGTGTGGCGTTTTGCCCGTGGTGAACCGCGATATACACTTTCCAGTCTCGGTGTCCCAAAGCTTCATCTGGCGGTCATACGACGCTGATAAAAACGACCGCCCGGTGGGGTGGAAGTCTGTGTCTGTGATCGCCTTGTTGTGGCCTGAAAATGTGCGGAGGAGTGTCCGGTCGTGGTGAGCATCCCACAGCGCGAGCTTTGCATCCGCCGACGAGGATAAGAGCAGGTGCGATGACTTGGGGATAAATCGTAGAGAGGTGATGGGTTTCGTGTGGTACTTGTAGACATGTATCAGCTTCTTCGGCACGTAGTTCTGTATTGAGCCCGGCTCTTTGCGCAGGTCGACGTCCAGGTCCTGTGGTACGTGCATGTACGTCCGTCCTTGGTAATCGAATTCTGAAGCACCATGGAACTCGGTCGTCTCGGCACCATTCAAATCGTCCGCATAGCCAGTGGCCTCCTTGGGCGGCGCTGGCAGTGGCGTGGGAACAATGCCCTCTTCCACCCATTCCTCGTCAGAGGCGAGTTCCTGATCGGCCGCAGCCTCGGCTTGCTCGTAGGACACGTCGTCACTCTGATATTTTGCCCAGGGACCAAGGTACGCGCCCTCACCGTCGACGATCCTGCTGTCTCCCTTTTTCTGCCTTTTGGACCGGATCGCGGCACTCTCTTCCTTGGAGTAGCGCAGCTGGACGACATCTTTGCCGCCGTATTTTGCGACGGCCGACTGATCGCCCACAAAGGCTCCGTTGAGCGAAGGATCCTTGGTGTACCCGAGACTCTGGTATGTGCGGTGTTGGGTCTTGAAGGTGGCTTCGGACATGGACGTCTCCTCGGCGTTGCCGGTGAGCACGTTCTTGCGCTTCAGGACGTTGCCGGCCGTCGACTTGAAGGGGTTGGAAGGTCCCTGTGCGGGGCGGGCGAGGTTGTCGTACGTGACATTATAGGTGAGGGCGTTGCTCGAGGGGTTCGCCAACATGACTTGCATCTGCGACACGTCCTGCGCAGCGTTAGATGGACCACCACGTCGCCCAACGAATGAAGACCAAACCTCTGTCGCGACGTCGGGGGCCGCGTTCACCCCGGACTGTTTCTGAGCGGGGCCGCGGGTCGCGGGGCTCTTCTCATCATCGCTCGAATCATATGCGGATCCCAGGAGGGCAGACATCTTGACCGAAGGCCTTTTGGAGGCCTAGAAACCGGGTGAAGCAGAAGCGGCCTTGTTGTCAAGTCATCCTGGTCGTCCCAGTCTCCAGACATGGGAAAAACTTCGGCACCAGGAAAATGGCGTCGGCCAAGGCGCACATGTCTCGGAACACCTGCCTTTCTCGACAACGACCATGCAACCAATGCGACGCATGTGTATCAGGAGCAGTCGAAGAAATCTATTAAATGCATTTATCATTCTCTACCGTACTGTTCGGTGCTACGTGCGATATTCATGTCTACAGTCTCTGAGAGACAATTGGGGCGTTCACAGACTCAGCTGTAGGACGGAAAGATGGTGGCTTTCTCTCATTTTCTGCAAACCAGGAGTGATGAACCATCCTTGCAACGCCGCGCAAATAACTCTACCACAAATCCTCCACCGGCCTAAACAGATCGGACCTCTTCTTTCTCATCGTATCTCGTGTCTCGGCTGTACAAGTCGAGTGGCGAACAGATAAACCAACCACATAGTTTTAGGAAATTCCGTTCTTCCAAAATTTTGACCATGTGAGAGTCTTCGGCCTTTGCCTACCATCGCTTTTTGCACCGCCATTTGTGCAATAAATGAATCACTAGTGGGACCATCGCTCTGTCCTTTGATCATGCCGACAACCCAGGCAGGAAAGGCTTGTGGGATTGATATCGCCACTGACCCGTGGCTTGTTCTCGACCATTGCCACTTTCCATATCATCAGCCTTTTTCCACCACTAAAGCTCACTGTTTGGCTCTCGCGATGCGATTGCGGAGCAGCAAACGATCATCAGGAGTAACTGCCGTGCCTCATGACATGTGACATTTCTCCACGTAGTCAGTTGGACTCATCCCGGATCAAAGCCACAATCATGCTGTAAAGATAGAAGAAAAACATGATCAAGTGGAAACCAAGTTTGATGAATGATTCCTGTCAAGGCTTCAGCATTAGTAAACGAGACACGTCATCTGGCCCAGAGGCTGTACATGCCTTTTTATGGACGTTCAACTTTCGGAAGATCTCTGTGGCGTCAAGTAGATGTTGGTTCTCGATGATTCTACCACGGATTGTGTTAGTGCCTGCCACGCAGTGCAAGCTTTAAGATCGATATGGGACACCCACTTTTTCGCATTGAACGCCAGGAGCGGTAAATTCAATAGAATGGCCAACCAGTATCCATTGATAAGGAAGAGGAATGTCAAGAAGGCGTGGACGGCAGCTTCGGGAACAATGTAGGTGTTGAGACGGTTGCAGAGATCGATCGGGTTGATGTAGTCACTGAGGAGAGTCAGTGGGGATTGTCTTTGGAGCTGGGGAAGTATTCTGCCTACCACTCGAGATCGCTGTACATGATGGTGAAGAAGACTTGCAGGAAGAGGTTGACGGCATTTATTAGGACGGCGAGCAGGTATAACCACGCCTCGCCCGACATTTTGGAGGTGTATCTTGACTACAGCAGTGGCAGTAGGATAGGAATGCACAAAGCCTAACCGGTGACTGTCGCGAGCTCAAACACAGCGTACAGAAGCCGCGAGGTGCGCACAGAGAGAGTCGGGGTCGAGCTCTGCAGGGCTGGGCAGGGCGGGGATGAGGCAAGGAAGGGAAGAAGGCGAGAGAGCACGGCGCAGACCAAGCGCAGGTGGAAATTTACGTAGTCGCGGACGATGGGATCTTGAAGGACAAGCTGGCCTTGGTGAAGGGTTGAGTGTGTGGAGTGAGGTAGGCGCAGGATGGTGGTGGGCAGAAGGGCAGAATAGGTACCAGTGGCAGGACGCAAGTGCGAAATGGTCAATGAGATCAGTCGTGGGGAAAGACGCAAAATTCACCGAAATTCCAGGTTGTTGGCAGCTGCGGGTTGGATGGAGCCGCGGACTGTTTGCCTCGCCGTAGCTTTTGCACGATTCGCCACATGGAATTCACCGTATCATCACTTTCATTTACAACTTCCATTCGCAGCATGACTTGAAGAGTAGCGTCTTTCATCTTGCCACTGGCTGACAATTCGTTTCAAATTTGTCATCCGTTACATATCATGAGGGATTGGCAGAAATATCATGTCCAGCATGTCTTATTTTGGTGGTCCTTGATGGGTACGGTGCGGCAAGCACTCCTAATAACGCAATCCCTATTCCTTCCGAACCAGTTCTAGATCAGTCCACCGAGCCATCTCAAATCTGGAAGCAGCAACAAGCAACATGCTGCAGGGACCTAAACTGCGTAAAAATCATCGGATATGGATTTCCATCTCACAGTGTACAGTCGTATGTTCATCGTGAATCATCAGTCATGGTACGTGGGTATCGTTCTAGAACAATGGTTTTCTGGAAACTCCTGGAAACTTTCGCTTGAAAAAAAAAAATGATCCACCGAATTGGTTCCACCTCGTATCTATACCTAACATTCCCATGTTGACAAGCCTCCCGAGGCCTCCTCAACTTTCCTCACCTCCTGCGCGCAGTCGAAGACCATCTGGAAATCGAAGTGGATCTGGACAGGTCGACTCGCAGTCCAAGGTCAAGTGGAACCGTCGCGACACTTCTATCACCCATAGTTGATGCTGCAATGCAGGGTTATAGGTGAAGGCGTCGACACCGCCACGCTGGTTGATCATGGTCCTCAGCGCATCTGCGTGGAGACGGATCTCGCTGGTGTCCCCAAAATCGGCTGTGTACGCCACCAGCAGGAGAACAGCCTGGATGTTGGCGTCAGAACTGGCAGCTCCTGGCATCTGGAGGCGATTCCATAGAATGTTAGTGCCTCGACCAAGATTTCTTTCTGCTTCCACCTGGTCTTGAGGATTTTCCTCGGCAACTGATCGCGCTCTCCGGACTGCATAGGCATAAGCGAGGAGCAGGTGTCGAGAAACTTCGTTCTCAAGCATATATACCAGTGCTGATTCCAACATGTCACTTGATTGATAATGATCGCAAAATGTGGCTCTGACTGTGGGACAGAGAGTTAGTATCGGAGAAAAATTTTGAACCTGCACATGCACTGCCCAGCCTTGATTGCGCTGGAGCATGTTCGGGGCTTTCCAGAGGGTCACTCACAAAATTCTAGGACAGAGTCGTCCGTAGAGGCGATTATCTGAGATGTGGATGGTAGCATCTCAAGGGCGGAATCTGCGGCCGCTTCACTTGTCGAGGAAACGGCTTCTTGTTCGTCGCTCGTTGTCCGACTGGGCGGTTCCGGTCTGCCAGGGATGGAAGGCGCCGGCGAAATTGACACCGAGCTGGCACTGCTGGCTGACGAGGTTGCGACCTCTGCATCTCCTCGCGGGCGTCTGGTCCATTCAAAGTAGCGAGTCTGGCTGGACCGTCGGAGAAGGCGCGAGCGTGCCTCTCGACGCTGCGCGGCCGAGTGATATGCGGTGTGCCGCTGAATGGCACTCCTGACATTGGGATTCTGACTGTCGACAAATTCGATGATGTTGGAGGATCGGCGTGAATTGGGATTGGAATCTCTGCTCTGGCTCGCCCGTGAAGTGTCTTCTTGCGGAGGATCACCACTGGATGACATGTATGAAAGAGTAGAAAAAGGAGACGGTTCTGGTAGGAGAAGAGAAAGAAGAACGATTTAAAAGAAAGAAAGAAGAAAAATGTCTGGTGATAGAATCATGATATCCTACCTCGCAATGCTGGAAAACAAGACTTGGACGAGTAGTTGACACGTCAGGGATATCTCGCGGACTCCAGTCACCAAGGGTTTTTTTTTATGGTCCTTGAACGCGCGTACGTCGTTTGTTAGTGAAGATGGAGAGTGCGCGAAGATACCGTCGGTGCTGCAGCAAAGGCGAAAAGAATGCTAAAGGCGGACAAAGTGATGGATAGAATCGAGAGGGGGAGGAAACCCCGGGGTTTGAAAGTTGATGCCAAACCCCATGGCATTTTTATACAGATTCTGGAACGTAAGAAGCGAGAAAAAAAAGCAGGTCCCAGCGGGTCCCCACCAAACGGCTAACCTAATCGTTGCGAGATGATTCGGTAAGGATCTATAGAGGGTGTGGGATCCAGAACTTTTGGTATAGGTCAGAATGGAGGCAAGGCTAGAAATGCTTCCCTCCTCCGCACTACTAAAATCTCCGACACTGTAAAATCGTCTCACGGTAGCCTCTAGATGATTCGAGACTGTCTAGGAGAAATGGAGCATAAAAAGAGTGATGATCATCGAGGGTGGGTTGATGTCGGTCCAAGAACTCTTTGTAAACTCGCTCGAGGTCGACAAGGACCTCACATTGAGGCACGAGCGATTAAGGAGGCGAAGTGGGATGCGCGAATCACCGAACCAGCCAACGGGCGCACATGGATTCGGATCACGCGGACAGGGCGATGGTGATGTCGGAGGCAATTTTTTGAGGCTGTGACTTAATAGGTATATCAGGGAGGCGAGCCTTGTCGAGGTGATTGGAAGGAGTTGAACAAGGACGAGTATCAATTTGCTTCCGAGCGAAGAAGGCGGCCTTGGCACTCCGGGGCCTTATCCGGTCCGGAGTTACATGAGCCTCCATCGTGACTCGTGAGACGCACGACTTCTTCGCCACTTTGATGCGTCGATCCGACTTCCGACTTACCCTTATTTCAACTACTGCGTCGAGCGGTTTTCTCTCAGATCCTGCGAGGTACGAAGACCGAGTACGACTAGCATGGACCCTGGCGCAACAACTGAGCCACAGGACGTGGCTGTCTCCTGATTACTCGGATATTAGCAGACACCGAGGTTCGGATTATGAATCCTTGCATGAGATTCCGAATCCAACTGTGAATGACACAAGTACCTGTATGCGGAATGTACTTGTGAGAATGCTCCGACCCATCTTCTGGCGTCTGATAAAAGCTAAGCCGGCTTCGTAACAAGTTAACATCCTAAGCATGCAGGTTTTGGTGGAGTTTGACCGCAAACCCCCCGGTTCCCGTCATCGGCCGAGAGCGATGCTTGTCGTCGGCTAACGCACCATGGAAGCAACGCGTGCGAAGGCCAGACTTGGAAATTTGGACAGGGTGAGCTGGGGTGAGTCTCACTCTGATAGTTCAAGTAGGAAGGTGATGTACCGAAATCGACCATGCCCTGTTACTTCCTTCCTTCCTCATATATCCTGCCACAATTGTTCAAAGGTAAGACCCGACAATAAGCGAGACTTGCAGCCAGTGAATATGTTATGGACCTCTTACAAAAATCCGCCCGAGTTGCAGACGAGGCTGCAACCCAACGTGCGCCAGTAAGTGCGTCATTTGTCAGACACTCCTGGTGCATCCCGAAGTTTGTGTAAGCAGACAGAGGTCTTCGGGCGTCAAGCAAACCTCAAAGAAGTTGCGCAACAGGAGATAATTCCGCTCAAAAACAATCGACAGCCAGATTTCCCAACTGGTCTCCCACGTTGGTACTCCCTGACCGGAAGAGGACTTAAGTACGTCTGAGCAAACGGGAAGACCTGTTTTCCCTCTCCTGTGGTCGATTGCGATGAGAAATACGCAACTTAGAGCTATATATCTCATGCAAGGTCGGGAAAGCCACGGAATGAATACCGCAGATATCGGAAGCTGGAAAAAGCAGTTTGGTTCGGCAATCGCCACTCCATGTTGACACGTTTCATTCTATGTCTTATTGTTTAGACCTGAACTGCATACACCTCCCCGTCTCGTTATTCGTGTCTGCATACACATCAGAGGCAACGTGTCATTTCCTCGCCTTTTTGCCCCGTTTCTTGACGTTGGTGCCATTCGCATTCTCCAGGCCGGTTGTCTCGACAATCTCAAACCCAGAATCCGATATTTGACTCGAGCTCATATCCCGCACTAGCGGCTTGTCTAAATCAGTGGCTTCTTTGGTGGGTTCTAGTGGCGACTCGCTGTTTGGCACATCCTCGTCTTCAGCACTCGGCTGCGTGCTCTTCGAAAATGGACTGATGGCCTTGCGGCATAGCCAGATGGGGAGACGCAGAACAGCAGTATCCCACACAGTGGGCTTCACGATCTCGTCGAGATCCAAGAGATATTCCTGCGTATTCCCGTCTTCGTCCTCCTCTTCCAAGTATACGTTGCCCCCCGCGTCGACGACTAGGATCTTCCCGTTTTCTGCAGTGACACGCCGTCTGTCCTGCGATGTGGATTGCACCGCTTTGGGAGGAGGTGCGGAAGCAGGCTTGCCCGTCTTTTCCTTTTTATTTTGTCGCTCCATTTCTCGCCGCTGCCGTCGGTTCAGGTTGGCCATCGGATCAGGCTCTTCGATGGTGGGAGCGACTTCGGCCGGCTCACCGAGACCTGCAATGCCTCTAATCCCTGACTCATCGCCCCAGGCTTGTTTCTTTGCGTATCTGATGTACCTCTCCATGAAGTCCCGGTGTCTGCGGTAGTTCATTGTCAAAACAAAGTAGTGGACGGCTCCGCCGCCGATTAGAAACAGTCCCAGTAACACAGTCCCCAGCCCAGGACGGTATCTTTGGTAGTAATAGCCTGTCCCACGCCAGGACGGCCAGCCATGTCCCTCGAAAAAATCATATCTCTCCCTCAATGGACCTCTCAGAATGGTCCCGATCAGGGTGAGCCGACTGTAGCGTTCCTGCGCATCTTTCACGACGCGTGAAATCTCCCGCTGTGTCGGTCCTTTTGAGACGTGTACTCCGGGCTTTTTCTTGCCACCTGGCTTTTTGGGGCTCGCTGTCGACCGCGAGGCTATGAAGGAATGCTTGACTTTGTCCGGATGGAGAGTGCGGGACTTCTTCTTGAGGGCGGCACTGATCTGGTCGACCGTGGCATGAGGCGATACACCGAGAACATCGTAAAATGTGACCCCAGGGCCTTCTGTGGTTTCCAACTCGTCGTGTAATTTGAACAGCTCGTAGTCTTCAGCCGACCATGCAACACACACGGCAACCAGAAACAGGAGGAAAAGGATTCGTCGCATCATCTTCACCCACACGACTCCCCCACGACAACAGTCACTGGTGGCACACGCAGTCCGAGAGGATCTTATGATGAAGTGAGGCAAGGAATTCGATGGTGACGGGGAATGGTGCCCAAATACGTGGGCCCAATTGACGAAGGTTCCGAGGAGGATGCCGCAGCCAACTTGCAGTAGCTTGACTTCCAGCCAAGGGAGGTAGAGTTTTGCCAAAGTGTATATATCGGAACGCGGACCTCCTCTTTTCTTTCCTTTTTCCTTCTCCCTAACGCCTCGCCTGTCAAGAGTGAGAGCGATGGCAGTGCCGCGACCTTGAGCCTGCGGGAGGCAGGTCGAGGATTCTTTGTGGAAGAGAGCAGGGGTGGAAGCCGAGGAGAGTTGCTGATCTCCCAGGTTCGCAGTCTCTGTGGTGGTGCCCCCTGTAAGTCACCAAAATTGGGTGTGGCTTTTGAGTTGTGCTGACTACGCCTCTAGGGAGCCTACAGCCCCCCTCCCCCTTTGAGTCCCCCCCTTTCCCCCCCCCCTCGAGATTCTCTAGTTACAAACTTCGTCAACCATTCACCCACCCGTCGAAATTCCATCCCAAATCTCCGCAAAGGGGCCACAGGCAACAACAAGAAAAAGTCTCTGCCTGCACACTGCATCCCCTTCTCCTTGACTTATTCTTCACCCGACTCTCTTTCATCACGCTCATTTGCACTTCCACCCCAACACCGCACTTTGAATAATCTTGTAAGTTCCACAACAGTCAGCAATGCTGGACGCTGTGTGACCACCAATTCGCGTTTCTTTACTGACATGGACCTGTCAAGGTAATCAATTCTCCAGCGACCTTAATCTCTATCAAGACACCCATCCTTAAAGCTCAAAATGGCCCGAATCAGCATTCCCATCGATGCCCTCACTTCCCGTCTCAACCTTAGTGATCGCTTTAACAGCGTCCGGTCGCAGTCGATTGCGTCGCGCTTTGCAAACATTCGACCCATCTCCGAGTTTCTCGACTTGAAGAGATTGTCAAAACCAAACAACTTTGGAGAGGTGCAGGCCAGAGTCAACTACAACCTGAGCTATTTCTCCAGCAACTATGCCGTGGTCTTTGTCATGCTCAGCATTTACAGCCTGTTGACCAACCTATGGCTTCTTTTCGACATCATCCTGGTCGTGGGCGGCATGTGGGCAATCGGCAAGCTAGGGGGAGCTGATCTCGAGATCGGCACCTTCAGAGCGACAACCTCTCAGCTGTACACCGGCCTCGCTTGTGTGGCTGTTCCCGTTGCCTTCATTTCTTCTCCTATTGCAACGTTCCTATGGTTGATTGGAGCTACCGGTGTGACCATCCTTGGCCACGCTTCACTCATGGATAGACCAATCGAGAATGCTTTTTCCGAGGAGGCGGTCTAGGTGGTCGGCCGCGAACTCCATACGATATGCCCCCTGGGGGAAGACCACCAAGGGGACGAGGCGGGCGGAACAAGGACAGATTGTGGGAATTTCAACAGCAACAACGCTCGTGGGACTACAATGTTCGTGTGGAGGAATTGGACACCGACGACGAGATATCGCCGCACGGTGTTGAGCCCGATCAGGGTTATGGTCCATCAAGATTTCGCTCAGATGAGCTTCACTTTACTGGCATAGATTTAGGTGGGGGAGTTGTCCGCCGACGGCGTTCAGGTGATTCATTCGGCGATGATTTGACCCCTTCGGATGACGAGGACGATTATGACCCTTATGCAGGCCTCGTCCGGAGAGCAGACATGCAGATGGCTTACAGGGAGAAAGAAGACATGCTCGTCCAGAGAGCTCTGGATAGGATAGCGCGCGCCCGGGCTCTGGGTAAGCCCAATGTCAAGTTGAGTCGAGCTGAAATTGATGCGTTGAAACGCCTAGAGCTCGACCGGAGCCAGACTCCTCCACAGACCCCTGCAGCAGCAGCGCCACAGGCTCCAAAGAGCAAAAAGGAAGTTGTCAAGCGCAAGCCGGTCGAGGTCCGCAAGGTATCAGGCAAAAAGCTTTCTGGCGGTTCTCCCGCAAAGGGCAGGGCCGCAGATGGTCGCAACCGGGGAAGAAGTTCTGCCTCCAACAGCTCTCCACGCGAGAATGTTGACAACTCGGTCGCCTACGCGTTGCCCCCAGCGGACGTCGACTACGATCGAAGGGTGCCGTACACGCAAGGATATTATGTGACTGGTCCGCGTCAGCTCGAACCGCTCCGCCACAGCTCTCGCACAAACTCCAACCAGTCTCTGCGGCAACAACAAATGCAGCAGGCCCCCCCTTACCAGCAACATCCTTATTATTCGCATCGCTATTCCTCTAACCCAGACGTACTCTACAACAATCACGGCTCGAATTCCCCTCGTTCCTCACGGCCTGACCCTTCCGAACCTGACTGGGAACCTCGTGCTCGCTCGACTTCCAGCCTGGTTAACGTGCCTCTGGATCAGTTGCCCTACCAGACGAGTGTGGGGAGAGCGCCACGGTTTGACCCTGCTGACCCACGCTTCGCCTCACCACAGCGTCGCGTCGTGTCTGGTCCGGCGGGTGTTCTACCAAGCCACGTTGGGATTCGTCGTCAACAAGACGAGCTTTTTCTTCCGGATGAACAACCAGAGGTCTACAGATACCTAGCACCATCCGACACAGATGACCAAGACGACGACGACAGCGACTACACCCCAGAAGACGAGGTGGTTGAAGTCACGGAAAGACCAAGTGGTCAATACGCGATTCAAACGAGAAGTGCTGCCGCAGGGACATCATCGCAGAGGGTTCGGAGTAACGGGAAAGGCACGGCCGGGAAAAGTAAAAAGGGAAGATAACACAGGGGCATGGGCATGGTATCCGCAGGGTTTGCATGTGTTAATAGGTTTTCACTAACGAGCACACTGGTGCTGGATGTCGAATGACTCCAGCTACGAGGAAGGATCGTTGATCAGGTTCATGTTATGGCTTGCGTTCAATGAAGAAATGGAAGAAAGTTTCTTCAGTGCGTTTATTCATTCCAGGTTCGAGACATTTTCGTGATTTTCAAAGTCCTGCCTCCCGCTGTAACATTGTTCATTCCCTCCGTCAGATGTAGGCCTCCCAAACTTGCCGTCGCGATTAGATGAACATCTTTGCTATTCCTGATCCCCGTCAATGTCATTGTGTTTTGGGGGGTGTCAAAGCAAGCTTACCTGCAAGAGCGCCAATGCTGTTCCCAAGCCCACCACCCATGCCGGGCAAGGCGCTGCCAGCACCAAAGTCCCTCGCGCCTCCGCGGGCATAGAACCGTTCGGTCGTCTGGGTCATCTCCCGGCCGCCCATCATCCTCTGCAGTCCCGCGGGGAGACGAATGCCCACGGTCCCCAGCAACTTGCTGAGCGCCCCGCCCGTGATCAGCGGCAGGATGACCAGGACAAACGTGCGGACGGGATGCCGCCGCATCCAGTAGTATATCTCTTTCAGGAAGCGGCGTATCCGGTTCACGAAGCCGGACCGGGGGCGCGCGCGGGACGAGTGGCCGTGGCCTCGCGACGAGGAGCCGCCACCGAGGCCGGAGAAGAAGGAGGACGCGCTGCGCGAGTACGACGGGCGGGAGGCGTAGTAGGAGCGGCGTGAGGGAGACGGAGAGTTGCTTCGCTGCGAGCGAATTCCCTGGTTCCAGAACCCCATCCCCAGATGTTCGCGTGGACGTCGGCGCAGCCTATGAAGGGCCAATCGTCGAAAGGCAGTCCGATTTGGGATTTGCGCGGGCGCTTGGGTCGCTCAATTTGCGGATCGTCGTTGTCGCCCGCGTCTCTCAAGAAGATGGCCTTGCTCGTTGTTGTGCCTTTCCTCACGGGAGAGAGCTGCGAGGAAAACGATGAAAAGATGGCGGAATAGCGAGGGTTCGTCAAAGGGGTCCCTGAGCTGATGGTTCACGAACAAAATGCATGCATTCTGCAGAGGCTGAGCACTCTGGTTTGTAGACCGCTCAGCGGACAATTCGAGTGGCTGGACAAAAACCGGGGGGCTTTGGTGGGCACGGTGGGGCACTAGGGGGTGCACCAGGCCAATCAAACGCCAGCGCAGTACGCAGTGCTTCAAAAGGGTATAGATCTCCATTGATATTATTATTTTCGCAGCCTTTTCCCTGTCAGGGAGGCAACTACGAGGTGCTGTCTAACTCAATGCACATGAGGGCGCCTCCAGATTTAAATCATCCTTGAAGGCGATCTCATTTCTGGGTGTCTCCTTCCCAGCCTGAGACAGGGTGGAGGACATCAATCGCATCAAGTCCGCAGTGGCCATTGTGAACATTCTACGGGTGTCTTGCGGAGAGTTGTTCTGGAGTGCATCTTTGTCGAAATCGACGAACAAGACAAAGCACAACTCTCCAAAAATGTGTATCATAACGGCTAATAATATATGCCACGAACACCATGCGTTATCCCCAATCCAAAAAGGTATCACTCTGACAACGCCGAGTACCGCCCAAAGCCCAAGTCCGTCCGTTCTTCAACTGATCGCGCCGCTAAACAGCTTCGCAGCAAGCTCGCTCAGTATGCGAGCTTTTTGACCCTGGTCGAGCGCTTGGAACACCTCATAGACCGACTTCCCTTGCTTGTCACGTATGGCGCCCATCTTGCTGCCGGCTGCAGCACCTGTCACCATGCCGACAGAGTTGCCGACAATGAAACCGAGAACGCCACCCGAAATACCTCCGGCGATAGTCCAGAACCGCTTCGTGGGCGTGTGCGTGTCATCGGCCAAATCGTCCTCCTGCATCATCTCTTCAAACGCGCTCTTGAACTGTTCGTTTGCAAACTGGTCTTCTTGTGCGTCTCCCGCCGGTCGACCAAAGCCAAACATGTTGAACCAAGACTGGGGACCCGTCTGCGGAGGGGGTCTGGGAACTTCTTCGTCGGCAGACTCGTCAAAGCTCGTGGTGCCGTGGAAACGCCTTGCTTCGTCGTATTCTCGCCGTCTCGTGGGCTCGGACAGAGTGTAGTAGGCGTCATTGATCTTTTGGAACATTTTCGTCCGCTTGGGACGCTCGTCCGAGTCGGCCGCAACGCGATCTGGATGCCATCTGCCAAAATATCCGTTAGTATTGAGACGAGAATGTCGGTACCCAGCGACAGAGATTTCCTTCCAATATTCTAGACTGTGATATAGAGACTTACTTCAGCGCGGCTTTCTTGTAAGCTCTCTTGATTGCTTCCTGGTCGCTGTCGGGGGCAACTTCGAGGACAGCATCTCCTTCCAATCAGCATGACTCTCTATATCTTGCTGAGAAGACAGCACTTACAGTAATCGGGAAGCTCAGACATTTTGACCCCTTGCGAGTCTGCCTGCCAGACTCAGGGTTCCGGTGGGGTGGACCTGGAAGAACAGCGAGAGGAACCTTGGTCGGAACGGGGAAACGACTCCGTGACCTCGTAGAAGACGATGTGAGCGCTGCAGAGACAATAAAAATAGTGGGCGCGAGGCAAAGACAAAAGGTGGCAGAAAGAGGGCAAAAGGATTGCATTTGATCGCAGCCTACTCGTATGACGAGCCGCGGGCGCATGACGTCGACATCTTGCGTTTCAAGCCACAGTGGCTTGGGGGGTTTTCTAACCTGCGCCTGCTCCAGTACGCCAAGGCGCTAGTAATTTTCGAGTCTACTGTACATAGATTCCCATGTTTCGTCGTCGGAATCTCGGCGCCTGTCCACCTCGAGAGCGTTACGAGTTCGATCTGCCATGCCTTTCCCAATTACCCGTTTTTCGATTCCTCAGGGATGTTAGGCCTTCTTGCGGGGTTTCCGTAAATTCCATTCGTCCCCAATGTATTTGAATCGCTGAGATCAGTTACGAAATTCATTCATCTTCCCTTCGCCTTCGTGCAAGTCAGGAGTTAGGCTGATCAGGCAGCTTTATGCCTAAGCGTCGTCCCTGCAAGTAATCGAAACGCGGGATATTCCAATAGGCAAACACTTAAGTACTTTCATAATGATGCTGTCGTTGGTGCCATGTGCGCCTCGGATACTCTAACTAGACTTAGAATTTGACCCTGACTAAGAGGGTACCTTTACTCAAAACTCAAAAGTCTCTCGGCAACATTCTTCGCCATACGGCAACTCATCTCCATTGATGAGACGATCTCTTCGGCGAGCCCCAGATAGAAAAGACCTGTGCAACCTGGATTTGGTCTAGAAAAGTATCCGTTGGTCGCTGAGCGGGCACTACGGATGACCAGGCCTTGTGATGTACTCAACTCATAATCCGTTTATTTAAGGGTTTGTCATCGTCGTAAGGTTCGCCTACCATATCACAAAGATCGCGATCTTCAATGGATTTCCCGGAGACGACGCGGTACAGATTCTCGCACACCACTTGATCACATGGTTGCCATGGTTGATAATATTCTCTGTCAATCCAGCACTCTGATACTGTGCAGGTTGATGTGGCTGGGAGCGTTGCCGGTCACAAGGATTTCATCGGCAACAGGTGCTTTTTTGGACAGATTGAACAAAATCGGATATGAGGAAGACGGAGTCAGGAAGTGCGTGATATGGGCATCCAAGTATTGAGGTGTTGTAAGATTGACGTTTTCTAAGAGACGATGCATTGCTTGATTGTCTGGCTGTTATGTGAAGAGGCGGGCTATCTCTATATACAACTCAGGCTGGATCGAAGCCTTTCCGGTAACTGCTTCGCCAACGTCTCGAGCTCGTTTCATAGGCGTCTGAAGGCCGCCTGAAACACCTCTTGCGACGTAAACACCAACAAACGACGAGGCTGAGCAAGGCTGATGTTTTGATATAGGCGCCAGGGCCGAGGTCCCTGGTGTACGTCACGACCCAGTGACACAGAGAGCGAACGGGGGCCAATTCGCTAATGTGCGCGGTTCAACACACTTTTCCCAGGACACTTGACAACAACGACCCGTCACGGACAGAATCACCTCACGACAGTAAAACGACTGTTCCATGTACTGGGCTAGTCGGCAGCTTTGGAATTTACCGGCAAAGAGACCAATACGCTGAGAATAGTAGTGTATCTAGGGTACCGCACGTTAGTCTTCTGTCGGATTACGTTGGCTATCTTCCTTATGGCTCTGGACGAATAGTGGCGGTACTTACGTTGCAGTCGCGGTTATCAATTCCATTGTCTTCGATTTTGTCAGACCAGATGCAATCAAAAGGTATACAAGCATGGACGTCATGATGATGATGAGTCGAATGGAGATGCGAGTGGTGGTGTTGCACAGGATGACAGGCATTAGCAAAGGAAGCACTATCAAGAGGAATAAGAGGGCTTTAGCAGCTCGTGGGACCAGTTTTCCGGAATAAAGATATACGCAGGCATCAGTAGAGAGGTCGTGAGAGAGGCTCTATGATGGTGTTTGTTAGACCGACAACGGGCACAACAGAGGAATCTCTCTTACGTTTCGAAAGCCGCGGTAGAAACGGATCAACATATCTTCAACCCAAGCTTCGAGTTGCATTATTCCCCTGTCCGTGACTGGTGCAAGAGAAACCAGTTCCTTGTCCTGGGCCAGATATGCTGTCTCTTTCCTGGCCAGGCAGCGGTTTCCGTCTAACCACATCTGCAAGCTCTCCACGTCTCTTTGCTCGGCAGAAGGCAAACTCAACATCTTGTGAGTCCTCTCAGCGAGGTCATCTGCATTGCGCTCGTTAATCATCAAACTTGGCCACAGGGTCTGTAGACGAAATACCGTAGTCGGCCAGACTGGCTTCGATGTCGGAGATGAGAGATCTTCTTTGCACGTTTCGGTCGTTTCGGCTGTTGCCCAGAAAGAGAAGATCAGTCTCCAGCTTGTCGATCCCATCTAGTCTCTCTTCAAGGAGAGTAAGTCTGTCCTGCTTTAAAAGGAGGAGCCGCGCTCGGAGCCGGGCAAACCGTCGGAAGATGAGAAAAGGCTCGTGCGAGGAAAGCAGCGCGGTGAACCGAGGATATCCCGGCTCGTAGTCCTCCACCAGGCGCGGTGAGTGAGTAGGTAAGTGGGCTTCGCTGGAGTCTGGGGTGGAAGGAGGCATTTCGTCTGACGCCCTCTCGATGGGTGAACATGGCTCACGCATGTACTTATCGCCATTCTGCAGGCTCTGCCACTGGCCCCCAAAAGAAGGTGCGTTCTTGGGTTAATGGGGGCGCAGCAGGCGCCCACTAATCTGATGCAAAACATCCCGCAGGACGCCTGAAGGGACAAGGCTGACAGGAGACTCTAGGTTCCAGTCAGGCAGAAAGCTGGGGGTAGAGTATTTCACTTCGTCGACGACGAAAAGTGGATATAAGACGCGTCCTCCCTGGGCCAGGCACTTTCAGCGTTACCGTCTCAACCCTCAATTGCCTTCGCTTTCCAGCAATCACAATTCTCCAACGGCCGATGTCTTCCACGTGTGTACACTACCCAAAGCTTGAGCCATTCCGGTATACACAATGTGCGGCCACAAACACTGACCGAACCAGAGAACAACGACCACCTTTCATTGAAGCCGGCCAGCGCCCCTCTGTGACGCCATATATTAAGGTCTTGTGGGGCCCCTTGTTATCCACTCCGCGGCTTGCTAACTATCCGTCGTTCAGAAACCGGCATTTTACGTAGGAGACCAGGTCTATCTGCGCACTCCGACCGGACGGGAAGGACCATACCTCATTGCGTCCATTCCTTCGCACGGAAAGTTCACCCTTTGCCTCAAAAATGGACAAGCGGTTCGCAATGGCGAGGCCATCGAATTCGACTACCTGGAGCCTGCGTGAATGCATTTCTCCACAGGTCTTGTGCTCCTGTTCGTTGAGTATGTGTCTGCTCTGCTATCCCTTGACAGCAGAAATCGCTGCCATGCGCTCGGTTCGGGAGAGGGGCAGCCGTAGAGTAAAGGAAGATGAACTCAAACAGAGGGCAGAACACAGGGGCGTGGCCTACCGTCGTGGAGGCGGCAGACTGATCCGGTGTTATGGGGTGTCAAGCTTGACGAGTTAACCCCATGTCAGCCGGAGGGGCGTAGGGCCTAACCTCGAAAATATTGAGCCTTTACAACATGACCGTCACAGTAAATCTACATATTTCAAACACAACATGTGAAAAAGTAGTCCATAAACTTGATCACTCCATAGAGAAAAGGCGGACGCATATTGTCATACCAATTAAACAGGATGTAGCTTTGTCATCGTTGTTTAGTTGCTGTAGTTGTCTATAATTCCAACTCCGAACAAAGGCTGATTATTTTCGAGGTTAGGCCCTAGTGCAAATTTGCGGCTTGTCTCTCTCCATTCTCCCGTTCGTGACTGTAGATTCGTCCCGACAACGATTCACGCTCTCCCCTCAAGCCCAGCGCCCTTCCGGACCTATGGAAAACCATGCCGGCAAGACACATTATGCTGTTTTGGTGGGAATCAACGCTTATGAAGAAAACCCTCTCAAGTATTGCGTGCCGGATGTTCACCGCATCAAAGAATACCTCGAAGCGGGGCTCAGCCGCGTCGACATCAGGATATTCACTGCACCTGAGGCTGCCTCTCATCAAACCCAAAATTCGACGCCTCGACCAACATACCAAAGAGTCGTGGCGGCTCTGGAGGATGTGACCCGGCACGCGAACCCCGGAAGCTTCGTCTACCTCCACTTCTCCGGGCACGGGGTTCGAATGGCCACTGAAGAAACCTTCTTAGATAGGCCGGCTGGGGATTTGGCGCTGCAACTACTGGAGGATGACAACAGTGACAAGTCGATATACCTACGGGGCTCAACACTCGCGGTCATCTTGGAAGCCATGCTGAACAAGGGACTCGTTGTGACTATGGTACTGGATTGCTGCTTTTCCGCCGCGGTATATCGTCATCCAGATCCTAGTGTACGTTCTCTCCCGTACGACGCTGAAATCGACCTCAACTCCCCCCGTAGCGCCACAAAGCCCGTTGCCGAGTTCCAAGACTACCTAACCGCCTCTGTTTTGGGAAGCCGCGACGTCTCCTTGAAGCCAAACTGGCGTATCAAAACAGACGGATATGCGATCATCGCCGCGTGTGGACCTCATGAACTGGCGAAAGAGTTCATCTCAGATGATGGTCAGGGTCATGGGGCACTGTCTTACTTTCTTCTCCGTGCGCTCGACGAATGTGGAGGCCCGGCCCGCCAACACAAATACATCTATGACAACCTGCGGGCCCGGTTTAGGCAGTCCTGGCCATACCAGAACCCTGTCTTCTATGGAAACAAGAACCAAGGTTTCTTCGGTCACCCTGGATTGGACGACGTGACTGGGACCACTTTTCCCTTGTTGCAGAAACTGGACGGCAGCTGGGAAATCCTGGCGGGCCAGGCCCACGGCATTCTTGTGGGTGATCAATTTCTCGTCGAGGTCTCAAACTCGGCCTTGCCCGACGACAACAGATCAGAAGCGACATCGTCACTCACGGTCAGTGTGCTTCACACGACTGCTTTTACGTCGACGCTGCAGGCTGTGGACATCTCCCGTTCTACGAATGACCGAATCCACGGAGCAGCAAAGGCCTTGACCCTGCTCGCCCTTCAGAAATACACGATTAGGTTGCTAGATGGCCTGCCTCAGCGAGATCAATGGCCGGCTGCCCTGCAACGAAGATCACTTGCCCTGAGCCTTGCAAGCGACGACGACGAGGAGGAGGAGGAGAAAATATCCTCTCAACTCGGAGCGCCTCACAATGACCGGCCTCGATTTTATTTTCAAATTGCCCTCACCAGCGACGGGGAGTACGAAATTTGGGACCAAGGTAGTCAGAGAGTCCCCAACCTCCCCATTATGACCCAAGACGGAACAGACGTCGACGAGGTTTGTGACTTTGTTGAGCACCTGGCCAAGTTTGAGCTAGTTAGAGATTTGGTCAACATCGCACCGACCGACGCTTTCTTGCAGTCTTTCGTCGCCGAAATGACAGACTATTGGGGTAATGTCTACCTGCCTGGGTTTACGATAAAAGTGGAACACGACAGAGATATGGAGCGCGTTCTGGAACTGATAGTCCAAAACAAATGTGACGAGGACCTATACGTCTATGTTTATAATTTGGGTCCTCAGTGGCAGGTGGAAAACATTCTCCGCGGAAGCTACGAAGTCATCCCGCCAAGGCAGACTGCCCAGGGATTCACTGGGGTATTCAGGAAGAAGTTGAAGGCGTTGGTTCCACCCGGACTCTCGGCCGGTGGTCAGGTGGAATGTAAGGATATTGTCAAAGTCTTTGTGACCTCGCAGCCAACGACATTCGACTCGTTGGAATTGCCAAAAATCAGCACTGCAGTCAAGAGAAAGGACGGGAGCGAGACCAAACGAAACAGCAGGTGGCGTTCGTCAGGGGATTGGGCGGCATTGAATTTCCCGATTCTCACTCATCTAAGTTCTAAGGAGGGCATCCTTCCGACCTCATCAAACGCCGAAATGAACATAGGGGACCCACAATAGTGATTTTGTCGATTCTTCTTCGTCGTCCTCATCACACGACACGATATCTCTCCCGAACCTGTTATCATGGTTCCGGGCCTGTTGACCTGTCCCTCGAACGGTCGCTTCCACCACTGCAGGGGGTTTGTCGACCTCGTTCGACCCGGCCACGCATCTGGCAGGTGCTGATTTATTCAACCAGCGCTCTCGAACCTGCCTGATAGCGATGTGAAGGCCCCGGCAAATAGCGTCGTCCGCAAGGTGTCCGTCCTTCGTTCGGTTCCTCATCTCCTCGTACGTGACTCTGGCAACGTCCACACAGAGTCTGTCGTTCACCTCCCACAGCGTGCCGATGACGTGGCGAAACCCGGCCAATTGGCAAGCGCTGATCAGGTGGATACTCTCGTCGACGAATTTCGCATTCCCAATACGACCGGTCCCGCAGGCAGAGAGGTAGGCAAGAAACGGTGAGCACTTTCGGAGATTCATCTGGAGAAGAGTGCCGACCGTCAGTGGATCAATCTCCCAGTCCGATAAGAGCAGGCAATTTTGTGAAGGATCAGTGTCGTCCGTCCGACCGTGGCCAGCAAAATGGAATATGGCGCAATCGGAGAGCTCCTGGACTACATCTTGCTTGCACCGTTTCGGCTCTACGGGACGGAGCGACATTGATGGAGAGAGTGCTCGGAGCATCGCGACCTCCTCGCTTGCGAAAGGAAGTGCCTTCTGATTCGGCGTGTCCGGCATGGCAACAAGAAGTGCTTTGAGAGGGGTTGATGACGGACTACTAGAGCGGCCGTTTCGGCGGCTGTGGATAATGGCCCTGATGGAGGTACTGTACGACGACATGACTCTATCGAGCACTGTTTCCCTGGAGCACTTGGAGTGATACCCCGCTGCGTGAACCGGGAATTTGCTCAGAGACCCGGTGGGAATCCACCATATACGTGGCCAGTCATCGCCGGAGGGCGGTTGTGTCAATCGAATCTCGGTTAGAATCGGATTCGCAACCACGTCCCAAAGCCATTCCAGGACCCGAGGGCTGTCCAGATTGTATTGCCGCGCCTTCTCCTCGATTTCATGGCTCTTGAGGTGAGGAAGAGCCAAGGACCGGACCCTGTGCGGCTCGATCAATAGCGCATCGCAACGTAACGGGCTAACGTTGATCACAACGATAGGGCCGTGTCTCGCGGCCTCTTTCACGGCACATTCGACTGGAGCAAGCAAGAAATCCTCAAACCCAGGATTATTCCGGATTTCTCTAATCAACTTATCGAGATTGTCTGCAGCATCATGACGTAATTCATGTCGACCCTGCCAGGAAGAGTCACGACTTTTTTCGACACGAGAGAGTTCTCGGATTGCAGGAAGATGTTGTTCAGTCCGAAGATCGGCAAGCCAATGGTCGAAACCACGTTGCTGAATGCCCGGAGCCTGAACCAATGTGGGAGGAGGGTCAAGTTGCTGGCAGAGGTGTACATATTCGTTTGCCAGGTCTGGGTGATGGTTCTGAAGATCTCTTAGATCAGTGCGGAGTTCACTCAGAGATCCTGTAATCACTCCACGACCAAGTTCAAGTATTTGGAGAGCCTCGAAGGCGTTCTTTCCAGCATTGAGCGCAATAGCTGCTGCATCTCCAGCGAGGCCAACAACTTCGCGAAGCTTATTTTGCTTGTCGGCATTTTCGAGAGATCGTGATGTAAGGCGTGGGACAAGATGTACCGCCTTCGAGGCAGCTTGGTAAGCTTTCGCCCAGTCTTTGACTTCGACGTATAGCCCATACAAGGTCATACCGGCGCTTAAACGGTGCTGGGTTCCTGATTGAGTGTGATCAAGGGAAGCCTGAAGCCGCTGTATTGCCATGTCAAGATCATCCTTATTCCTAGTGTCCCGATATCTATTCTTATAGGTTGATCCAAGTAAATTAAGTCGGAATGCCGAATTAGGATCGTCGGGTTTCGTTATGCGGACGGCATCTTCAAGCACCCGAAGTGCCATTTGAACGTCTGTCGCGGCTCGAGTGATGTCATATCTCAATGCATATCCAGTTCCAAGGATGCAAAGTCGAAGAGGCTTGGACCGATCATCAGAAGGCGTTATATCAGGGGATTCTTGACACAGCTGGATGCACCTTTCCAGGTGCTCCCTATTCCGTGCCCTACCGAAATGGTCTCTGTACACGATAGCGAGCTCCAAAAGTCGAGATCCCTTCCGTGGGTCTTGTGGAGCTGTAATTTCAAGAGATTTCTGCTGTGATTGAACAGCCAACTTGAAGTCTTCGTCGTCCCCTTTCCTCAGATACCTGCATTCATGTGCGTTTCCGAGCCATTGAAGTCGATCCGCTAGTTCAGGATGATTAGGCGGAGTTTTGCCAACCGATTCCTTGAACAGATAGATGGCGGCATCGATATCTGCTACAGCCCCAATCATTCGGAATCTAGTTTCATACGCAGCTCCAAGACAAACAAGTCGAGATACCCTATGTGGATCGTCCGGGGATGTTATATTGAGAGACGCGTAGTATAGCCGAATTGCGTCGCTAAGGTCCTCTAGACTCCCTTTCTGTCCGGATCGATATTGGTAGCCAGCTCCAAGAGTCTGAAGCCGAGTCGCTCGGTCTGGATGATCTGAAGGGGTCTTCTCAAGGGATTCCTCTATGCTCTGGATTGATAAATCAAGATCTTTTGCGTCCCGATTCAAATGGTAGCGGCACCCATATGCATTTGCAATCTCCTCAAGTCGAGATGGTCGGTCTGGATGGTCCAAGGGAGTCTGGTGGAGAGCCTCTTGCAGTCGTTCAATCGCTTTTTCGATATCGGTTTTCTCCATAGTTGCTTGGAACTTATCTCTATACTTGCATCCAAGAAGGCTAAGTCGAGACGGTCGGAGTGGATGGTCAAGAGGCATCTTGTCCAGGGACTCCTGGAAGCATTGAATTGATAAACGAAGGTCTTCAATATCCCATTTGCTGTAGTATCTGTATTCATATGAGTGTCCAAGGACGTGGAGTCGGGGCTCTCGGTATGCGTGGCCTAATGGAGTTTGTTGAATGGCTTCTTCGAGCAATCGAACCGCTTTATCGATATCTGTCATCTTCCTGGACCTTGGAAACCTGTCCTTATATCCACAGCCTAGGACAAACTTTCGGTCTGCCAGGTTTGGGTGGTCTACGCTTGTTTTGTTAAGAGATTCTTCTAGCAGCTGGATCGCTTTGTCGATATCTGCCATATCCAATGTTTTGTAGTATCTGGATCCGTACATAGTTCCTAGACATTGGAGTCGAAATGCCTGTGCTGGATGGTCTGAAGGGGTCAAAGCAAGGGCTTCCTGGAATAGCTCGATTGCTTTATCCACGTCGACCCTGGACTTTGTGCTCTGGTGTCTAACATAGTATGCATCAGCGAGGGCATGAAGTCGATGGGCCCTTTTATCATCACCCGGTGGAGTCTTATCCAAGGCCGCCCGGAACAGCTGAAGCGCTGTTTCTAGATCCTCTATGTTCCTGCTTGTTTTGAACTTGTCATTGTATACGACTGCAAGATCCTGAAGTTGAGAAGGCGATCCAGGGAGTTTTTGCCGTTCTTTTGGGAGAACATTTTGAGCAACCTCGACGGGGCTTATTTTTTCTCGTAGTGGATAATGCGATCCTGGGTCATTCATGGCGTGAGAATCCGAAAACAGCGCGATCGCAACGGGAGAGAGGTGCTTTGTGGACATAAACGAGTGGCCATAGGAAGACGTGAGAACGGTACCAACCTCTGGACCCGTGAGCGGCGGAGCGGCTGCGTTGGGCAGACTCCTGGAGCGCCCAGGGATCGCTCGAAGCAGGTGAGCCGAGGGTGAGCAAAGCGGCGGCCTACTTTGTCTCACTCACTTAGACTCTTTTCTGCAGGTCCGCGGCAGAAAGGGCTTGAGCCTGAGACAAGGGGCTGCTAATCACGCGAAAGATGCGCGTGGGCATAGCCTGGAGGCTAAGACTACTTTAACCCGGGCTTAGACTGAACCTTTCTTTGAACACCTCCAGAAGCCGGGGTAAGGAGGCTAATCTAACTCCTTCCGCTTAACTACCTCGATACTCGTGAAAGGCTCAGCAGGCAACAGCCTGGCCGGAAAAGGGGCCTCGTGCGTGCGTCAAGTATAACCGAGCGGGAGGGTCCGGAAAATGGCCCTTCTGAGCCTTGAAACACAAAAAACCGGGAACCGGGGTCAAGTTGTTGGAACCTTCACAGCTTCGGGCTGTGATAGGTCACGTGCGGCAGCAGCTCATGTCAAAGCCGCGAGCCTCAGGTCGTCCTCAGGCCCAAAGATGGGAATGGAAAGTACTCGTGTCGAGATTCCGACGTCGAACTGCCTGTTTTGCCTGTTTCACGACTGGAATCTCGACGCCCATCTCCCTTCTGGCCTACATACGTGACCTCGCGCCGCTTTTACTCGGGCTAGCTCGCGTCTACATAGCCAGTGATAGCTTAACGTCGGCTTAGGCTTACCTAGGCCAGCTCACCTTACTAGCTACATCGGGGTAGTGGCCAAAAAGTCGTCCCTCTTCCAGACTGTCAAGACAGGTGCTGCAGCCGGCAGCAAGATGGGCGCCATCCGTGACAAGCAAGGGAAGTTATCTTCAGAGACGCGCATATCGGACAATTAAGCTGGTTCACCCATCCAATAAGCCATTGTTTGTCAGCAACAAAGGGGGCCTGCGTAGGCTCCCTCATAAATTCAAGCTGCCTTGAATCCTAAGTGATATTCATCTCAGAGATACCTGTGACTTGCGCAACGGTTAGTCTCGGTAGGATTTGCAAAGGTATTTCGACTGGCAAGCATAGTTTGGTTGATGTAACACATTGTGCTCGCCCACGGGTCTTGTGCGACACGAGATGCGGATTATAGAAGGAAGAAAAGGGCAATCTGCAATTCTGTAATTTCAGAGTCACCATATTGTTTTGCCACTTCCCCGGCAAACTTGCCCGACAGTATTGCCCCGCCTCCATCCCCTCGAATATTTATCACGCGGTGACGGCCCTGCCATCCATTCTAGATCCCGAGAGCATTTTTAGAGCTTATCTTTCACATTCATCCAGCTATTATGGCCCAAATAAGCCACCGCCCAGATATAAAGGTGTATGACGACATCACCCTGCCATCAGTTCTCAGTTTGCGCCTACAAAATGAGATGCATGGTCCGGACGATGATTGGAGTGGAACGACTGATCCCGCTAAGCGGAGGAAAATTCAGAATCGCCTACATCAAAGGGCATGGAGTAAGCATATCTATGGGTTACTATACTCATTCAAGTCATGGTCTTTTAACTCAACCATGCAGGAAGGCGACAGGTGATGCAACGAAAGCTCGGCGTCACGGCCAAAGACCCAAGTGCGGACTCGGAGGTTGTGCGGCAGGCTAGTCGAACCCGTGATACTTCGTGCTCAGAGGCGTCAGAGCCACCGATCAATCTATGGCGATGCTCGGATGACGTTGATAAGACCCAGAGGTCTCTCGCCCGCTTCGAGGAGTATGCTTATTCGCGATATCTGGAAGGGTCTCCGCGAACAGACCTCCTGCTGACGCTCATCAAATTCAACGTTTTCAGAGCACTCATGGCAAATGATAAAACTCTTGGTTTTGTTAATCAGTGGCTCCAGTGTGAGGCTATTTCACCCTTTTTCCGCTCCCCGGACGGAACCCAAGCAGCCGTACAGACATGTCCCGCAAATCTCAGGCCAACCAATCTACAGCTGATTGTTGCGCACCATCCATGGATCGATCTATTGCCCGATCCAAGGATGCGTAATAACATTCTGCTACTGGGCGATGATTATGACGATGAACCACTCTGCCATGACGTCGTGGACAATCGTCACGGCAAACAGTCGGAGAGCCTTATCGTCTGGGGTGATCCATGTGACCCGGACAGCTGGGAGATCGGCGAAGATTTTTGCAAAAAGTGGCCTTGGGTTGTGCAAGGCTGTCATCGTCTGTTCAAAGCAACGAACAACTGGAGGGTTCGACGGGGCGAGCCGAAGCTCTTTCCGGATACTATTTGTACTCCCAGATGACAAGGTCATGCAACTACTGCTATCATTCTGATGGAAGCTCTGGCTAGTCGTGTGATACAGCTTAGGACATGTAGCGAGGCAGACAATGCTCACAGATGGTCCTCATTCACCAACACATATCGGTATCTTGCCTTGCCATTATCCATGTCCACCATGGCCTGATTTGCATCCTTCATTGGACGCTCTTCCACCCATGGCTTCACATTCTTCTCAGCCGCCAGCTGAAGCATTTCTCGAATTTCTCCTGGTGCGCCGATCATTGAACCAGCAAGCTTCTTCCTTCCGATGATTATGCCAGTCGCTGGTACCTCGAACACTCCATCGTCAGGGTTGCCAACCTGAACTAGTGTGCCATCGCGTCTCAAGAGAGCAAGATAGCCGGCAATGGGCATCTAAAACGATTGGTCAACGTCGTGGCCTATGTGGTCAAGCGAACTTTAAGAACGTACCTTTGACGAAGAGATGGTTGAGATGAGCAGGTCAAACGAGCCAGCAAATTCGGTGTCCCACTTGGGATGATCGTCTGTTGCAATGTAGCCGTCTGCTCCCATTTTGAGGGCGTCTTGCTTCTTACTCTCCTTGCGGGAGATGGCGACAACCGACTTCGCACCCAGTGCTTTTGCCCAGAGAACGGCGAAATGACCCAGACCACCCAAGCCAATGACACCGACGTGCTTATCCGGTCCACATCCGAAGTGCTTCAACGGCGAATATGTTGTGATGCCAGCGCATAGCATTACTGCTGCCGAAGCAGAAGGAATGGCGTCTGGGATCTTGAAGACAAAGTGGGACGGAGAGCGGTTATACAATGCGTGACCCCCGTATGATTTGTCGCCATTCAGATGGAAGCTTCCGTATGTGCCGACGTGGTGGGCGCAGAAATGTTCATTCCCTGACGCGCATTCGTCGCAATGGCCTTGCACACGACCCAAGCAAGAGTCACCTTGAGCGCCGACACCAACTCGGTCTCCCACCTTGATACCACCTGCAACTTTCGTGCCCACGCGTACAGCTCGACCCACAATCTCGTGGCCGACACAACATGGATATGGCGTCGGCCCCTGCAGATTGATTCAGCGCTCGCCTGAGTGGTTTATGTGTTGATCACGGGACTTACCCAGCCGCTACGGAGGACATGGAGATCCGATCCGCAGATTCCACTGTGTGATATCTGAATGTCGACGTCTGTTTCTTCCCAGGTCTTGGGCTCGAATTCTTGCCAGACCATTTTCCCCTTGTCAGCAGTCTTGTCGAGGCCTAGCCATCCCATGAACTTGTAGTCGGTGGAGCCAGCCATGGTTTCTTATTTGGTCGACAACGCGGTGTCTCGAGGCTTGGGGTCTGTCTGTGGCTGGACTTATTCGGGGGTTGGCAGTAGAGCAGGAAAACAGCAATGACCTCCTTGTTGGATTGCGCGGATGGTTGGTGCTTAAATACCCAACGCACTCTCAACGCCTCTATGATACGGCATTGAATCGTCTCCACAACGGCAATTGCAGGTGCTGGTCTTGATATTTTCTCGTCTGAAAGTTTACGGACATGACATCGTCGGTTCCACTATGAAGCCTTTGCATAAGCAATCTGCATCCGATGGGATGTGTTTCGACATCGGTGGCAATCGACGAGCCCCCTCGAAACAGATCGGCGTGCCATGCGAGCCGACGATTGACTCAAGCTCTGCGGAGTGCTTCTGCTTTGCAATGCAAGACTATGCGCCGCTCATGCCGTCAAGGATGCCAAATTCTCGACGAAATATATATATATCGTGCCTCCATCCCCTGCAAAGTCACGTATATGATCTCTCAAACATATCCCGTCAGGATCAATGTTGGGGACGTCATCTGGTGCCCGCCTGGCACGAAGCATTGGCACGGAGCTGACGATGATAGCTACATGTGTCACCGGGCGACCTCCTTTGGCGGTGTCACCTGGGAAGAAGAGGTCGGTGATGAGGAATATGCAATGAAATCGGGGTGAATACCTCGCACAGAACTGTGGAACCCAGCCTTCGTCCGAAAAGAAAAATCGAGAATCATTTTAGACCCAAAGTTTCGTTAGCTCTGTAATACCTCGTAATTAATAATTATTGTGTCCGATTGACCAAACTTGGTGGTCTAATGTCGCCACCTTCTGGCTCGTTGGGTTTGCGCTAACGCAGACTGCTTATGGTGGCGCCGGTATTTGTTCAGATGCTCCCAATCAGAATCAGTTCTGTTGTATGTAGCATGCGGGGGAGAGGCTTCAATTGATACATATTTGATGCCTATTTTGACGAAAACTTCCAACAGCTCTGTTTGCATCGCCATTCGATTTTCTTTCGAATATGTCGTTCTTCAACCCTCCTCCAAAGCCCGAGAATCCGTTGGCATACCACCGCATCCTCTCCCCAACAGCGTCCGTCAAAGTCTCCCCTCTGTGCCTGGGTGGCATCAGCATCGGGAGCTCATGGACCGAGGTATTTGGCAAAAACGAAAATCCAGACTCTCTGCTCGACGCCTTCTACGCTCTGGGTGGCAATTTCATCGACACGTCCAACACCTACAATGGCGAGGACTCTGAGAGATTGATTGGTGAGTGGATGGAGAAGAGGGGAAACAGAGACCAGATGGTCGTTGCGACCAAGTATACCGCTGGCTACAAGGCGTACCAGAGAAATGAACTTCCCTTACAGAGCAACTACACGGGCAATTCGGCGAAAAGCATGCACATCTCGGTGAGAGATAGTTTGGCAAAACTAAAGACAGATTAAATTGACATCCTCTACGTCCACTGGTGAAAGGTTCTGATGTCAACGGGGGGGTGGACCAACTCGACTGACTGGGTTTCAGGTGGGACTTTGCAACATCCGTGGAAGAAGTCATGACACATCTTCACGCCTACGTCATGGCGAAGCAAGTGTTGTACATCGGGGTATCTGATACTCCAGCCTGGGTGGTTGTCAAGGCAAATGCATGTACAGTGGTGATCCCTTGATGTACTTTGCTTTCCACGCCGGCACCACGCTGATGCGATGCGACAGATGCTCGAAGCCACGGCCTCACACCATTTTCGGTGTACCAAGGTCGATGGAATGCCGCGTACAGGGACATGGAGGCCGAGATCATCCCCATGTGCGAAGACCAAGGTATGGCGATTGTGTCGTGGGCTTCTCTCGGAGGAGGACAATTGATATCGGTGCAAGAAAGGGAGGCAAAGATGAAGGACCCAGACGCCCATAAAGGGTACGGCTTCCGCGAAGCGGATGTCAAGGTGTCCACGGCGCTGGAGAAGGTCGCGCAATCCAAAAAGACCACGACCCAGGCGGTAGTAAGTATCTCATTTTAAATGCATCGTGTCTTGGATCAAATATTTGCTGGCTGACCGCGCAACACCCAAGGCACTCGCCTACCTACTACACCAGTCGACCTATGTTTATCCAATCGTCGGGGTCCAGACGGTCGAACATGTCAAAGCATTGCCAGAGGCATTGCGGATTGAACTTTCGAAAGAGGACGTCGAAGCGATCCAGGATGCTGGAGACTACCGACCCCCGTTTCCCATGAGTTTCTTGTTCCAGTGGACCGGAGAGGAAAAGTGCCATCTGGGCCTCACACCTGCGGACGTCAGCCAATACCAGATGGCGGCCTGGATCCAGGCGCCGCCGAAACAACCTGTATGTGAAGTGACAGCTCGGTATAGGTCATCAGCTAACAGACGGGGCGGGCAGCCATATCGACCTTGGAAAGGACCGTGAGCAGTATATAACCGAACGAAGAAGTCACGTTGCAATTTTGGGTGTGTCATTCATCCCGACACAGATCCTGCTCTACTCCTCATTTTCTCTTCAAGGCTGAAGCTCCCCTCCCGGAAGTTTCCTTTCTGGAGGAGCTCCAAGAGCCTTTCGTCTCATCTTCGTTCCTCAAGGGCGCTCCAGGGCACAAGGCATTATTCTTCCCTTGGTTCCCATTCTCCCTTTTGTGAGAGAGAGAGAGAGATTACCACACTCACCTGCATGCACCTCGCGCTCGCCTCGCTTCTATTCTGTCCCACTCACTACAACAAAACGACCACAAGTATCTCGTGAAGAATGGAGTTTTAGCTACGTATTTGTGGTCTCTGGAGGTGGAGTTTGTGGGCTGCGCATTCGGTTCACACCTCCGCTATATCTGATTGGTTAACAAGGGGTAGGCGGTATCAGAGATATTACCGCAGTACATAAAATCTGCTCATTTGAACGACTCATGGCCGGATTAGCTTTCCGTGGGAGAAAGCTGCAAATGTGTCAGCAAAAGGGGGGGGCAGTTTTTGGGGAACTACTGTAACTCATGACGACTGAGAAGAAATTCGATGTCGTCGCCGATTGGTAATACAGCTTTCAGCTCAGAAGGCAGCTTCTACAGGAGAGGTGACAGTGCAACAACACGCCAAGAGTCACCCGGTGAAGGTAGGCACTACAAGTATTATACGGCTAAAGCAGGAAGGAGGCCTTGCAGCATGGTAGGACTCAGGAGAGGTCTTCCCGTCACCTAGTATTTTGTATATAGACGATCAGACCTGGCCTAAGAAGAGGTACGAGACAGACTAATGCATAATAACCTTGCTCAGATCCTGCCCAAATCAACACCTGCCTTGACCTCGAACAGAAGCAAAGTACCCTTGTGTCTGGCGTACCGCCCCTCGCAGCCGGCCATCAGGTCGGCTCGTAACACGTTCATGACAAGTCGATTGTGGGCAACGCTGCTTGGAGCCATTCGATGTAATAATCACTGAGCATACTATTCATTTCTCTCGTTACGCTTGAAGCATCAGTCTCAACAATTTCTGCCAGACTTACCAAATCCCACGCTGCGGGTAGACTTCAGTGCTGAGGCCAAGGACTGCTACTGTGCAACCTCACCAGCTCATAGAGTGCATCCGCGTCCTTTGCTATGGCCGACGCAGACGCTCCGGAATCTCCCTTTGAGAGCTGGACCAGCAGATCAAAGACCGATTCGTTCAACGGACCCGAACCCGACTCCTCCATCGTCTTCAACTCATGGTCAATCTCAGAGGAGATGCGTAGATTCTGGATTTGAGCCATGACCATTGCCGAGTGTGCGCCGTACATCAAATCTGAGTCAAGCTCGGGAAAGGCTTGGCTTGCTTGTCTCACCATGAACATCATGTTTTCGTTTTCCTGGGCTTCCACTCTTGCACGGTCCATCAGGATCCGTGCTCTCGCCGACTTCTCATACCAGTCTCGCGCTTTGTGGGTGATTTCCCCCGGGAATCTGCCGCTGTTGTCTCGTTCTGCCTCCGCTCCGAATGTCATCAAGAGCTCGATGACTTTGTCGCTGTTTGCTGCATGAGCCATGTGCAATGGTGTCCATCCTTGCCCGAATGGGAGATTCGGATCAGCTCCATTTTCCAGTAGAAGTCTCACCACATCAGGCAGTCCTTTCCCTGCAGCGTGGTGGAGGGCAGTTGCGCCGGCCGAGACAGGCCCTTCCCGTGCATTGATATCGTCAACGTAGGGCAGAAGCAGTTCCATAAAAGGCATGACGTGGTCACAAATTTCGTACTCGTGGCTCTTGAATATTTCGTGCAAAGGCAAACAACCTGCCAAATTGTACTCATTGATCAAGCGAGACATGCTCCCACTGGCAGATTCGAGAGGCGTCCCGGCCTCTGTCTCGGAGTCCTGCAGGCTCGTCATCCAAGCCATGACAAGCTCTAGAGTGTCGACACTCGCTCCTTCGCAGCAAGCGTGGATAATGTTTCGGTTTCCTTGGTCCCTTGAATTGAAATCAGCTCCTTCCTCGAGCAGAAACTGGCAGATATCAACTTGGCCGACGCAGGCGCTCATGAGAAGAGGTGTCAGGCCAGAAAGACTGCTTTCATTTAGCTGATGCGTTGTCCTAGGGTAGACGAGCTTGACCATTTCAAGGCTTTTGGAGGCGACGGCTGATTGCAACACCGACTGCCAACCAAATGTAAGAATGTTGGAATCCGCACCTCGCTCCATCAGGAGCTGGGCCGCAAATGTGTTGCCAATCGAGGCAGCCAAGTTCAGAGGCGTAAACCCTGCCTGGTTCCTAACGTCCAAGTCGATGCCAGGCATTGAAACCAGCAGCTTCAAGGTCAGTTGCTGTGTCCAATCAGGACGTTCGCGGAAACGCCGAGCGATTCCAGAGGATTCGAGGAATTGGGTCATGTCCCAATCCTCTCGTACCGGCGGCCGAGGAATCGGGGAGTCTTGCAAGACGTAATGTAAGGCAGTATTCCGCCGCACATCATGCACGTTGATGGTACTTCCGGCAGAGCGCAGCGCGGCCACAAACATTGGTAGACGCCAACCCGCTGCGAGGTGGATGGGCAGTAGTCCGTCTTTGACCCGCAAGATATTGACGTCGATACCAGCATCCAGTAATGCAAGGAACGAGGACCAGTTCTCCTGCTCAATTGCTTTGCACACCAACGGAGACTGAGCTCTGAAATTCCCCGCATGTTCGTGGCGAGGTAAAGGAGCTCGGGGGTCGTAGCTCGGCAGGAAGTCAGTCTTCCCTGTGGCATAAGCGAGTCTGTATAGCACATGACGAATAATATAACCCTGAGAGTACTCCGCAAGGTCGATCCAAAGGTTCACGGAGGTGAGTTCAGTGAAGTTTTGGGTGTAGTTCAGCACAAAATCCAAGGCATCCGTGTCACCAGCTCGAACGGTAGTCTGAAGATCCGAGGGCGCCATCTCTGTTTCCGCTTTCAACCGTTGGCCGTATTGGCGAAACAACAACTCGAAGCACTTGGGCCGTTTGATGCGAATGGACAATTCGAATAAGATCCTGGCTTCTGTCCGGGATCTCTCGGCCTCGTCAGAGTCGCCTTGGAGGCTTTCCGGAGGCAGTTCCCGCAGCAAAGTTTCCGCATCATCGGCAAGAACGACATGTCGGCGTGGGGCCAGAAGATCCCACATCTTTGTTGTTTCATTGGCGAGGTCCACGTTCTTAGGCGCCATCTCTGGATATATGGCAGCGTTCACGTTTCGACCCACGAAGTTAGACCACGTAATTTCTTGCTTTTGCCAAAACAATTTTGCGTATTCAAGATCGCGCACCCCGTCCGACGAGCAGTACATGTTGACGAATCTCGCCAACAATCGGGGATGCATCGGATACATCATATGGGTCGCGTCGAGTAGAATGTCAGAGATATACCACCGGTACAGATCCGGCTCACCAAGCCCATCGGGTAAGCTGAAACTTTGAACTGTGCTGGCCCAAAGGGCCTGGTGTCGTGCAGAGAGGACACGAGTAAAATCGTCACCGGTGCAGTCCGGATTTACCTGCGCCATGGCAAGGCTGTCGTTCCACCGTTTGGCCAGGACTGCGTTTTTCTTGCAGCCAAAGCCTTGTCCATAGCAGATCGACATGATCTTGCGATGCTCGGACCAAGGATTGGCATGCGCAGCTTCTGCCCTCATTCGCTGAAATAGTACCCGTCTGACCGCTGGTGGCATGTCCTACATGCAGCAACACTGAGATGCGGCAAACACGTGGTTAAATGCAAATCGTACTCACTCTAGTTGGATGCGCTCTCTCTTGTTCCCCAACAGCAGAAGCCTTCGTATAGAAGGAGACCATATTGTTCCGAGTGCGTCTAGATGACTGGTGTCTATCGGTGCTATAGGGCGTCTGATCGTGTAGGGGGTCGGGGCTAGAGTCCAAGTCAGAACATGTCTAATTGCAGTGACAATGCACCCACAACAGGAATCTCTGGAATATGATTACAGGCATCCGTCTCAATGGATCAGCTGTAAGCAAGTATGGCAGGAGGTAAGTCTTGGGTAGAGACTGTTCGCTGTCTGGTGCTGGCGGTGTCTGGCTTATCGTCCTGTCGATCTACCACAGTATGTGTCAGTCATTCCAGAGTGGTTACAAGGACGTAGTTCAAAGCAGTCACCAGGTCAGGATGTTCTTCAAACCAGCTCTTGTACAATGATGGCTTGAAAGCTTGATTCGCCATCCTTATCAAAGTCAGCCCGGTACTTCACACAGTCGTCCAAGGCATACGCAGCAGCACGGAATTCTGCCCACAAGGTATTCAAAAGCCTGTGACTAGCGTAGCGGCCAAGTGCAGGGACTAGGTCGTTGAAGTTCCGAGAGGGAGCAATGTCTCGGAGCGATGGCGTGCCACCTGGCGCCTTGGCCTCGAGCCGTGGCTCGTTTTCCGGATCGAAATCAAAAAGAATGAAGGCAAGAACGAGCCCCAGGGAATACGAATCCTGGCATCGAAACAGCCAATCCATCATTGTTGGAGGACAGGCTTTGTCATCCAAATCCCAATGCTAAATCCCCTTCAGTTAATAATTGTGCGGAAGATAGAGCGAGCGAGCTTCTGACCTCGGGGCCACGCCATGGAAGAGTACTGCCTCGAACTTCTCGTTCAACGTCTGGTGATGAAACTAAGTTAGCCGCGCCCCTTGCGAACCCAAAATCTGCTATTTTGGCAGTTAGGGAACCGTCAGAAGTGCGAAAAAGGAGTATGTTGTCAGGTTTGATATCGCCAACCGTGACATCCGCTTTGTGTAAGCCGGAGATCCCGTGAGTCACCTCACTCGCAAGTCGTGCCCGCGTCTCTGGCGCTGTTAACGCGTTGGACAGCATAAAGGTCCTGAGATCTGTGACGGCGAGCTCCATCACTATCACAGGTTGCAACAGCGGCAGCCCCAGTTCATCTTGAGGCTGGCCGTCCTCAAGGTCTCCTTCTGACTCTTCGGTGAGCAATTCGGGCTTCAATGAAATAGCATGGATATCGATGATGTTAGCGTGCCGGCGCAGGTCTGGATGTGTCATAACCCTTAACTCCATGCCGGTCTCTTTCAACAAAGCATCATTCTGACGCTCTTTTGCGATTGAGGGCGGTCGCGTTGAATCGATGTTGGTATACTTGAGAGCAACCGGTTTCCCATTGAACGAGCCTTTGAAGACGGCCCCAGTGTGACCCTTGCCAATGGCTTGACCGCGCTGTAGCCTGTCGTAAGGAACGAAGATGACGCCACAGTCTTCGATGTTTAGAAAGAAGTCAAGCCATGTTCGATGTCCAGTCTGTTTCTCGTCTGCCTGCTCCTTGTCGGCCGTTGGGAGGGAGATACATGCAGAGGATGACAAGGACGGCAATATGGGAACACCGGAGAAGTTAGAAGCAACTGAAGGAAAACTGTATTCTGCAGCTTCCACGTCAGCATCATCAGGCAAATCTTCCGCAGCCGACATCACGCAAGTAGCAGTCGGGCGAGGACTTTCAAAAGTCTCTCTCGATTCATGCGATAGGAGGCCTGCACAAGTTGATATCTCTCAGCGAAGTAGAAACCAAAAGTGTTGGCGCGAGTCACGTGCATATCGACTCACCTTCCTTTCTTCAATTCACCCTCGGTCTCTAGCCTCAATCCAACAAGTCGATGGCGAGGATCGTGAATTCGACAACAAATCTTAGGGACGGGCCATCGGACAAGCTTGCCAAAGACGGCCTAGCCTTCCAGCCTCCACCCGCCAACTGCCCAGCGTGCGGTCCCACGTCGGTCGTCTGTCAGCGGCTGCCTCTTACATTACCAGCCGGATACGTTGAGCGTAGGTAGTAATAGGCCGGCTTTATCATGGACATCTTCCAGACGACGGTGACATCTCTGCGAATTATATGGACATTCGTCGACGGATGCAAATCATTTTCCAAAGATGCCGCGTCGCTTGCGGTTCGCCTGAAATATGACGAAAGAATCATCGTCCGAATCCTGCAATACTTCGAGGACCGCAAAACTCGTTCGCAGAGTCAAATCCTTAGCCAAGACGACGAGATTCTGTTGAACGAATTGGCCGAATACCTCCGTGTATTTCTTGAAGGTATTGAGAGCGCAAGATTCAAAGTGCAAACAAGGGGTCTGTTGCGGCTCTGGACACAAGCGATGTGGGCTTTGCGAGCCAAGGACATCCAGAAGCTGGAGAAAGAGCTCTACGAATGGACACAACGCTTTGATGTTCGACTTGTCGCGTTGCCTGCTAATCTGAAGACTCTTTTGGACCTGAGCCGTGAGGCAGCGACGGAACAAGACTCTCCAGGCCTGTTTGTTCTCCGTCAGGTCGAGACCATGAAAGCCCATAAACCACAGGCGAATGTCGCCAATTTGCGGTGTGAGCCAGACGCTGTTGAGCTGCGGGAGAGGACAAATCGCTCGCTGGAAAGCTATGTGGCTGAGTACAAAGGTCGGGTTTCGTTCGTGGAGTACTATGCTCAATCTCGGCTGTTAGAATCAAAAGACTCTTGTGAGGAACTGGCAACGATTTTGAGTATGGCCAATCCGGTCACCATGGGCTGTCTTCAGTGCTCGGCCTTCTTCGTCGATGCCGCCCACGACAGGTACGGTCTTGTCTACGGTATCCCTTCTCACTTGTCACCTCAACCTGGGCAGCAGCTACGGACCTTGCATGATCTGTTCCGAGAGACCAGCCAGACTAAAAGGCTGTTGCATCCTCTAAATCGACGCTTTCACGTGGCCAGCATGGTTGCCACAGCATTGCTCTATGTACACGCCATGGGTTGGGTACGTATGGACCTTAATGCTCTAAATTCCTCACTCACCTCGCCACAGGTCCACAAATCTTTGAAGTCGGACAATATTTTGATCTTGGAGGGCAACCAAGCTGACGCCAAACATCGATTCCCATACTTGATTGGCAGCCCATATCTGGTCGGGTTCCCATACGCGCGACAAAATACCGCGTTATCCGCGCCATTGGCCTTTCAGGAAGCGTCAACGACGGGCGTAGACATATACCGTCACCCCGGCCGCCAGGGAGTCGCGCCCGCTGAGCGCTTCTCGATGTGCCACGATCTGTACAGCTTAGGGGTGGTCCTGCTGGAAATAGGACTCTGGAAGGCTGTTGACGAGAAACTGGGCGATTTTCAGGGCAAGACCCCTGCGGAGGTCAAAGACAAGTTACTGAACATGGCGCAACATCTCAGTGTTGTCATGGGCAGAAAATATCGGGACATCGTTCTGACTTGTCTACATATCGGCGAAAACGAAGAGGTAGGGTCGGTCAGGTATGTGCAAGAGATCCTTGGTAAGCTGGAGGAGCTATCGACAGTGATGAATTGATATCCTTGAAGGGGGAACCCCAGACGTTTGTAGTAAGGATACGTGCGTGCTGTTGGCGCGGCACCACCATGTGAAATCTTCATTTGTGGGTTCCGAAAATGGCCAAGATCTGCTCCGTGCTGGCTCACATGCGCCGCGTCCAGAATACCCTGGACAGCGAGGGCACATGGGAGACCCTGTCTAGTTGCGCACGAACAGACACTCGCCTTCACTCCGATTTGCGCCTGTTGCACTGGCTAACACTCAGGACCCAACAAAAGCCGACGCCTCATGGTTTGCACCGACGTGGACGAACCGAAATTCCTGCAGATCTTCAGGGCATCTTAGGGGTGTGGCTCCCGTCATTATCTCTGTCAGGTCAGCATCAGAGTACTCGGCACGGGCGGAGGACTTCTCGCGCCAAGCTCACACCAGAGATCTGATTTGCGAGCGCTTCGTTCGCTACCCCTGCCAAGCCAGCCTTGTCCTTTGGTGGAGACCGTCGTCGTTAAAAGACCATCGCAAATCAGCTTTGGGCTGCGGAGATTTCAGAGAACCAGAATTATGAAGAAGATTTTCCCTCTTCCGGCCGCTACCCGAATGCTATTGCCGTTCCAATACAACAAGTCGTCGAGCTCGAGATTCGGGATTCTCCTCCTACATTCACCAAGACCCGCGCCAATGCAGCCAATACATTTATGTGTCAAAATTCAAAACCAGTTCCATGCCAACGCCCAACATTCCTCTATTCAAAGTGTGCAACGCAAACTCGTTTTATCATTCCTTGTCGTAGATTGTTTGGAACCTCACCCACAGCACTATCTTTCGGGCGGTTGATCATTTTTCACGAGCAAGTCGACAACGGCGAAGGTGACCAAAGGTAGCAGTACCCAATCCAACGAGCAGCCAGGAAAACAAGATCGGGAGAGCGCGGTGGACCACGGGGACTGCACCGCGGGACCAAATGTCTGTCAGGAGAGCGTATGCCTCGTTGTCCGGGAGGGCAAAGCCCCAGCGATAAAACGCCGGATTGAGCTCGGGCGGGCTGATGGAGCTCGACAAGTTGATAACAATCCAGGTCAGAATGAAAAATGGCATGACGGGGACAGGCCAGAAGGCGGCCGCTGTGTCGACAACGACAAAGTGCACCATGTGAAGCAACCAAAAGGCCATCCATGTCAAGGCAAACTGCGCCGCATCAACCGACCATGATTCTCGGAATGCCCAGATGTATCCGGCCATGCCGAGTCCGGAGAACAGGGTGTAGCCAGAGGCAAAAAGCACGCGGATAATCCCAGTGGTAGTCGCGGGCGCCTGTTTGTAGATCCCCAGTTCATTGGAGAGACCGTTTAGAATTAACACGAAAAAGAACTGTTCGAGCACTGGCATCACCATTGTCGCTGTGTTGTATAGCAACCTTGTCGGGTGAGTGGCTCTCATAATGTTGACAGCAGAGACCCCGATAGGATGGAACAGGACCTGCACGGCGGCGCTGTGGTTTCGGTTCAGAGTCTGCAGCACGGCTTGGCCATGTCTGTGGTGATAGTCTTGTTCGGCGGCCTCTGCGAGAACCTCAAAATTGGACTCAAGCGCCTCGTCCGAGAATGGAGGGTATCTGATCTCGTTCCATATGTATGTGAGGGCATCCGAGGCCTGGTAGGTCTGAGCCGCTTGGCCACCGGCGAGGGCACGATCAAGCCTCGCCGACGCATTTGGGTTTACCACGAAAGCCGCCCAGTACGAGCCGGATTTGACGGCGTCCTCTGCTTCAGCAAGAGAGCTCGGTCCAGTGGCGGAAGGCTTCTCGAATGAAGGGAAGCTGGGGCCTCGAAGGCTCTTGTAAGCACTGTTGACAGAGTCACCGATTGTCCCACCGTCGAGGTCCAGCCACAAGACATTCAACGAGGAGACACGGCTGTTGGATCCCCACAGAGACCCATAGAGGTACGACAGGTTTGCCAGGAAAAGCAGCTGCAGCAGGACGAAGACGACTGCGATCTTGAGAAGAAAAGACTTTCGCGTGTGCAGCCAGAACTCCTGCCCAGATCTGTCGCCCAAATCTGCTTGTAGGGAGTGGTAGGATGTCTTTTCCGGTGTGTGTGAATGCCGACTGTTGGCTCGTGAGAGGAAAGAGGCTCGGGCCGGCTGCGGCTCGGGCGTGTAGAAGCTCCTCGAGGTGCTACTGTGGGCACGGAGCAGAAAAGGGGCCCTGTCAGGCAGGTTTTCAGAGTGTGAGGATTGCTTTGATAGGTTGGTTGACCGGACACTCTCGTCATCGAGGAGCAAAGGGGCTTGAAACGGCCCGATCTGGTACTGGAGAGGCATTGTTGGGCTTTTCGAGACTCTGTGAGTGCTTCGCAGCAGCCGAGACCACTCCCGAAGCCCACGCAATACGGGCTTCTTCTTAAATATGCCATCGACGGCGACGTACGTGGTGTATCTATCTGTATGCAAGCGTCTTTCTTTAGAACCTCTTTGCGCCTCGTCCGATTGGATGTGGAAATCCGTGCCTGCATCAAGCAAGAAAGGCCGCGGGGATTGCCCGAAGCGGACAGAGTCGGTGCAGTGCAGGTATGGAGGATTTGCTGCGACAGGACAGGTTCTTCTTCTTCGCACCAGGAAGGAACACGCAGGGTGCTTTGAAAATAGAAGAGCGACAAACGAACGTGCACACATGCCCAGAAGGTCCCCAATGCACGCGCGGTGGCTCGGTGCAGACAGGACCGGTCGCCCGGCAAGCATGTCCTCATCCGGTAGCTGTCGTCCACGCGGTACGTTCCTTCCAGTCCGCCGCCTGGGTTGGAAATGGTTGCTCGAGAGATTCGTAAGTCAATAACTTACTTCCCTGGCCCGATGTGATGTGAAGGTGCACAGCAAGTGGAGGGGCGTATGGGTGTTTCTCACCCTTTATCAGATCTGAGGAATTAATTGCCTATCGCCATCCGTCCCTTGCGTCCGTATGACGGTGCCTTGATGCTGGGGCAGTCACGGTCGAAAGCAGTATAAGGGCTTGGATCAGGCCTCAAGAGAGATGGCGATGCAGGAACAGGTGCCAGCGTCTTTTTTGGCTTTGTAAGTGATCATCTGCAGAGTCATAAAGTTGTAGGTTGTAGTATTTGTACAATTACTATAAATTATTATTGACCATTTCCGCGTCTCGCAGGGTTTGCTTTCTATATTTTGTTTCATCCGTTATCTGCAAGGCCTGATACCCAAGGCTAGAATCGCCAAACATTGCTTTTGTCCGTTGTAAGCCATGGCTCATCATGGTGTTCATGTGTCGTTTCCAAAACCCCTGAATTAATGTACAAGAATAACGCTCGAAAAACTGACAGGCAGCTTAAAATCGGAACCGACCAACGCCCCATCGTTTCTGGCGTCCAAGGTCATTGTGTTCGACGGGGTATTTGGACAGGGCAGACTGGATGTGGGAGCCCTGACCAGCCGTCATGTTGGTCCCACGATACCCTTCGGTGGCAGTGTTGTCGTAGGTGTCGTTGTTTTGATATGTGGTTGCATTTTGGTCCGAGGTGATCGGTGCCGGCCCTTGGTCAAGAGGAGGCAGGCCTCCGTTCCTTCCGGCTTCTTTCTCGAGTTCCGCTTCTCTTTCTCTCCAGCCCTGAGGGACGTGGCGCTTTGACCGCACCGAAGGCCAAAGGTCGAGCAGGAACGAGAGGATGTAAAAGGTGAAGATGAGGGCGACAATCCACTCGAAAACAGCAGCAACATTTTCGTGGTTGTTCCACGATGTAGAGGCAAAGACGATGGCGAGGATAATCTCGAGAATGATAAAGGCAAGTTTGACCCAGAAGGAAATACGCAGGACGCGGTGCTGGCGGTAGTGGACGCCAAGTCGTTGATATTCGGCGCAGAGGAAGATGGCCGAGATGATGTATCCACCAATAAAGAGAAGCAGACATCCGTCATGAACTTTGTGGTGATGGTAGGTGTCGAAGATGGACAGAAAGATCAGACCACAGGTGCCTGCGATGGCGAAGAAGATGGCACAACTCGAGAGCGCGGACTGGACGCGGGAGGTGTTGGGTGCCAGACGACCATAGTGTCGAAGCCATCGCTCCGACATGAAACCCAGGTCGAGGAAGACGGTGGTGATGACGGAACCGGTGATGAAGAGCGGTTTCAGTCCAAATGCCCCAATGTCAGATATGTAGGCTATGTGCTGGTCTGCGCTCATGGACGGTAGGTGAGGATGTCCGTTGGCTTCCCAGGAGCAGAACATGGCCAGCAGCATGCCGAGCCACCTGTGTGAGGAAAGTCAGTACCATTGTTCAGACTAGACAGAGTGTCGGCACAACATACATGCCCGCCGAGATCACGGGGAACCACCAAGCACTGAGCCACCACATTTTGATAGGGTTCGAGAGAGTTGTTGGAAGTAAGAGTTGAGAGAGTTGAGGGTTAGAGGCGCAGGTGGAGGTGGTGGATGGAGAGATGGAGAAGCTGGATGTCAAAGTACAGTTTGGCTGGAGGCAACAGGTCAATATGAAGAAAAATGTTGTGTCCGAATTCACTCAATGCGGCACGTTTGCGGGAGACTAATGCTAACGATTAAGTAACCTGCTAGGGCCTTACTACATCATTCTGGGAAACCGTGAGGCAATGACGGAGATATTCCAGATGTAACTGCAGGATGATGGCCCGCCCATTGGCTCGTGTCGATGGTGACTACTCATGGCGGAGCCATTTACTTAGCGACATGGCCGCACAGAATCGGAGAGAGCGAGATCCGGAAAAGTCTCGTGTGCCATGCCTCGTTGAGCATTAATGGCCGGAAGATGCACATGCAACGTAGTCGGATATAACGGTGAGGTGCGAGGTATGAGCCACTGCCAAGTACCAAGGCATTGGTAGCAATATGTGCAAGTACTGCAGGAGAAGGGATGAATGCTCTTGTTGGGCACGACGTCATTGACAGTAGAGAGATCTTTGGGAAGGTGGGAACTTGATGGCGGATTACAACCAATCACAGATGTGTCTGGACATGTTCCGAGTCTTCCGGAAACATGACGACATGGTAAAGTCTCGGACAATCTCGCCATTTCCCCTGATCTTCGGAGCCGAATACGATGCATTCCCAAAAAGACGCACTCGGCTTCGACATGCGGTCTAGCAACCTCGTACAATACTTGAGCCAACCACGAACCTCAACATCCTACCAAAGCATCGGTCACTCTGATCCGTCCATTCCCAAAGCTCTTCGGCGACTGTGGTTGTTGATAAGAACTGCGACGTAGAAAACCTCTATCGGTTAGCATATCTTGCTTGTCCCGCTCATTCACCGCTCCTTCCCCTTTAGCTTGAATGACTGTGCAGATGCTAGCAGGATCCTCTTGAGGAAGAATGCCCCCAACGGCTTCACTGACTGTGTGGGCGAAAGTATGTCAGCAACCCCAATTCACTTGCCGATAACGTGCTGACCAAGCCATTACCATGCAGCGAGCGCCATTTCCTGGATGAGGCAAGTCTAGATTCTGGGGTACATCCGAGATAGACCCTGGATTGCGGCGTGCCGTGGTACAAGTTGACTTCAGGATATATGTAAGAACCCGTGAAGAAGTTTATTCGACTTCTAGAAAATCTCGTCCCGAAATCGGGATTGTTGTTTGTTGGGCCCGTAATATTTTGTTATATGGAGAACTGCCTCCGTGTCGACCGTTTTGAGAATGTGCGAAGGTCCTGTCCTCCGCTTGTCGACGAGAAATAGGCAGGTGTTCCCAAAGGCTCCGGGCATCTCAGAAGGTGTTGGATTCTCTACGGCAGGCTGACTTTGAGTACGTTTTGAATGCGGTCGGTTTGCTGGGGATCAACGCCAATTTGAACCAGGTAGGTGGAAAGGCCGCCATAAGTTGTCTCGAGGTGCTGGGCAATCTTCTCACAAAAGTCTGGCGGACACTGGGCAAACGACTCGTCTAGACCAATGCTTTCGATCTCTTTCATCCTTTCCTCCTTCTCTGGCTCGAGTTCCGATTCAGACTTGGCATAGTCCTTGCTGGCAGCATTCAAATCGATGTCGCACAACAGCAGCACCAACAATATTATCATTCCGGTTCGATCCTTACCTTGGGTGCAATTGATCATGACAGGCCACCCTGCCTCGTCGGCGAGGACGTCAAAGACTTGTTTGATCTCAGGTTGGCTGTGGTCGAGTGTGTCAATCCCGAGGCCGATGAGGCCCCGTGGCAGCATCAATTGTTTTCCAAGCACCGATATGCCTTCGGTCCGATAGCCCAAAGCCATCAAGAACAACAGCTTGGCAAGGCTGGTATACTTCAGCTGCCAGATCAGATGTCGTTCAAAGCCTTTGCCGTTGAGATTGATGTGCTCGTAACGGATGCCAGGTATTTGGAGCGGTTCGGCGATGGCCTCATTGGACGAAGGGGTCACCGCTGGTTGTGCCGCCACAGCAGCTCCGGACCGTTTCTTGGCCGCATTGATGTGTTCTGTTTTGGAGCGAAGGTCGATGATCGTCTTGATCTTGTACTTGTTGACCAATGCATCGCGGTCAGACGCGCTGGTGTCGTCCGGTCGCGCACTCCTGAAAAGGAGACCCGGGCGGAGAACTTGAGCTCCCAGGATGGTGTTGACGTGAGCTCCCACATCACGAAAGTTGAGCAGGTTGTCAAAGTTATGTGCAATGGGACGATCCATATTGGTGACGAACTGACTTGTGGTTGTCGGAGTGGAGACTTGGCGTTCTTGCGTGCCTGGCAATATGGTACGGAATGGTACTTGTGTTGGGTTGACAAAAAACAAGGTGCTGAAAGCTGCCAGCCACCTGCCCGACTGCATGTCATTGTGGGGCACGGGAAGGAGCTCTGGAGGGTAATTAGTACGGTAAGTTTCCTTGGTCCCTGCTTCCCTGTCCCCTGGTCTAGCTGTGTAACTGGGTCGGTGGCTGGATGCTTCTACTCTGTAGGTACCACATGGGCGCCACAGAAGCTCGAACTGGGCAGCTCATGAGTTTCTCGGGGTGTTCTCCTCTTCCTCCTCTTCTTGGATAAGCGAAGGGTCCGATCCAGAATGGGGTACGGCCATGGCTATCGGCATCGCATCGTGTGCCTTTCCCCTCCATCTCATTCTCCTCCCTACAAAGTTCTCCAACCAGAAACAAGAAGGATGGCTTGTGGTAGAAAAAGCGAATGTCGACAATTTTCACACCACCCAAACTGTAGGTAGGCGCGATCATCAGTAGCTGGTAGCTAGTTTGGCTTTCTGGTAGTGGGAGCAACTCTCCTTCGATTCCTATTGGCATGACGTAGGTGGTAATAGGGACACTTGGGATGACATAGACAAGTGCAGTTCTTGGTCATGACGGTGGTGGGTGGTGGTGGATGGGGGACTGCGGACGGTGGACGGCCCATGGTGCACTGCCGTAGGGATGGTCCAGGGTTCCTCCTCCCAAGCAAGCTTGGGGACCTTTTGATGAGCGAGCGGCACGCCACTGGCCTTCTGCAGCTCTTCTTTTGGTTTTATTCCCCTTCTGCTGATCTGAAATGCAAGCAGAGCTCCTTCTACTGTACCATCACCTCCCTCTGTCTCTCGTTTTTGGCACTCAGAGAACCGCCAGTCTCCATGCCGTGGTAGATTTTTGACTGTGTTGTTGCTTGCGCAACCCGCCCGCCTGCTTCCACCACCACCTATCAATTACCCGAGAAGCAACCAGGGCCAAGCATGTCGGCCAGCGTTGCCCATGCCCATCCCCATGCCCATCCCCATCAGAGCAGCTTCACCCCCTCAGACAAGCTCGAAGATCAAGGTCAGTCAACCATTTTCCCTCTTGCTTCATGGCAAACTGACATGCTACAGCTGCCTCTGCGGCGTTGTCTGTCGCTCGAGACACTCCGACCACCAAGAACAGCAGCTCTTCCATCCTCGACCAGGAAGGTCGGCTATCTGCTGCCAGTGCGTCAACCCCGCCCTTGATATCCATCCCCAAACCACCCCTCGCATCCAGTTCACAAAACTAACTGCCGTCCCAGGTGCTGCACTTTCTCTAAAGTACGCGCGAGCTGAAGACCTTCCCTCATTTCCTTCAACTGGCGGCGTCAAACTCGCATCTGCTGGCGCTGCCGCAAGCCTCGCGGAATCCAACAAGAAACCCATCCAAGTTTGGACTCCCGGTGCCATCCCTCACGCAAACACCGCTGCCTATAGAGCAAAAGACTATGAGATGGAGCCTCTGTGGAAGCCGGAGCTGAGCCGGGCGGGCTCCCAGGCGGCACTGGCTGCTCATCGAGATGCTGCACCAGTGGATATCTGGAGAGCTCCGGAAACAGAGCAGGGTCATTCGGCAGCGTCCTCGGCCTTGCAGAACCCAAAGTCTCCCCCACCGATCACAGAGAGAAATGTTTCGAGTGATGGGCGACGAAAGGCACTCTTGGCCGCCACAGCATCCTTGTCCGGAGGCAGACGGCGCGCAGAATCCGCCCCGACACGACCGGCGCCGACAGCAGCACACTCTGCCTGGGCCATCAAGGCTGCGACATCATCTCAAAATGTGAGACCTCCCTCATCACAGAGCCCACCATCGACGAGCGAACTGTCGAGCGCAGATGCTGCCCGGGTCCAATATATGGCCAGGAACAACGTCTCTAGACAGATGTACACGTCCAACCCACCGGTCGCAATAGAAGTGGAAGAAAGGAGAAGGCAGGAGATGCTGCGCGCGTCCGCGGTTGCCATGGCGAGGAAAATGTTCGCCATTCAGCAGGCGCAGATCGACGAGGCAAGGGGAATCCACCGTTCACAAAGTCACTACGCCGCATACACCGCACGGCGACGAGCACAGTCAGACGCTGCAAAACAACCAACAACCACTGATGACCTGCCACGCTATGAGAATCTAGAAGAGGCAGCCCGCAAATTGGCCCAAGAGCGACTCGCCAAGCTACATGATGAGCACGCCGAATACCGACAGTACTACGGACAACAAACTGCGCCACCTAGGTCGCGGCTCACGTTACGGCGGGGCCGGCGGACGTCTGACAGACGAGAGGATGACTCTGACTCTGACTTGGAAGAGTCACGCAAAATCCGAGCTCAAATGTCCTTGTTTCAGGGCAAGCTCGCCGAGGTCGACAGCAAGAAGCGACAAGCTGATCGAGACGCATTGCTCGCGGTGGCACACAAGAACGTGACGGCCCGCATGAATGCAATAGACGAAAAGGTCTTTTCCGAAACCGGCAAAACCAGTCCACAACAGCGTGAGCTGTGGGAGCGTCAAGCACGGGAAAGAGCACAACGTGAAAGTGACGAGAGACTGCTTCATGTCGGAAAAGTTCATATAGGAGGTGGCAAGTACCTTGAGCAATCAGAGATTGACGCAATTGCCAAGGCTCGACTGCAACCAACCCTCGACGAGATTACCGAGAAAGCTGAGCAACAAAGGGCCAGAGACGAGGAACTCAGACTGGAGCAAGAGAGGCTCAAGGCCGAACAGGAAGCCGAAAAGAGACGGCAGGCAGAAATCAAGGCAGAACAGAAAGCTGTCGTTGGTGAGTTTGCCGTCGTACTTTCTTAAACCACTTACTAATTCTTTTCAGATCGTGAAAAGGCCGAACAAAAGGCACAAAAGGCCGAGGAGAGACGAATCCAGCAAGAGCAGAAACATGAGGAGAGGCGGTTACGCACGGAACAAAAGGCCACCGAGAAGAAAGAAAAGAAGCTCACCGAACCTGCCAAAACTCGATTCCTCCCAAGCTTCCTCGGAAGGGGAGCAGTCGCCGCAGGAGGTGCAGCAGGTGCGGCCACAGCTACGGCTGCAGAAGGCGCCGGCGATGTTGTCGAAGGAGGAGCAAGAGCTGTCACAGGAACGAGTGCTCTTCCAGCGACCATGACGGCTGAAGGCGGCGAGCTCGTCGGCGAAACTGTACATGACCAAGTCACCTTGGACCCCAATGAAGCTGCTCATGCGGTGGCTGCTGCAGATCTGGAGACCGCTGAACCACCGGTGGAAGACTCGAGAATCACTCAGCCAGCAGACGAAGAGATCGGACCAAAGGACAATATTGGTACAACTCCATATTCCAGTATCACCCCGCCGCAGGAGCCCACGTCCCCGACGTCCCCCGGCTTCTCGACTTCACCGACGTCGCCCTCCAAGAGAGATTCCCGGGTGAAGACCTGGTTCAGGAGATTCAGAGCAGGAAGTAAAGCAGAGAATGATCTTCCAGAGCAGACGCTGCACGCAGACGAAGAGCCAAAGGAGCACATTGACACAGTTGGTCAAACAGGTGAGCCAATCAAGGAAGAAGACCCGGCCGCCACAGATTCGATTCGAGATGTTGCGCTCGCAGGCCGGAGCGACAACGAGACGGACGACATGTATGGCGGATCTGTCAAGCCATATGGAAGAATCTCTCCCATTCCTGACGAGAGCATCGGGCTCGGTGCGGCTGTGAACCCCGTGGGTGGGAACGAAAGAGACATCAGTCCTCCATCAGACACGTCGTCACTAAGCGAAGAGCCATACGTGATTGCTGCTGATGTGGCTTCCTCCAAGTACTCGACGGAACACGCTGGCTCGAAACGAGACTCGGGGTTCGATCAACTGGCCACACTGACGGATGAAGATGAAGAACCTCGCGGCAGGAAAGGCTTTCGGGAGAGATTTTTGAAAAAGGTCATCCCTGGAAGAGACAAGGAGAAGGAGAAGCAAAAGCCTGGAGCCTTTGAGAGCACAACAATAGGTCAAGCTTCGGCGCCAAATCCAACCACGGCTACCACAGACTTCTCCATAGCCGAGCCACAACAACCATACGGCCGGACTGAACCCGCCGAGACGCACGAAGCAGGCGAAACCCACGCCAACCCGGACGAGCATATCCTCTCTGAAACGGAACCCCTGCGAGAAAAAGTGCAAGAGCCCTCGACCACATCTACTGAAGCAACAGGAAACACCACTGTGACAGGCACCACGACACCTGCACTGACACACGCACAGACCAACGGGGATGACGACGAGGACTTTGAAGAGGCAAGGGACACTTTCGACGAAGGCCGCCTAGTGAGTGCGTCAAAGGTCGACAGCGGGGCCGCGAGACTCGTGGATGTTGCAGGTCCGAAAAAGAGCGAGGAGAAGACCCGGGAGGGCAGTAGGTTCACCGAGGAGTTGTGAGCAGTGCCAATGACGAACAAAGAAAAGGGGAACGATGTCACGAGAAGGTATACATGGCCATCATAGAATCGATGAGTCAGTCCACAGTCCACAGTCCACAGTCCCAGACTCACGATTGTTGTTGGCGACGGATTATGCGAAGGGGCCAGGGAAGGAAGCGTCCTTTTACATTTCCTTTGTTTCTTTTTGTTTCTCATTCCGTGCTACGTACGTCGGAAAGCGAAAAGGATGGGCGGACAATGGCACGACAAAGGGCACGATGTTTGCAAAGTCTATCAAAGTCGAATGCCTCAGGATATGATATGATCGACATACACACACGCGCGATGCGACGCGTAAGGCGCAGCAGATCCGACTGTGCTTTGCGCTGCCGCACCACCCGAAAGTTTTTTGGTCTCTTGTCAATGCAAATTTTTGGTTGGAAAAATGCTTTCTCAGTTTTCGTGTCTCATTCGATCCCACCGTGCCACGCCAACGTCAACGGTCAGGTCTGCTTTAGAAAGAGCTTTAGGACTAGGTCATGAAACAGCGTGTGCCTGTGCGGGTTGGTAGATCATTCTTCTGTACGCCCGAGTACATCTAGAGAGGGGGTATCATGGTCTTATAAAGCGCTCTCAGCTTGCCACCCATGTAAATCAACAAGGCGAAGCGGGAAGCGTCTCTGCGCGAGATGAGTTCTCTGCAATGCTGCTTCTCACTACCCCTTTGATCGTGTCACAATTTCACCTTGCCACCCTTGACATTTTCCCATTCTTTTCTTCCAAAAGGTTCGTATCTCTGACTGTCGGGCCTCAAAAAGAACACCCTGTTGTGGCCGACTTTGTCAGGATCTACGCCTTCCTGTCTGAGCACATGTTTTTGCTGTTTATTGTTCCCCGTCGCCATGACTTGTGTCACTACGCGAAGGAACACGGGCACCGCATATTTGGGCAAGCTGTTCCTCGCGTAGGTGGCCAGGCTTTCGAGGAGTGCGTCCGGGATGGGTGTCGTGTTGGAGTCAACGTCTCTGAGCAAGACGGCTGCACACCCGGCGCGGCCCTCATGATGCGGGATTTCCACCCCGTAAACATTGGCTTCAAGAACATGTGGGTGTTCACCTAGGACTTGGGCTACCTCGGCGGTTGACACATTCTCACTACGCCAGCGGAATGTATCGCCTATTCGGTCCATAAACCAGGTGCGTCCCTCTTTGTCGAGCTTGATCACGTCTCCCGAACGGAACCAAGCATCTCCCTTCTTCAGCACGTCTCTCAAGATCTTCGTGTCACTGGCCTTCTTGTTGCCAAAATACCCCTGGTATTTGTCACCAATGTCTGCAGCGTCGACCTTGTAGAGGAGTTCGCCTGGTTCACCCCGAGGTACGGGAATGCAAAGCCCTGTCTTGGGGTCTCGGTAAGGTGCTTCTGTTTCCCAGTCCACTTTTACAATGGTCTGCCTCAACTTCATGAGCAGATTGCCCAGGAGACCAGCTTGGCCGATGGCGCCCGACGAGAACGTGTTGCGTGAAAGATTGAAGCTCGCTCCGGCAGATTCAGTGGCGCCGTAGAACTCGGCCACTGTCTCAATGCCGAACCGTGCACGGAACTTGTCCCATACATCTGGCCGAAGGCCGTTACCGAACGCGAGACGCACTCTGTGTTTTGTGCGGTCATGTGGCTTGGGTGGCACGGCAAGGAGGTACCGCAGGGTTTCTCCGACATATTGTATTGCCGTGGCGTCCGCTGCAGCCACCTCGTCCCAAAAGTTTGAAGCAGAGAATTTCCGACCTATCACCAATGTACACGCTCGGATGAGACAGCAGTGGAAGCCTAATTGAAAGGCGGACGCGTGATACAGCGGCATGGACGTGTAGTACCTGTCCGGGTTAGATGATGTGACGGGATGAAGATTTAGCCAACGTGCAACGAGACCGGAGCCCACGGCGGTGCGCTCCCACGACACGATTGCAGCCTTTGGGAGGCCAGTCGTTCCCGACGTCGAAATCAGGGCACATGGGCCACGACCGACCACGCCAGACCGAGCAGTGTCGGGTGCACGATGGGGAGGAAAGTACTCCAGCGACGATTGAAGGCCGGATGTCAAAACCACCACCTCCAGAGGGAAAGAGTTGTTGCGAAAATTGGGGGCGGAGAAACTGGTTTTTGCCTCCTCGGTCAGGACCTTGGGGGCGACCTCAGGATCAACAATCAAAAGTCTTGCAGAGGATGTCTTGACGCTGTGGACAAACGAGGCGGAGGTCAGGTTGTAGTTGATAAAGGCCGGTATGGCGCCCAGAGACCACAAAGCCATGGTCAAGAAGAGGAATTGAGGGGAGTTCATAAAGTCCAGGGCGACGATCTCCCCTGGCAGGATGGAATGAGTGCTGTGCAGGTATCCCGCATAGCGCAGCACCATGTCGTATGTCTGTTTGAAGGTCCATCTCTTTCCCTGGTAGATGATAAAGACCTTGTCCGCAACCTTTGGCTTATGCGCATGCTCCTCGAGGAGGTAGAAGGAACTGACACGATCCGCAGCCTCTCTTTTCGCAAAGGCTCGCTGAGAAGCAACTAGACTCAGGATGAGCTCCAAGTCGACCGAGACTCGCCAGCGAGCATTGAGGTAAGCCAGTCCGGCCAGAGCAGTCGGTGCGACAAGGGCGGCGGTAGATGCTGGCACTGAGATTGAATTGTGATGGTCAGATTTCCATGGTCTTGGATTGCTTCAGGTTGATCAGCGACACACTTACGAGCGAGGGCCATGACGACAAGACAGCGTGGCAGCCTACGAGCGGGCGAGTTATTGCGGTGTGGGTGAAGGGTGGCAAGATCTCTGCGCCATGGGTGCGGTAGACTTGTTCAGGGGGTGTCGTCCATTATATGAAAAGGACCTAATCAGCATAACTCTTGAATCCGAGTTGAGACGGAGCTTCCATTGGCGATCGCGGACGTAACTGCAGTTTGCAGTTTGGTGTCAAGATCGCGTGGCTTGTGTCTTGCATCAGTGGAACACGAGGAAGCGACGATGCAGGGAAGCGAGGCCGTGACCGAGGCAATTGTAATTACTACAGGGTACTCGGGAGCATAGTTCGTATGCTCGTCTACGGAACACGCCAAGAAACACGTTGGTCGTGTGGCTTCTCTAACCCCGCATTGACTCCTACACTCTGACATAAATTCATTTCACTTCATAAATGTCGGAACGACGTCACCGGATCTCTGGAGTTCACAATCACATTCTACCAGGACATCCAAGTCAATAGTCGAGGACCCGCCACTGATAACTACCGTCCACATTGTGCCAGTCTTTCCGTTCAAAACTTCTTTCCCATCCCAGCATGACGGCCAAGATCCGACACGCGTTGGCCGACACACCACAAACCACCTTGTCACTTTGGGCCAATACGGCCAAGTCCAACAAGTATGCTCGGCCGAGGAGTTCCCTCAGCTGAAGGGCTTCTGTGGTCGGATGTGTCCGATAATCACGCTCTCCCAGCGTACCGGCATTGACCACATCATCAGCTCCATCTCTCCGTGGCCCGCTGGAATGCTTGGCGTCGTGATGATGGACTCGCTTCTCCCTGCCGTCGTCGTCTTTCTCGCCAAACCTGTGCTTGGCCTTCATAGGCATAGGGCTACCCCATTTTTTCCGCTCCTTCACATCCTCTGGCAAACCCAAGCCCCAGAAGACATCTTTAAAAAACCCGCCTTCCCAACCTAAGCCACCGCCTTGGCCCATGCTGGCCAACTTCTTCTTCGAGGCGAGGGAAATCCGTTCCTGTGCCCTCAAGGTGTTGGGCAGGTCGATGTGGTCGTACATATCTGCGTCGTCCGAGGCCACCAGGAATTTCCACTGGGAAGATTGACCCACGAGCTTCATAGCGGTAGCCATGTACATTTCTGGGGGAAGATAATTTTGCGAGTACGCGAGGCTGAAAGGGTGCCGATCGCCGCGCCGAATGTGAATCCCCACCAAACCGTTCTCCGGTGGTATATCATACATCTCGTCATACTCTTCTAGGTCCGACGCGGCGACGGTGGTCGGATCGACATCCTTTCGGATTTTTTCGACGCGGTTGAGAATGTATTGTTCATCTTGCGGCCGAAGTTCAAAGAGGGCCTCATACCCATCCCTTGCCATGTCAAAGATCTCCCTTTGAGAAAAATGATCGTGGAAAGACTGCCCAAAAATCCAGCTTGTCGTGGCAGCGGACACAACTAGATGCTTTGCCTGGTGCGGACATGGCACCCGCTGCGAAGGGCTCGGTAAGCGGCAAGATGGAGAGGGCTTCGAGGCGAAGAACGTGCTGTACTTGCCGTAGGGGAAATGGGTGTCGTCGATGAAGAAGGCGCGACCTTCGCGGCGAGCGAGCCCGTACGATAGCCACAAGCCTAGAAGGGTCGACCCGAGGCCTGCATCGGCGGCATCGAGGACGTATGTCAAAGACCTCTCACAGACGGGCAGACTGTTTTCGTTTTTGTGGGGTGACGAATGGGTTTCAGCGGGGAGGAAATGCTGTTCCTGCGCTTCTTGAACGTCGATAAAGTTGGGATCATCCCGGTAGTAGTCGTTTGCCTGTGATTTATGGCGTGGGCCGGCGACGTGCTGGGCTACCTCGTCGACTTGCGAGCAGATGTCGGCATAATCCGTGTAGGGCAGAGGGAAGGGTAGGTTTTGCGGGATGGATATTGTCCAATGGTGTTTTCCCTTTGCATCAGTCAGTGCCAGCGGGGTCGGATAGTCGGGCAGCTCCGAGGCTTCGACGATTTCATAGACCTTGCCCAGCGAGGTCAGAAAGGTCAGCCTGGCGAGCTGGTGGGACTTCCTTCGGCCGAAAGAGAAGAGATAGTAGACCCCAATAATCAAGGCAAGCCAGAAGAGGCTGCGGACGATCTTGCGTGAGTTGAGCTTGGGTGGTTTCTTGCCGTGCCGGGGGAGGATGGACGGCAGAGACGGCGAAGGGATCGGGGTGGAAGGGAGGAAATGTCTGATGGAGAGATATTGGCCTGGAGGACCAACCCGCA